TCTCCTGCTGGCGTTGACTTCGGGTACGGACACCCTCCGTTTCCTCCTTAGGTAAAATCGGCATGATTTTATCCCACTTCTGACACCAATTGTTACGAGCTTGAGGTTCGTGACAGTAAAAACTGCCGATTGAATTACCAAAATTTACACTTTCATTACCGAACACCAATTAAAACTTAAATCACACTAATAATTATTCACACTTAACACTTTAGTTCACTTTATTTCACTCCGAAAGTTTCGCTCGTATCGCCAATTCAATACTGCCTCGATCGCGGCTCGCAGCGGCCTTAAATACGCTTTTTCCAGCAAAACATCCAGAATGTTCCAGCAAATACCGGTCCCAACCAACTAAGTTCAGAAAGTTCGAGAGTGGACCCTTCTAGAATGCTTAATTCTTCTGTTCGATACTAGATGGCGCTGTTGAAAGAAAGTTCAAGATTGGCATTTTCTAGGAAGCCCTCCTCTCTCTGTTCCCCGACACTAGATGCTGCTAGTGCCAGGTACCAGATATCAACTTAGGCACGCAACATTATTACAAGGCCTTCGTAGGGCTCTGAAAGAATTCAAGTCGAAGTCATATGTAACTCTAGACGCTAGTAACTCCACTGTTTCTGTTTCACTATAAGTGAAGTTACCATCAGGCTTTTTAAGAAGCCCGGTCTGATTAGGGTTAGCTTTCGATAGCATTTTGTGTAGCCTTGCACTGCGAGGCAAAGACTAAACTTCCTCGCATAGCTTCCTCCACAACGCTCTCTTGGCTTTCCTAATTTCTTTATTATACTCAGTTAGGGCTGCACTGTAAATATCCCACTCTTTGGTTATCTTAGCCCTGTTAAATAGTTTCCTGGTCTTTTTGCTAAGTTTTTTTAGCTTAGTATTCCCCCAAGGCACTTTTTGTTGAGGTCTTGGTTTTGACGTGACAACTGTCCTGGAAGGCTTCACGGATACCTATGGTTCCTGTCTCCGAAGCTAACTAACCAGACCTTCAATTGTTTTGATGCTTTTAGGAAACGTTTCCATATTCCTCCTTAGGCTATCTCTGTAGATATCCGTGGAGGTCGCTATTGTTCCCTAAAAGTAACGGTTTCATAGATTGGTGATGCTTCAATCACAAAGTTAATGTGTTTGTGATCAGACATCGAGTTTTTGCTACTAACATGCCAGTCATTTATCCGCCTGGATATGTTATTGGTGGCAAAGGTTATATCTAACACTTTTTGTCTAGCACGCGTTACAAAGGTTGGAGTGCACCTTAGTTTAGGCTTACCAGGCAGTTGGAGATGAGAAAATCATAAAGTAACTCATCTCTTTCATTGATGTTTTTGCAAACCTTCACAAGTTCGGCGTTGTGTTTTCGGGCGAACTCCGCCACTCTCTCTAACTCGATGATAGGACCTGCGTTCTCTCCGGGAAGATATGCTGAGAAAATGATTACTCTGGCCCCTGTGCATCCCTCGAGATTTATGAAGGCTGTAACCAGGATTTATGAAGGCTGTAACCAGGTTGCAGTACTCTGGAACAGATAAAAGTTCAATATTTTTATTGTTAATTGTACTGGCTATGGGTCTATTGCCTTTAGTATTGACAAAAATCTTACCGGCAGGCGCCAATCCCAGAACTTGACCGTTGGCCACCCAAGGCTCTTGTATAAAGGCGAGGTCAATGTTGTCATCTGCAAAGTAAACCTCCACCACAGCAGAAGCAGCTGCTGCATGGTGAAGATTTGTCTGGAGGACCCTCGTCTTACCCTTGGGGCTAGCCATTTATGGGCGTGGGGGGCAGGGGTCTTTTCCACCTGTTGAGGACGAGGACGTCCTTTACCTGCGCACTTGACCCCTACCTTACCTTCGCAGTCGCAGGTTTGTTATCGCATGGCGTGGTTGCTCGCTACTTTGGTGGGGAGCGGTTGTGTCAGCGTGTATCAATAACAGCTGTTTTGGCTCGCCGCTCACTTAGCGGTCAGCAGCCGTAGAGTCTACATCACCTGAGGATGCCTCGTATAGAGGCGAAACACGTGTTGTATTATCGTCGATGGTGTGTCTTCCCTGGAATAGTGGTGTTAGAAGTGGTGGTGCCGGGAGTAGTGGTGCTGGGACTAGTGCTGATGGAATTAGTGCACGCAATTGAGGGAGGGCGGGAGGTGCTTCAATACAGGTAAGACACATCATGGTTAAGGTTGCAAATTAATCAATATTTTTATATCAATATCTTTCTGTCGAATCAATCAACTATAATTAGTTGATTGATTCGACAGAACTAGCTTTTAAACTAAGGAGGTAGTATTTAAAGGCGTTACATTACTATTTAGTTTAGCTATATTTTTAACTATTTTCCACTTTATTTTACTATAATTCCCGGCTTTATCTACCTAATTCATTTTTATCAAAATCTGGCTTAACTTTTTAAATAAATCACTACAAAAATTTCGGTAGCGTTTATAAATAATCGTAAGATTTATGTTATCAGTATGATTTATGACATCACGATGTAGTTTATCTCTATATCTAATGCACCTTAGTAACCCTTGAGTAAGCCAGGGAACTTTTATTCTTTTGCGAGAGGGAACTGTCTTCATAGTAGTATGTACGCTCTGCTCTCTGAAGATCTCTGAAGCTCTTTTATTAACATATTTGTGGCGATATTAACATCATTGCAATTTAATATAGAATTAAGTAATCCCAAATTCAATTCAGATGCGGCTTTTTCATAGAATTAATTTGTAATTATTAATTATTTATTTTGACTCTTCTGTTGCTGTTCGCTTGCTCGCGGTTGATATTTGATACGTATACTTCGTGCAATAAGCTATTGTGATCGCTTTTGAACTGAGCGCATATTTTGTCGGAAAAACAGTCTTTGCCTTTATGATCAAAAAGACAATTTTCACATAAATTCAATTTTGCCAATGTTTTTCGTTTTGATTTTTTTTTAATTTAGGGACTTACGTTATTTTTAACATGTCAGTCCCATTGTACCGTATAACTAAATAACACACTACAATTTCTTAAATTATTTACACAAAATATTAACTAAATTATATAGCATTTGAGCAGCATTAGACAATGGTTCAGACAGAATGCTTTGATATTCCCCTAGGTTACAATAATGTAATGTTAGTTTTAGTAACTAATAGTTTCCTTTCATGATGATTTTTGGAACATTCCGCGAGCAAGTGTTGTACATATTCTATTGTCTTGCATGTGTCGCAATTTGGAGATTGTTTCTTTTTCATCATGAAAGCAAACTTGTTACACGGAATGTGTCCGGCACGAAGTCGCATTGCTAATACAACATATTTTCTATTCAACAGACATTGATTAAACCAAGGCACTTTCGGAGGCTGACTCTGGATGGTTTTGTACCAAATCCCTTTTTCTTGCGATCTTTTATCGAAATATTCTTTCCAAAGTGTATAACATTTCTGTTTATATTTAATTAAAATGTCTGAATAATCAGGGTAAATATTACATTCTCTTCCTTGGGTGATTGCTAATTTCGCCAGCTTATCAGCTTCCTCATTATCATGTAAACCGATGTGAGACAGTACCCACTGCAATACTAACATCGAAGTACACAAACCAAAATTTGCAGGATGTGTTCACGCCTTAGTTTTTTATGGCTCTTAGACACTCTTTTGTGGTGTCGTGCAATTTTTTCAAGGCCAATGATGATTGATGTTGTATTGCTGGCAAGCCAAAAGGCGTGTTCATGTAAGAACTGAAAATCAATTGTTTGTTTTTATACCGATGATTCAGAATTTTTGCATGTTTCATAATTTTCGGTACTAATATTTAAATGTTATTAGTTTCTCGACTTTTTTCTTTACCTTGCTTTTCAAATGTTGCTTTTTTTGCACATTTAAAAGGGATTTATTCTTTCTATCTTTGAAAGATGACCACTAGGTTTGAGATGAGTTTAGCTGAACGTTGGGATTTCCATTTTTGGCGTCGAATGCTCTTGATGAGATACAGACCACCATCTTGCTGATGATTGATTTTTTGATCTTTTTGTAGGTCTCTTCTTCGAACATGTAGAATGTTTTTTGGTACTGCACGTCTTCCGTGGTAAGCTCGCTGACGATCTTCCAGTTTAAGGAGTCCACGGCGTTCCAGCGAAGTTGTAAGTTACATAGGCGGTCCTCGAGCTCCCAACTTTCGGTAAGTAACTCAAGATTAGTGGTATTGATTGCTCATTTTAGTGCTTTAAAATTGCTTTTTTGTTTCCGGTACATCTCGTCAAGTTTACTGTGGTTACCTCCATCTAATCGACTGGTACTGACCTAATCTGATGGGGTCGCTGATGCAGCCGTTGATGCAGACTTTAATGTTGGACGCCAATCTCAAGTCACGAAAGCTAAAGTAATAGCAGGTCTCAGAACTGACTTCTTTTCTTGACAGTCGGTGTAATATAATTTTACTTTTTCGAAATGATTTTCCTAGAAATAAGTGTAGTCTTGGTCCTCGTACTCACACAACTTGATATGATTGGCTTGGAACTCTCTTCAGTACTGATCAAGAGTATCCAGTCGCCTTGATATGTTTGATATGTTTGGTTATTTCTATCAGCTCCATCTTTCTCGAAGTTTGATGATGATGAGAGTGATGATAAAAAATCACTGTTGTTGGTGATGATGTATGCTGTAGTAGGAACTTGTTCACTGCGCAATTGCTTGAAAAAGTCACTTGTAGAGTTTTTGCTGAATAGGCAGTAATATACTCGCAGCACTAAATGGGCGAAATCAAGTCACGTTTCCGAACCGCCTGGTCCCTCTTTGATTTTACCGGCACTCGATCAATGCTCGAAGGACCTTTACGACGTACGAGCTGCTGTGCTGTATACAATCTAGAAGTTGATAGAAATGATAGAATTAAATAAAGGCTTGAACTGATTATGTAGTTTATTATGATATAATTGACAGTGAGTACAGTGCGCGACGGCGTATGATTGGAACAATCGAAATGGATGGATGATTGGAAAAAGGACACAATAGAGTAAAAATGCTGATGTGCAGAAATCTGTTGTTTGTAAAGACCGTACATATATATTATAGTTTTATACGTAAAAGAACATATAAAAGTGTCCGCGAGACACTTGCGGGTTGTTTAGGGTTAAGTTATCAGAAAAATAAGGAATTAAGTGAATACAATAAAAATCAGACTCAGCTGTATGGTTTAAGACTTTTGCCTGCCTTAATTGGCAAATCGTAACAAAAACAACAACAAATTTAATTTCTAACATGGCCGCATGTTGAACGAAACGATTTTCTTTACTGTTCGCCAAATAAAATAGTACCGGCAATATTTGTGAGCGGATTTATGTTGAAAGCATAACCTGGGATATAAATTGTATTAATAGCAAAGCAACGGTAAGGTATTTGCTGAATAATGTGTATGAGATAATTGTTGGCGGTATTTGTTGATCTAATTTGTTTGTGATGAAGATTGGATCGCGATGATGCATCACCCGAACATGCATCATCAGCCGATGTCTGGCCATCCACCTCAACATTTGGCCGGCCACCAAGCGATGCCCGGGCACCACCAAATGCCGCCCCATCAGATGCACCGAGAGAACAGGCACGTAACACTAACTAGGTAACGACTAGCTTTTTTATATTTCATTTGCCTTTTTGTGTTTGCAATAATTTTTGAAACATTAATTTTTCATTCAGCCCCGTGCGTGTTGACTATAATTTTCAAAATAATAGCTTGTCTTTGTTTATTAGTGCTAAGAGCAGGTTATTTTTTAATATTTGAATTCTTGATATAAATTTTTAATTTATTTAGAGAACCACAAACAAGTTCACAATATATCTTATGCTAAAGCTTATGTTCTATTACAATTTCTTACTTATCATAAACTCAACGACGATGGTCACACATAGAGTATAAAAAATAGATTATTTGAAGGACCTAACTTTGTAAATGAAAAGTACCTTAATTTCTAAAATATTATTGTAACATGTATTAGAGGTAAAGAGTTTTGTGTGTTAGTGTGTCAGCATATGTGCGCTCGCATGCAAGTACATATATAGTTGTTGGTTAGATAATTTATAGTTAGTGTTAGTAGTTAATGTGTTCAGGTCTTTAAAGAGACATTAAGTGTTTAACAGCTTAAGTGTTTAACAGTTTAACAGCAAGTTAACTAGCTGTCTGTTATAGGATCGAGTACTGCAAGAAAATAAATCTACCAAATTAAATTTTTTGTTGTATGTCAACTATACGATGAAGGGGCGATCGGATACCGGCGTTTGTCCGAGATCTTGGCACAGCAAAGAGTGAGTTTGGACGCAAAGAATGCATACATGCACAAGATGGTACGAAGTAACTAATACGCTTAATTATATCTGTGCAATCGTACTTGTTATTGCACAGATGATAAAGTAATCTTGCCTAAAGTAATCTTCAAGTTCAAGTTCAGTGCGCCTAGATCTTAAGTTTAAGCTTATATTTTGTTAAAAGGAGCACATACAATAAATGCTTACGATGATATTTGTAATTAATGCGATGCAAGAACTTTTTTTGTACCATTTCAATGCTATGATTATATTTTTTATAAAGTGGGTTCCATACATGCGCTCCATGCTCCAATTGTGGCCTGACCAGAGATTTAAAAAGATAGATTAAAGTTATGGGGTTTCTAAATTCAGTAGAAGAACGCATAACAAAAGTCAGTACATTTTAAAAGCTTTACTAATTATGTTTTATATATGAATATCAAAATGTAATTTGTTATCAAAAGTCACTCCCAAATCCCTTATATTGTTCACCCTTACAATATCTGTACCGTTAAGAGGATAGTTAAAGTAGCTTATATTCTGTTTTTTTTTTTTTTTTTGTGAAAGTGATTTCTTTACATTTATTTAAATTGAGTCGTAAATTATTTAGAGTAATTGTTAAATCTGTCAGGGTCTTCTTCTTCTTCTCTACTCTAACCTATCGATGCATTGGTATATTTTGAGATCATCAGCATATAAAAGGAGCCGACTATTTTTAAAGCTATTTTTTACATCATTTATGAAGATCACAAACAAAGGAGGACTAAAAATGGAGCCCTGTGACTCCGAACCTTTAATAACAACCTTCTGCGTTCTATTAGAGACATAAGACTTGAACCACCGCCAGAGATTGCTGCATATACCATTGAAAGCAGTCTTCTCCAATAGTATTTTATGATCAACATTGGCAAATGCATTCCGGAAATCAGTATAAATACTGTCAGTTTGTGTATTTGACAAAGATTATTTTGTTAAATTTTATATCTTTGCAATATTTATAAATTTTGGAATAAAATTTAAAAATTTATATTAATATCATTAAGTTCACTTGCAATAACATGTATCTTTGTCACTCGCATGGAGTCTTTGAAAGCCCTGTTTTATTTTAATTTATTTAAATAATTGCTTCGCATATTCTCATTTGTTATTTATATATTAACAAGGTATTTATTTTAAAATAAAAGCATTATAATCCTTTCAATATTTATTACTTTACTCACACTAAAGAAATACAATTTTGGGTCATTTTTGGCAACTATAAATTAAACTGATACAAAATTAGTAACTATTATCTTTTATTTTTGAAATCAGCACAAGCTATCAAAAAAAAATGAATAAGATTATAAAAAAAATATAATATATTGGTGAATTTTTACATCTCATTTTGCTATTCCAAACAGCTTGAGCAAACTGTGTGTCTCGGATATATGTTCTGGGTACATGAATAGCATAAAAGTAAGAAGAGTAAAGTTACAGCCTATATACATCCCACTGCTGGGCACAGGCCTCCCCTCATTACTGAGAGGGTTTTAGGGCAAGGAAGTGTCCGCCGTGCTGCCCCAATGCATGTTGACGAACTTCACATGTCTTCGAAATATTTTTTTTCTTATTCCTCAGACATGCAGGTTTCCTCACGATGTTGTCCTTCACCAAAGAGCACGTGGTAAATCAGCACTTAAAATTGCAATTAACAATTTTATTGGTGCCGGCGGGTATCGAACCCGGGTTACTCGCGTTCTGTTATATTTGCAGCGAGTGTTAACCATCTGAGCTACCATGGCTGAATAGCATACTGTAGAATATTTCCTATTAATATGTCATGGAGCATCATTGACAACAGGAAAACAATTTTATTCGTTTTTGGACAGTAAGACACTATAGTGTTTTGATCTTTACCAAATCTATGAGATGAATACACTTCCCTATTTTTGGTCTTCAACTGATCAGGAATTTCAGATTTATTTTTTCTAATGGTTCCAACAATAGTACACTTATGACCTTGTTATCCATGGTGATGTTAGCATTTGTTGAAGTGTTCACAAACATTGGCTCTTCAGGTTCCAACATAAACCTCCATGTTGAATGTGTAAAAATTCCAGGCATCTACCATAGCAAATATTTTTATTTCATATTTGTCAAGCTTATTAGGCAAATACTGCCTAAATGAACATATTCCTCGAAAAGACTCCAGCATTTCGTGAATTGCTGTGCCACCAGTGCTGAAACACTCTTTGCATTTCTGAACAAATGTTTCAAAGGCAAACCTGATTGGTGCCAACTTATCAATTTGCAGTCTTTCTCGCCGTGTTATAATGCTGTCAAACCCAAAACAGCGTAAGAGAAATCTATATCTCTGTATTGACATTACCACCCTTGCAATGTCTAACCCGTCCCATCTGCTGAGAAAACCTCTTAGATTTACACATGGCAAGATTTCTGTGTACCAATTGGGTATAATAACCCCTGTTGCTCTTATCTCTGGTATATTTGTCGGTTGCGCTTCTCGTAACCTTTCATATTTGTCCTGAGGAGTCTGATTTTTTTTCATTCGTAGATTGAAGAATATTATTCAGTACATCTATGGGAAAAAATAAACTCCATACATCCAAAGAGGTGTTACGACCCTGGTTTATATTTCGTGGTCCTAGCAAATGCGATATTATATTATGCTGTTGGGTTCTAGCTGAGGGATTGGGAGCAGTTCTTCCAGTGATATCATTTCAGTATTTCCTTTGCATAGTTTCCAAAGAGCAACGTAATGGTTCTATAGTTGGGCGAGCGGAACATTATCTTTATCATTGTTGTCTGAATTCAGTTCTTCAGGCAGTTCAGAATCCTATATACCATCTTCCTCAGAGTCGTCGGTTTCATGACAACTTTCTTCAATAACATGAGGTCCATAATCAGAATGCTCACCATCTGATCTTTCATCAAATGGAACATTCACATTATCATCAGACTCTTCTAGCCATCGGACTATGTGCTGTTTTGAAAAATGTTGCATTTTCGGCCATATATGTGTCTGCCATCAAATAAGAAAAAGCTTACACGATCGGTCACGTGGGCTCTTTCGAAGTCCATGCGCAAAAAAAATGTCTATCATGAACTAGCGCAGTACGCTAATGTAACTGCACTATTTTTTTCAAAGATCCCATGCAATGTTATACTACACATACCTTCCGATAGTTGTCTGTTTGTTTAGATATTTTACTAATTAGATATACTGCATAAGAGATATTTAACATTAACATTTTGTTACTTAGACTTTCTGAGGGTGGAAGGTAGCACATAACAATATGTTTGAACAAAATTATTGAGCTATTTTCTTTGGTATATTTTATTATATTATAGTGTAATGCAACATACCATAGATTGTGCACCATGATAATCAGTTTTTTATGCAAAAACCTCTTTAGTAAGATGAGGAACAGGAATTGTAGAAATTGGTCAAAAGATGTGAGCGAAAATGATTACAAGCCACTTAAGTCTTCAGCTAAATTGTGATACATGGTCAAGCTTGTGCAAGCCAAACATATAGCATATACACAGATAGAGCTGATGGTCGAGTTTGCTTAGCAGCTCCTCTGTTATATTTGGGTAAGCAATATCGGCATAATGTAAAAAGCTAGTTGCTTAGTAAAAAATCTTGCCAGAGATTCAATGGATGCGTAGTGCGAATAGTGACCAACTAAGATTGTCTACGATAACTAAGATTCATTTAGTCTACAGATCGATTCTCCTTGTTTATACTGAAATTAACATTAGTTAATATATATTGTGTAGTTTTTAATTCAAGATGCAATGTGATTTTACTCGGGGCCCTAAAGGTGTGCCTGATTAGAATTTTTATGGACCTCTTAATTTAACTTAATGTTTCATTTTAGTGTATTTAAATTTAACGTGATTTTCAATAAAAAAAATCTTGTTACAGAATAGTTAAATATTAAAATCTTTATATTAACATTTTATTATGACTTATTTGCAGTAGAATCATGTTACATTTCTTTCAAAAATAATACCAGATCTGGTCACTCTTGACACTATTAAATAAAGCAGCTATGGTTTATTCGGGATTTAAGCAGACTACATTCATATGCAAATGTTGTGTAATTTGTTGATATCTCGAGGGTCTTTGCGGCGCTCTTTGTCACTTAAACTGGTTGTGAATAGAACATATGACGACGCTTTTGATTCGAGTAAATCCCTTAATAGCTATAGTTATTTTATTCCTTGCACTCATCTGTGTCTTCTTTAAGTATATGGCAGTTGCAATAACAGTTTTGCAGTGTGTATGACAATGAATAGGCCACAAGTTTAACAGTTGGAAATGTTTTTAACAAAATCGTGAGGTGTTTTAATTAAACTATTAATAAAACTTAATATTGTCTACCTATTTTAACAAACTTTTTTGCTTTTGTAATAGAACAGTAAAAGTGTGGGATTGGTTTGTGTCAGCTGATTTTTTTGCTTCATAAAGATAAGGTGAATGACCTTTTTTATTTCTATTCGGGTAAACTTATTTTAACTGTAAATACCTCATCATTTCTATAATTAAAAAAAATTGTAAAATAGACAAAATAGACAAGTAATATATTGCTTAACTGATACAAAATTTTAGTAAAAAAAAATTATTTTCACTGTTTAAGATATTAGAATATGATATGAATGCAGAAATACTTATTTATAGAGATAAAATTTGTTAAATAAAATTTAAATTCAACTTATTTATTCTATTTCCATATGCACATATTATATAATGGACATTCTGCTATGCAGACCTTACGATAGTTTGTTTTCCATTTAAATAATTTATTAATAGGATATAAGTTTCCTATATGGTAGAGCTACGCTGCAGCCATATTATGGTAGTAGCACGAATCTGTCGGCCCTCACGGAATACCAACATAAAATAGCAGCTTAATGCTGCTGTTTTGTATGGTGAGTGTAGAGAACGAGATTTAATGGGAACAAGACATTCCATCTAAGTCCTTAGAGGTGACAACGCATCTGCATTTTGATTCTCAATTGAAAACAAATGTTGATATCCATAGGCCACAGCACCCTCTTAGCATTAGGTGGACTGTGTGCTATAGATATCTATCTACATCTATCCTCGATTAAAAATCAAAATATAAATGCATTTACACCCCTAAGGACTAAGGTGGAATGCCTCGTTTCCAGTAAAAAGGGTCTGCGGTTATCCACACTCATCATTTGAAACACAGCAACATTAAGCTGCTATTTTACGCTGACTGAGAGACGTGATTATCGAATATGAGCCGATCCTCATTTGCCGTTCACAGTTCGTTCTCAGTCCGATCTCGGTCTGATTTATTATATTATTGGAATGGAATTCAAGTGAAACTTGACTGACTGTTACGGATAGTATGAACACATATTTATACACATATTTTGTACTTGATAGTACCTGATAAAATTATCAGACCGAGAACGAATTGTGAACGGCATTATAATGAGAATCCGCCCTTAGGGTTCATCGTAATGCGCCAGCGACATTGAAAAAGTTAATTTTAATTTAAGAGTTGATAAAATTTCGTGAAGAAACTTGCATTTCTAAAAAATGAAAATATGGCAGGAAGTGTGAAGATCGTAAATTCCCGACGGAGTAGTGCGGCGCATGTTTCCCTTTTGCAATAACCACCTAAAATTGCGAAAAGGTGTGTACTCCGCAGTGGGAAGTCTGTAGACTTTCTTACTTATACTTTTATTATTATAGTCAGCATAATGTCGTGAACTAAAATCACTTCGACAAGATTCGTACTGATAAGTATTTTAAATGTGTTGTAGAACAATATATTATATAAAAGCTATGGTGTGGTACGTAGGGTGCCTCTAGGTCCATCGGGCGCGCACGGGCAGTCGCTGGGCGGGCTGGGCGCGCTGGGCGTGCACCAGCACCAGCACCACGCGGCGCCGCGCGCGCAGCACGCGCCGCACGCCATCCGCGCCATGCCGCACCACCCGCCCGCACAGCACCACGCCATGCCGCCGGTATGGTATAATCTTAGGTCCGCTTTCCACCAATGCAGAGACGACAGGAGATGTGCTGCAAAGCTGGCAGTTTATTTCCACCAAAGCGAAGAGATGTGAGCTTTGTGTAGCAGAGATGTGAGCTTTAAGAGATCAAAACCAGTTAAGTTCTGTCTACGGAAGGAAGACGGCATGTCGTTACAAGTTGTATCTGAATTAGCTTGAGGAAGAGGAATTAAAGGTTGAAGAAACACAATTAATTTTTCAATATTTAAATCATCGACGGCAACATAGATTCTGGATAAGAAACCATATAAAATGTCATAGTCATAGCGAATATGCCACACTGTTTCAAAAGATGGATGATGAAAGTTTTCAAAAATCTTACATCATTTTTACGCCGCCCGACTAGACACTTCTCCGCTCTGCCGCGCCCCTTGCTCGCACGCCGCACAAATATCTATAGAAAATGAGACATGTCTCCTTTCCGCTTGATCCATTTCCATCGAAGCTAAGCGGAGAAGAGATGTGGGAATAACGGAATTGGATTGGTTCAAACACATCTCTCGTCTTCTCTCCTCTCTGCTTTGGTAGAACCACGCCTTACGCTCACCACGTATCGCTACTCATTAATCATTGAAGAGTTGCAATTTTATTAAGTTTTTCGGTTTCTAGTTTATATATAATCAATACACGAAGATTACACGAGATTTACATTGCTGTTCTGTATGAAATGAGTCAAATATTTCACCTCATTCATAAGTGGCGACGTCCTGGTTGCAGAAAAAGTCGCATCCACGACTTTGCTGCATTTTGTTTTTTAACCGATCATCATCATCACAGCCCGTCTCAAGTTAACTGTTGAACATAGGTTGTAAATTCCACAAAGAACCGATTTTAAATATGGATTTTTATGGATTTAATAGTGATAACACAATTCACTTTACACCTCAGTACACTGGGAGAAAAAGTCTTGGTTCTCATTACTCATCATACAAAACCGCATTGTTATGCTGATATTTTACGGTGGGATTCTATGCGAACGTCGATCTTCCTTGCTCAAATCAAGCCATGGTGCAGCCATATTATGCTACAGTGTGGCTCTACCATGTACAAATGTAATGATATGACACATTATCTCTAAGCTTAGTTAACAATGTTTGCCAATTATTTATTAAAAGTGCGACTTTCTAAGTGGTCTCGTATAAACACCTCCAAAATTTTTTTGTAAAATTATGTAATATTTTTTTTAGCCTAAGAATAAGATTAAAAATACGTTACAATTTGATATGCTAAATTTTAAATATCTGAAAGAAAGAAAGAACCATTTAGTTGATAATCACACTTTTACACACATTTAGGAAATGTAAATATAAATTACAAGGGTAAAAATATGCATGCACAGGTGTAAGCTTACGCATTAAAAATTATTAATATGCAGTACATGCACGACGTTAATTAATAATAAAACAAAAAAAAAAAACAACAAATAAAAACAGAATTTAAAAATAAAATGTGACATTAAATAGGTCTCCAAATCAGCTTATAATGCTGCGAAGGCAGCGCTGGTTTTTAGTTGGAGCCTTGTAACCTCCAATTGTCCACCAATTACCCGTAACTACGACTTATAGACTAATTACTGGCTAGAGAGTAGTGCTAACGAACACAGTTAAAACACACATACTATATAAATTTTAATATAAATGGTCTATAGTACATACACTACATCTATACTTACACATAAAATATTTGGCTCTATGGGGAAGACAAAGAAAAAATCTGCTTGACATAGTAAACAAACACCCAAGTCATCAAATTGGAAAAGGTAATTCGCAGCTCATACGATCCCTACAGAACAAAATCGTGTGATGAATGCTCTTGCGATCATCACATGGCTTATCATCTTAGTATAGTTTAAGTATTACAATTGTTTATATAGCAAGTAACAACACTACACAATTTTGAACAGCAACAAATGAAGGCGATGCGGCGGCCGTACTCAGTGGGCGGCGGGTACGGGCCGGCAGGCGGCGTGATGCCGCCGCCCTTCGCGCCCCACCACCAGCACCAGCCGCCGCCCGCCGCGCAGCCTACACACACCGGTCTGAATGCCCTCATTTATCATACATTACGTCTTGAAATTAGGTCATTCTCAATTTTTCCTCCATATTTTTACTTCTCCATGCCGAATTCAGCAAAATTGAGCATCTATGATGGGATGGATCATTTCTATTTCTGTCATAATGGTACTTCTCAGTGTTTTACGTAAATGGCTGAATTTTTACTTAGTAGTGAGTTTATACTTATTATATATAATCTTTCTACTAATAAAAAGCTTGTAGACGATTGTTTCGTTCGATATCCTAATTTAAAAAAAGTAATAATTTAAAACTCAAATACAATTTTCCAGATTATAGTTTAAATTCAGTAATATATAGAGCCGTGGTAGCTCAGATAGTTAGCACTCGCTGTAAATTTCACAGTACGCGACCAAACCGGGCTCGATCCCAGCCGGTATTGGTATATTAATTACGTAATTATGAATAATAAAATAAAAATATATTATATATAGGTCTGTGCCGACCATCATCACCTGTACTCTCAGGACAAAATAAGCTAAGTCCTAATTTCGGTCAGTATATTTAAGTAGTAATTCAAATTTTTTAGATTGATTTATGTATTTAATTTAAGTAATTAGTTGTATGCACATCATGTTTCCTTGATATTTATTAATATAATTTAATTGCAATGAGCCTTCTTTTTTAAATTTATGTTTTAAAATAATTGTGTCGATTTGTTTTTTTTAATTCCTTAAAAATAGTTAACATTAAGCTATCATTATATATATATATATATATATATATATATATATATATATATATATATATATATAAATTATAATTTGCTATAATTGTTAGTATTTGTTGTCTTAATCTTTATTTTAATAAAAATTGTTTAATAATCCACACATCACATCTTTACAATGGGTTTTTGCAAATGCTTACATTATTATATGCACTTAGAGTTTGTATACATGTATATTTTAATTCATTTGTGACCTATATTTTTATATAAGCTGTGTATCTATCTCATTATAAAGCTGTCTTCAAGGCAAGAGTAAATAGGCTTTTGTTTAGCTGAGTGTGCTATACCATCTCCGGCTGCATCACCACTTACCATCAGGACGGATAACTGTCAAGCCAGTGCTTACAATAGTTTTAAAAACTGTTAAAATCCTGTTGGACATTGCTTTTAAAGTTTATTCTTCATGACTGGCAAGAGGTGTATCCGTAAGAGATCAGCTCTTTGACATAATGAAGTTACATGTCACCAGTTTCTTTTTAGTTTTCTAAAAAATATTTGTTGCCAAATGATAACAACATTCTATAATACTGACTTAGCAGCATTTTATTATTTTAACAGAAAATTTACTTAACTGCCTGCGAATTTTGCTCCATAAAAATATTGAAAACTGGCTACCAAAAGTGGCTTACAATTATATCCATAATGCAGAATAAAATTTTAGTAGATAGATATAAACAATAAATAAGTAACTAAAATACTAAGGGAGCAACGAGAAATACTGAATTTGATGGCCAGTAGGTTAAGGCTAGGTTAGGTCTTGGGATACCTTGAATTTGGTAGTTACTCGTAAAAATACAATCTTTTTACGACGTTTTTATTACCTCGCTTTCTTGTATGTTTGTTATTGGTCGAATTTAGTAGTTGATTTTAAACTAACTTCCCGATGAGCTATAAACTCCAAATTTTGAACATAGCTCGGAATAGGATTATTACAATGTAAGAAATATTATTATAATAATATGAAGGAGTTTTATAGTTTATAGTCCGTTTGAAAAACGTGGTACTTTTGATGGATTGATTTGTTTGTTACTCGTGTAGACAGTAGATGTGGGTTGTTATGTCGCATAACTAGTTAAGGAGACATCACTGGCTTTAGAAACTAGTGATTAAGGTAACTAGTTTCTTTAAAATTACGTTACAGTATTGCTATCTAGGCACCGTGATTCTACCGAAGTAATTCAGTTTCTTACGAAATGAAAATAATGAGTGACTGGATTACTTATCCACAAGTTATTGTAGTTTTGCAGTTAAGTCATAAATGTAATTTAGGTCTGACAGCATAAATTTTTTGTTTGTAAAACTATGATTATTTTAAAATAAAACCATTTGATTTCTTATATTTACGCGAACACTACACTTTTAAATAATACTAGTTTTTACGGAATTTATCGCGTATATTTAACTTTTTAAATACCCGACGTTTCGAACGCTTTACAGCACTCATGGTCAAGTCCCGCCCGCGACCATGAGTGCTGTAAAGCGTTCGAAACGTCGGGTAAAATTCCGTAAAAACTGGTATTATTTAAATAAAACCATTTATCCAATAATTAAAATGGGTAATAAGTTGAAATTTTAAATTTTATAATATGCATAGATTTAAAAAACTAGATTCTTTGCACTTTTATATATTAATCTTTTTCAGTTTTTGGTCTATTTTCACTATTTTTACAATATTACAATTTTTTCTTCCATTGATACTTCTTAAATGTACGATAGTGAAAGAATAAACATGTATAATGTGCTCGCAACATGACTTTTGTTTTATTTCGCTCTTTTCGTTTAGTCACTGTATTAAAATGTGTTTTAGTTTAGAGTTGATGTTATTTTGGTATATTTTTGAATAGGGTTCACATTCACTTTCATAAGGTTACATTTGCCGTGATGAAGGAGTTATATAATATATATAAACACTCACGCCTGTCACCCAGAGGGGTAGGCAGAGACTACAGACTTCCATTTGGCACGATCCTGACACACCTCTCTTGCCTCCTTCACATCCATACACCTACGCATACATGCTCGTCGGTTAAGAGTACTCCTAATTTGGCCCGTTTTCAGTAAATCGCCAATTTGGTCGATAAATTTTCGCCTAGGACGTCCCTTTCCGACTCTGCCATTCACTTCTGCACCATAAATTTTCTTTGTCACTCTTTCCTCATTCATTCTTTCCACATGACCAAACCACCGAAGCATTCCTTTCTTAATCCTGGTCACAACATCATCTTGCAAACCACACTCTTCTCTTATTACACAATTTCTTACCCTGTCATTCAGATTCAGCCCTAACATACTCCTTAACGACCGCATTTCTACTGCGTTTATTCTACTCTCGTGCTTCTTCTGCCACACCCAACTTTCACTACCATACGTTAAAGTAGAGACCAACACAGCATTGTGTATTGCCATACGTGCCTTTTTCGACACATTTTGACTCTTCACAATAGAGTGCAAGGCCCCATTTACTAAATAGCCCGCATTCACTCGTCGTTCTATATCCTTATCATGTCTCCCATCCCTGCTAAATACGCAGCCCAAATATACAAACTCATCTACTTGTCCCCCAAATTTACTTTCTTCTCTTTCAAAAACCATAACCTACGCTCACCATACCCCTCATGATCGTTCAATGTAACCACAGCAACTCGCCCCAATAACATTCAATCTTCCAACTCAATTTTGCACCCAACACGGAAAAACTCACATGATGTCAAACCATCCGAGTAACCCCTTATCCTACACAACACTAGAGTCCCTATAAAGAGACTCCAATGCCTGTATCAAGCCAGCGCTCAACCCAAATGAGTTCAGTGTTTGCCATAGCAAATCCCTATCCACCCTGTCATAGGCCTTTTCCAAGTCCATGAACGCACAAAAAACCTTTTGGTTTTTGGCCAGAAACTTCTCCGCGATCATGCGCATGGAAAAGACTTGATCTGTATATCCCATTCCCTTTCTAAATCCCGCTTGCACATCCCAAATTTTTCCATCAGTTTCTTTCATGACCCTTTCAATCAGTACCTTAGCATACAGTTTTCCCACAATGCTAAGAAGGCTGATGCCACGGTAGTTTTTACAGTCCTGCTGCGACCTGCGACCCTCTTCCTTTATATACTGGGACTATCAAGGCTTTGCACCAGTCTACCGGTACCCGCTTCAGTTCCCAGCATAAATTAAACAAGGTGTGCAGCAGGCCTGCCACCACTTCCTCTCCAGCCCTTAGCATTTCGAGTGAAACTCTATCATATCCGGCAGCCTTACCTGCTTTCATGCTTTTCATTGCTTTCATTATTTCATCTATACTTATCTCGCTACCTCTTTCCTCTTCTTTCGGAGTTTCTACTTAGTACACACGTTGTCTCCTCACTCATAAACACGCTTTCAAAATATTTCTTCCATCTCTTTAAACTCAAAACTTCATCATTCAGAATATAGCCATTCTCGTCTCTTATAGCATTCATCATAGGCTGTATCATTCTTATCCTTTCTTTCTTGCTTTTTTCTTTCAACTACTTCTTTTACTCTCTTATTAAGATGTCTAAAGACTGCCTTTTTTCTTTCAATATCACCATTCGTACCACTAGAATTAGCAGCCTTTGTTGCTAGTAAATCTAGCCATGCTCTCTTCTTTGCTTCAACTTCCATACGTATCTCATCATCCCACCATAACGTATTATTTTTCCTTTCATTCTTTCTCTTACTAACACCACATACTTCGGTAGCTGCATCCACTAAACCTTTCTTTACATTTTGCCATATATTCTCCAAGTCTAACTCCTTCATACATAATTCATCCAAACCACTTATATTTTCTTTCAGTCTACATTTGAACTTGTTTTTATCACTTTCATCTTGTAACCTTTCTGTTCTAATACGCTGTAACGCAGTGGTAGACACAGACGATCGATGGCGCCAACGCCTGAATAGACCATTAATTCGGCATAAAACTAAATAATGATCCGTTCCTACGTTAGAACCTCGGTAAACTCTCGTATCTACCACTGCGCCCCTCAATCTTTCATCCACAATTATGAAATCTATCATGCTTCTATCGTCACCTCTTTCCCAAGTATACATGTGAATCCTCTTGTGGCGAAAGCAAGTGTTCGTCACAATAAGATTCTTTTCCATACATACGGTGAGGAGACTTTCACCATTCTCATTTATACTTTCATCACCAAACGTTCCCAATATCCTTTCATAACCAAGCTCCTGACCCCAACCCTTCCATTAAAATCTCCTAGTAGAAAGTATAATAATATTTTCATTTCCCTTACACTTCATTAACACCATCCTTACCATTTCCCAAAACTGCTCTCGGAATATAAGTGGGCTTAGACATGTCTGGGGCGTAGACCCCTAACACAAACAACTTTTTTAAGCCCACTTTCATTCGTATCCATAGCAGTCTTGGGCTTACACATTCATACTCTTTCACACATTGGCCCATTCTTTCTGAAAGGATGATATCTACTCCCTGGCATGCCCGCTCGATCTCGTCTACACCAGACCATTATACGGTATATATGCCATGTGTAGTGACATCCTTCCCCTTCCTTTTCGTCTCATTTACGCATAACACATCTATTCCTCTATCATACATCATATCGCATACTTCATCCATTTTATCATTCATTGCCCCACATACATTCAACGTAGCCAGACGGGCCTCTTCAATCCACTTTTCGCCTCTCTGGAAGACAGAACGTGACGGGTGGCGAACCTCGTCGCCGGTTTTCCTCCCGGAGATTCTTCGCACCCCTGCCCCATTAAAGGGGCGCCGGGAATGAAGGAGTTACTTAGAAATTAAACCTAAAGTACTGCAAATATTTTAGTTTTATACCTTTTATAAATACATAAGCACTCACGCTTGCCACCCAGAGGGGTAGGCAGATACTACGGACTTCCATTTGGCATGATCCTGACCTCTGATCTCTTCGCCTCCTTTACATCGATATATCTATGCATACCTGCTCGTCGGTTAAGGGTAATCTTGATCTGGCCCATTTTCAATTTATCGTCAATTTGATCGATAAACTTTCATCTAGGGCATCTGTTTACTTCCGCAACATAAATTTGTTTTGTTAATCTTTCCTCGTTCTTTCTTTCTACATGACCAGACCACTGAAGCATTCCTTTCTTGGTTACAGCATCATCTTGCAAACCACACTTCTCCTATCACACAATTTCTCACCCTGTTAATTAGATTCAGCCCTAACATACTCCTTAATGACCGTATTTCTACAGCACTTGTACTTTTTATATATTTTTTATTTAATACATAGAAATCAAACAAAACGTAAACGAGTCTTTTTATAATTAAATATTTTCCGTTTCTTATGAAAAATAAATAATTTACTTACTTATTTATTTTTAGGTTTAATTATTTGGTGCGTTATTTGTGTCATCAACACATTTAAATCAAGGTTTGACTTTATTTATTTTACATTATTTTTAAATAATAACGTATGTTTGTGCAGTGGTGGCGGCGCCATCGGCGAACGCAAACCTGGCGGCGCGAGGTAGTAGCCCGGGACGCGAGGCTGGCGGCGAGGAGTGCGGGGTCAAACCTGTTGACGGGGGCGAAGGGGGTGAAGCGCCGGCCGAAGCACCCGCCCCCGCTGCCCCCGCCGCGCCCGCACCGCCCCCCGCCGCGCCTCCACAGGCCAACAGTAAAGAGAAGACACCCATGTGCCTGGTCAACGAGTTGGCCAGGTACAATAAGGTGAAATGTCTTTTTACTTTACATACATACATATACATACATAAACACTCACGCCTGTCACCCAGAGGGGTAGGCAGAGACTACAGACTTCCATTTGGCACGATCCTGACATACCTCTCTTGCCTCCTTCACATCCATACACCTACGCATACACGCTCGTCGGTTAAGGGTACTCCTAATTTGGCCCGTTTTCAATAAATCTCCAATTTGGTCGATAAATTTTCGCCTAGGACGTCCCTTTCCGACTCTGCCATTCACTTCTGCACCATAAATTTTCTTTGTCACTCTTTCCTCATTCATTCTTTCCACATGACCAAACCACCGAAGCATTCCTTTCTTAATCCTAGTCACAACATCGTCTTGCAAACCACACTCTTCTCTTATTACACAATTTCTTACCCTGTCATTCAGATTCAGCCCTAACATACTCCTTAACGACCGCATTTCTACTGCGTTTATTCTACTCTCGTGCTTCTTCTGCCACACCCAACTTTCACTACCATACGTTAAAGTAGAGACCAACACAGCATTGTGTATTGCCATACGTGCCTTTTTCGACACATTTTGACTCTTCACAATAGAGTGCAAGGCCCCATTTACTAAATAGCCCGCATTCACTCGTCGTTCTATATCCTTATTATATCTCAATCACAATCACAATTATGAAATCTTTATTATTATAAAAGTAAAATAAAAAGTACTTATATTTTTATTACTTTTTACTTTACTTTTATTTAAAATGTTAGATTTTATTAATTTTAATTTATTTTTGTATAATATCAGTGCATAAATATGTTGCCCATTGATCCTTAAAAAACTAACAGCTATGGTTATTTATTACAGATTAAGTTTAAAAACTCACGAGCTGATTATATTCGAAATATTTATATTTTCAGATTAAGCATCAATATCGCCTCACCTCTGAGACGGGACCCGCTCACAAAAAAGTATTCACAGTAACACTCCGACTGGGTGATACTGAAGAATATACTGCAGAGGTTAGTTCTTTTTTTATTTTTCTGGTTAAATTTTAGTTTTTGTCTTTGAAACATTAATATGGTAGCGTTTATTTGATGGAATAAAACTAATTTTATGGAATTTATCACATTGAATTTAACTTTTAACCCATGGTCACGGGGAACTGAGGTATTTGACGTTCTAATGTCATAGTTAACGAATGCTACATTCAACTTTAAATTATTAATTTTTCGTCTGGTCTACACAGAACGAGCTTACAGTATTTTGAAGTCTTGCAGTAGTATGCTTGAGTTTGAATTTCATTTTATTAATTATGGGCTCCCAAGTAGATGGTAGCACCCATGCAATCAGTTAAGATGTCCAGAGGTGTTTCGTCCATTAGGCAACAGAACCGACACATCCTTGAGTTGCGTAGTCCCAGGATGGACATGTGCTTTTTAAGACAACAGTGTCCAGTTAGGGCTCTCTTATTTTTACTTAATCCCAGGGCTTCTTAACTGAATTTACGATCAAAAGCCCGGATTAAGATTTTAGAATGTTTTAAGCCCAGTATGTCAGACCAGATCTTAAGTGATTTATTGTGATAAGGATTTTCAAGGGTCAATTAGACTAGGCTTTTTGAGATTATACAAAATTGGTAGAACCATGCTGCAGTTACGTTAGTAGTATAGTTGTAGCACGAATGGGTCGGCTCGACTGGGGAAGGACCACGCTCTTACAGAATACCGGTGTGAAATAGCAGCTTCACGCTGATGTGTTTCGTGTGGTGAGTGTAGGGAACCGGAGACCCTTTTTACTGCAAACGAGGCGTTCCATCTTAGTCCTCAAGGATAACAACGCGTCTGCACTTTGATCCATAATCGAGGACAGATGTAGATATCTATGGGTCACAGGAACACTTACCATCAGGTGGACTGCCCTCCCCTGTGAGCTTGTCGGCAAGTTCATTGCCTACAATACCCGCGTGACCCGGAACCCATCTTAAGACGACCTTGTTGTTACATACCAGGGCGTTTAGACGGTTCACGCTGTCTCCAACTAGCTTTGAGTTCACTAAGTTTGACCTAAGCGCTAGCAGTGCTGCTTAACTATCAGAGGTTATATAAGTTATATGGTTGACGTAGTGCATCTGCAGATTGATATCCGCACACTGAAGTATGGTGAACATTTAATAATGCATCATAGTGCGTGGTAGAGCCATGCTGCAGCTATATTATATTTGTAGCATGAATGGGACGGCTCGACTGGGGCAGGACCAGGACCACATTTTCACAGAATATCAACGTAAAATAGGAGTGTAATGCTGTTGTGTTTCGTATGGTGACAACGCATGTGCATTTTGATCCTTAATTGAGAATAAATGTGGATGTCTATGGGCCACGACATCCATTTATCAGGTGGACTGTGTGGTCGTTTGCCATACAATGCTATAAAAAAAAATAAGCCTCTGCAGTAGGCATGCTGGTTTTAATGTATTGCCTCGTAGCTAGAGCTACATCCCTTATATATCTAGCTATAAGCTTTTCCAGTGTCTTAAGAAGCAAGGAAGATAGGCTTATAGGTCTAAAAGACTGGTAAAGCATAGTCCTTTCTACCAGCCTTAGATAAAAATAGAACTTTGACAACTGTCCATTGTTCTGGAATACATCCCCATGCAAAACTTTCTCTGAAGATTTTCACTAGATAAGAGAGAAGGATATTGATATCTCTCTGTAGTTGGATGGTAATTATTACATCCTCCCCACTAGTCTTATATGGTTTATAGGAGTAAACAGCCCAGTGCACCAGGTTTGGCCATATATTCTTTGCAGCCCTACACCAGTCATCGTTACAAGACTCTGAAAAAGTTCAAGGCAAAACTTATGTGACGCTAGGAAGTAGGTTGACAATAGTAACTCAAATGTTTCTGTTTTTTAAGTAACCCAATCTTATTAGGTTTAGCTTTCGGTAGCATTTTCTATAGTCTTGCATTGCAAGGCAAAGACTCAACTTCCTCGCGTAGCTTCCTCCACAATACTTTTTTGGCTTTCCTTTATTAAATTTCTTTATTGTATTTGGTTAGGGCTGCACTATAATTATCCACTTTTTGTTTTTTAGCCCTATTCCTCCTGGTCTTTTCCTAAGCTCCTTAAGTTTACGTACTCTCCTTAAGCTTAAAGTTCCACCAAGGAATGTTTCGTGTTGAGGTCTTGGCTTTGATGGGACAGCTGTCCTCGAAGGCTTCGCGGGACACCTACAGTTAACGTCTCCGTCGCTAATTCCAGACCAATTCAATCGTTTTGATTCTTTTAGGAAATGGAGGTTGCTTTTGGATCGCTAAAAGCAATAGTTTCATAAGTTGGTGATGCTCCAATCACAAACTTCATGTGTTTGTGATCAGACATCGAGTTTTCACTACTAACATGCTAGTCAGTTATCCGCCTGGATATGTTTTTTTTTTTGTATAGAAGAGGGGGCAAACGAGTATGCGGCTCACCTGATATTAAGTGACTACCGCTGCCCATGATCAACCGCAACACCAGGGGAATTGCAGGTGCGTTGCCGGCCCTTTAGAAAGGAGTGAGCTCTTTTCTTGAAGGTCCACAGGTCATATCGGTCCGGAAAACTCGCCGGTGGTAAACTATTCCACAGAGAGGTTGTACGCGGAAGAAAACTCCTTTTAAAACGTACAGGACCGCCAAGCATCCAGATGGTGTGGATGGTATAGGGACGTTTGCCGCGTAGTGCGTTCACGAAATTTGGCGGCTGGGATTAATCCGAACAATTCCTCAGAGCACTCCCCATGGCATATGCGAAAGAAAATGCAAAGAGATGCAACATCTCTTCGCAGCGCCAGTGAATCGAGCCGATAGGAAAGCACTCGGTCGTCGACGATTCGAGCCGCTCTGTGCTGCTGGATGCGGTCAAGTGGAAGGAGCTAGTGCTGGGGAGCCCCAGCCCAGAGATGGAAACAGTATTCCATGTGCAGCCGAACCTGCGCCTTGTAAAGTTGCAGGCGGTGTGCCGGCATGAAATACTGTCTCGCTCTGCTGAGCACACCAAGCTTTTTAGAGGCCAATTTGGCCTTCTCTTCCAAGTGACCACGAAACTGCACGTCACTCGATATGTCGACGCCGAGGATTCCGATACTGGCTGAGGCAACAATGGGAGTGCCTTGAAACTGAGGAGATACGACAAAGGGATTCTTTTTAGCGGTTAACGTGCAAACTTGTGTCTTCTGGGGGTTAAACTGGACTAGATTTAGTCGCCCCCAATCCGAGACTGTTCAGCAAAGACTCGACTTCAGACACAAGTTTGTCCCGGTACTCGGAGACGTTTTCCCGAGAAATGTTGGCACGGCCGGTGTAAAGAGCATCACCAGTGCTGTCATCTGCATAGCAATTAATGTTACGGGTTTGCAACATATCATTGATATGCAGAAGAAACAGCGTTGGCGATAGCACGCAGCCTTGTGGAACACCAGCATTAAAGCTGTAATCGGAGCTTGCACCGTCTACAACGACCTTGATGCTCCGATCTGCAAGAAAGCTGGTGATCCAATCGCACAATTTCTCGGGAAGCCCATAGGAAGGGATCTTCGAAAGAAGCGCTTTGTGCCAAACCCGATCGAACGCCTTCGTAATGTCCAAACTAACGGCTAACGCCTCCCCTCTGTCATCATCACTCACATATCTCATCATCACATCACTAATAAGCTGGTGATTCTCAAGGTACCTCATGAGCTGGCAGTTAACAATAGACTCCATTGTTTTGGAGAACAAGGAGGTGATGGTGATAGGCCGGTGGTTGGACGGGTCTGAGCGGTCGCCTTTTTTAGGGATCGGGTGGAAGAAAGCCGTCTTTCATGATTTTGGGACTATGCCTAGGGAGTAGGAGTACCGGAAAAGACGCGTTAAAACCGGTGCCAACTCTGGAGCACACGTCCTCAGCACAATCCCCCCAGATTCCGTCAGGCCCACTCGACTTGTGGATGTCCAGGGAGAGAAGTGGTTTGCGAACCGAGTGCTGTGTGAACTGCACTTCCGGCATGGAGTACTCACACCGCGGGATGGTCGGCGGCGTACTCGCACCGTCATCGAATTGCAAAAAAAGCCAAATCGGCTTTTTCCTTTGCGGTATGGACCAGTGAGTCGTCCTCCCTGTGCAGAGATGGAAGAGATGGCCGACAGAAATTCCCCTGGACAGCCTTGGCGAGAGACCAGAATGCAGGGTTTCCAGAAGGAAGGCGAACTAGTTTCTCGCCAATTCTGCCTATGTGCTCTGACTTTGCCTTGGCAATGACTCTTTTGAAGGACCTAGAGGCGGAATTATACTTTTTTTTAGAGCGCTGGTGTTTATATCCCGGGACGTTGATGCGTCAGCCCAGGCTTGGTAGCACTCCTGCTTATAGCATGACGCTATTTTACAGGAGCGACCAAACCATGGTTGAGATTTACCACCAATGGGCACCACAGAGGAAGGAATAAAAAGTTCCATACCCTGAATTACCACATCAGCGACAGAATCCGCAACAACGTTGGGATCGTCCCCAACTGTTGATGATGAGATGTTACTGGTAGTAAAGGTTATATCTAACACTTCTTGCGTAGCACACGTTACAAAGGTTGGTGTACACCCTAAGTTTAGGCTTACCAGACAGTTGAGATGAGAGTCATTAACTCACCTTTGTCGTTGATGTTAGTGCTCCCCCAGGCTGTGTGGAGAGCATCAGCATCACAACCCACCACAAATTCGGCGTTGTGTTTTTGGGCGAACTCCGCCACTCGCTCTAACTCGATGGTAGGATTTTAGCTCTCTCCGGGAAGATAGGCTAAGCAAATGATTACTCTGGCCCCTGTGCATCCCTTGAGATTTATGAAGGCTTTAACCAGGTCATCGTTGTAGTACTTGGAAAAGCAGTCTGTTGCCTTTAGTATTAACTAATATATTACCAGCAGCCGACAATCCCAAAACTTGACTGTTACCCAAGGCTATTGTATGAGGGCGAGGTCAATGTTGTTCTTTACAAAACAAACCACCACAGCAGAAGCAGCAGCTGCATGGTGAAGATTTGCCTGGAGGACCCTCGTCTTACCCTTGGGGTTAGCCAGTTACGGTCGGGGGAGGGGGGGGGCAGGGGTCAGTTTTGCCTGCTGAGGACGACGAAGTGCTTTACTGGCGCTCTTGACCCCCACCACACCTTTTCTTCTGCCATTCCCACTTAACGTTTCCTTACCCTCGGCCGGCACCAACGGAGGCCTTCCACCCAAGGCGAGATCAGCGCCTTGGGTCTCAGTCACTCTCACTGATGACGTCACTTTACTCAAGGTAGAGCTCCTTAGCCCTCCACCTCGAGTAAAGTGGATGGAGCCTTAAATTCCAATTTAAGGCTCCATTATCGTGTCAGAGCCGCCTCTGTTTGCCGCCTGCCGCACGGATAGCCTTTGCCGATGGCTCGTCTAGAGAAAAGGTTACTAAGAACCCATTCTCCTCGTCTGCTAATGTTTACAATTCTACTCAGTAGTAGGAGTCATCATCATCATAACAGCCCTTCATACATCCACTGTTGAACATAGGCCTCCCCCAACGAATGCCACAAAGGACGGTCCTGAGCCACCTGCATCCATCGACTTCCTGCATGTCTTACCCGGTCGTCACTCCATCTCGTGAGGGGTCGCTCTACACTACAGCTGCCGGTACGAAGCTGCCACTCTAGAACCTTTTTTCCCCATCGGTTATCGGTTCTTCGAGCTATATGGCCGGCCCATTGCCACTTCAGCCATAGCCGTCTTCATAGCTCGCTGAGCGACCTTGAGCGTCCTCATACTCACTGGCAACGCACTGGTTGTGCAATCTAGTTTTCAGAGTTTGAGGTATACCTGACGAGAAGACGTGTCGCAATTTCACGAACGCTACCCAGCCGTCGATCCATCGATTGACCTCTCGGTCGAAGTTGGACTTGTCAACAACTTCGAGCATAGTGCTCCCAAAAACTACCGGCATAGGTGTGACATGGACATTAAACTGAATATAAGGTACGCAACGTCTCGTCGACACACTCCCAGTCTTTACAACGTTGTTAACGAGAGACTTGTGGACGATAAATCCAACACCTCCTTGGAAGAGCTGGTCGCCCTCCCGGTGATCAAACATGTTGCCGGATTCGAGAATCACCGTGTCCTCCCCCTCTCTTCGGACCTTGGATAATCCTATAATATTCCAGTGCAGCTTGTCTATCTCTTTTTCCAGCTCCAGGATCTTCTTGGTACTTCTCAGTGTGCGTGCGTTATATGTTGCCAGGTCAAGTCGTCGTAGGAGGCAACCGAACCTCCACCGGAGATTTTTAGCACCCCCTGCGTCGCTGTTACCATGGTCGCCACCGTAGTTAGGAATAGCCGCCGGGGACTGGGAGCCGTTTTTTCGTTATTCTCATCATGGAGGTTATATTGCCATAGTTGCCACGCTTGGCGAGCGGGTTGGCAACCGCAGTTTTTTTGTTGTACAGTTGCTGCTATCAGAAAGATGCTCGTGCTCATCTCCTGCCTGTTTCCCTCTGTCGCCTTTTATGACACCCACGGGACAATATGGGGTAATGGATATTCTTAACCACCACTACACGGCAGCAGCAGGAATATGTGACAATAGATTTCCCATGGTGCACAAACAGCACGCATGGGAGTATTGGTCAGAGCTTGACCTCAGCTCGATTGCTACTTTTGTTTCTGAATCACAAATGTCTATATGTGAATGGTTGTACTCCTAGATGGTTAATATTGTTTTCTAACAGCTGGCCTGGTATATGAACCATAGTCTGACAAAAGTATATTGTGCTGTGACCTGAAACAGTCTAGTTATGTCGAAGTTTCACGATCAATAACATACGTACCAATTATTATATATTATTATATAACGATTGTTTTCTTTTATTCACTGTCCGGAAATATTTAAGCTACAATCCGCTTGCGGTCATGTTTCCGTCAAAACTTCTATAAAAGTGTATAAATGTCCTCCAGACCGAATTTCGGTTACGGCAGCCAGTCTCAACAGAGACTAGCCATCGCAGGACTGGATTAAAGTGTCTAAGTTAATGCATGCGCAAGTACAGGGTGCACGCTCTATTCCCTCACTGTCATAGTTTGATAGGATGGTTATTCGATACAAGCGAAGAGTGATTGATGATGTAAGATTTACGTGCTTTCTGAGGCACGTGGGTGAAAAACCGCCAACCGCTTTGCCCCTGAATTGCTACTGAGAATTTCTTGACAAAATAACCCAATAAATTATTTTGGCCCGACTTGGGATTGGAGCCCGGGACCTTATGATTCACAAACATATTTACGACCATTAGATGAATGAGGCAGTCGTGTGGGCTGTATAAGCGATAGTGTGGTATTGCAGGGCTCGTCGATAAAGCGCGCGCAGCACGCGGCAGCGAGCGCGGCGCTGAGCGGCACGGCGTTCCCGCCGCCGCCGCCGCGCGCACCGCCCGCGCACGCGCCGCACGCCGCGCACCACCGCCACGCAGGTGCCGCCACACACGCACGCCTACACACACGCACGCCTACACACACGCATACACGCAATCATGTAATCTGACTTGCATGCAAATACTTCATGCCTTCATACACGCACCTGCACGCTACCACAGCCACACATCATGTATTGCAAACACGGAACCACATACCGATATGTATACACACGCAATTACACGTCGCCACACACCATACGCTCTCACAAACCTATTAAGTACATGCTCCCCAAACTACAGAATAGATATAATAGTACTACGTACAGAAGTTACATTTTTTTGCACGTTTTAATAACATACATAATTATTATTAATTAGTAAATAACGCACGTAAGCTAAACTAAACGTTATCGCTGCGCACGAGTAACTTTTCACCAGTCTTTCCTACGTCACAGACGATATTTTGTGGTTGCCAATATTGTGGTTTTCAACAGAGTAATAAAATACAGTACGTATAGTAGCTATTAGTTACTTATTTCACTGTTTTACTTTAATATAATGTCTTATCTTACCTTACCCTATTTAAAATAACGGTTATTAAATTTAAGAGTAAAAACCCTAAAAGTAAATAATTTGCTGTTTTTTTCATTATCACGTTTTCAAAGTTGTAATCAATAAATTTTCTATAATATTCATATAAATTACACTAAAACTTGTATAACTATTTTGTCCTATACAATAAGAAAATTTTACATTGTTAAAAAACTACTTCTTATTTTATATCATGCTTTTACACGATCTAATGTTCTCTCATGCCCTCTTTGTACATCTTTTTGTTATAATACTAGTATAGATAGTAGATAAATAGTAGATTTTTGTACGTGATAGAGCCACGCTGCAGCTATATTATGGTTGTAGCACTTTCACAGAATACCAGCGTAAAATAGCACCTTCTTAGCCACACCATACGAAACACTATTTAGCTTCAGCTAAATAGTGTTCCGTATGGTGTAGACGTGTGGAGTGTGTGACCATTGTGAACCTTTTTTACTGGAAACGAGGCGTTCCGTCTTAGTCCTCAGGGGTTACAACGCATCTGCATTTTGATTCTTAATCGAGGATAAATGTAGATGCCTATAGGCTACAAAATCCACTTACCATTAGTTGGACTGTGTGCTCGTTTGTCACCCTTATTTTATAAATAAAAAAATACTATTTAGATTCAGGATTTTTAAAAATGCTAGTGGTGACTAAATTATATTTATTAAAAGATTTTACTAAGCTGCGCTCATATAATATTAACATACGGGGTACGCAGGTTGAAGAATGCAACTCACTCTGGTGATTTTGCTAGCTGTTTCCAGTCTATGAAATTTAGGTTTTTGAATTTTTCACCATTAGTCAAGATAAAAAAAAAATGGCATATTCGCCTTCATAACTTTGACCATTATATTTATAGGAAGTAAAGTAACATCCTGCAGTAAAATGTATTTTATTGTTGGGAAATAAGCCGCATTACATTTCTAAGGAGGTCTTAGAGCAGAAAAGTGTTAGCAAACTTAAGATGACATACAAATATTTTAAGATGTAGCGTTTTGACTTGTGGAGGGATCACTGTCGGCCGCTAACAACGCGCACTTGGTAGGTGCAGTGATGCCGACTGTTGAGCTGAACGCGCTGGCTATGAAGCTGTGCCAGCCGGCGGTGTACACGTCGGTGCCGGCGGTGGGCGCGGCGCCGCGCGCGCGCGCGCGCCTGCCGCCGCCCTACCGCCTGCCGCACCCCGCGCTCCCCGCACACCCCCCGCCCCTTGTGCCGCCGCCGTATCCGCGCATGTTTGGCCCCGGACTCGTATACAGGTGCGCATTATTTTATGCTCACAAGCATTCATGCTACATAAGTGTAAACACGCATGCGGTTTGTATTTTTTTTTAAATGGACGATGATATCAGTTCGGCAGTTCCTTCTTTTTTATATTATGAAACAAGGTATGCTTTCAGTTTTTTTTTCTGAAATTTATTTGGTATTCAATCAATTTTAACCGAATCCGACACAACCGCAGAGAGATCAGAAAACAATGGAATCCATTGTAAACTGCCAGCTCATGCAGTACCTTGAGAATCACCAGCTGATTAGTGATCGCCAATATGGTTTTCGTCGTGGTTGATCAGCTGGTTCTTCTGGTTTACTTGACTCATAGATGGGCGGCGGCAGTAGAGTCCAAAGGGGAGGCATTGGCCTTTAGTTTACACATTGCTTGTTTTATACGTGGTAGAGCCATGCTGTAGTTATATAGTATAGTTGAAGCACGAATGGGTCGGCTCGACCGTGGAAGGACCACGCTCTCACAGAATACCAGCGTGAAATAGTAGCTTAATGCTGCTGTATTTCGTACGGTGAGTGTGGAGAACCGGAGACCCTTTTTACTGGAAACGAGGCATTCCATCTTAGTCCTCACGGGGTACAATGCATCTGTATTTTGATTTGTAATCGAGGATAGATGTAGATGTCTATGGGCCACAGCAACCACTTACCATCAGGTGGACTGTGTGCTCGTTTGACACCCTATCCTATAAAAAAAAATTGCGAAGGCCTTCGATCGGGTTTGGCACAAAGCGCTTCTTTCGAAGCTCCCTTCCTATGGGCTTTCCGACAAATCGTTCAATTGGATCACCAGCTTTCTTGCAGATCGGAGCATCAAGATCGTTGTATACGGTGCAAGCTGGCTGGCAAGGCTGCGTGCTATCACAAACGCTGTTTCTTCTGCATATCAATGATATGTTGTAAACCTGCAACATTCATTGCTATGCGGATGACAGCACTGATGATGCTCTGTACACCGGCCGTGCCAATATTTCTCGGGAAAACCTCTCCGAGTACCGGGACAAATTTGTGTCTGAAGTCGAGTCTTTGCTGAACAAAGTCTCGGATTGGGGCGACTAAATCTAGTCCAGTTTAACGCTCAGAAGACACAAGATTGCGCGTTAACCGCTAAAAAGTACCCCTTTATCGTATCTCCTCAATTTCAAGGCACTTTCCTTGTTGCCTCAGCCAGTATCGGAATCCTCGGCGTCGACATATCGAGTGACGTACAGTTTCGTGGTCACTTGGAAGAGAAGGCCACATTGGCCTCTAAAAAGCTTGGCGTGCTCAGAAGAGCGAGAAAGTATTTCATGCCTACACACTGCCTGCAACTTTACAAGGTGCAGGTTCGGCTGCACGTGGAATATTGTTACTATCTCTGGGCTGGGGCTCCCCAGTGTCAGCTCCTTCCACCTGGCATCCAGTGTAGAGCGGCTCGAATCGTCGACGACCGATTGCATTCCGATCGTCTCGATTCACTGGCGCTGCGAAGAGATGCTGCATCTCTTTGCGTATTTTATCGCATTTATCACGAGAGTGCTCTGAAGAATTGTTCGGATTAATCCCGACCGCCAAATTTAATTAATGCATTACGCGGCAAACCTGCCGATACCATACACACCATTGGATGCTCGGCGGTCCACCATTGTACGTTTCACTAGGAGTTTTCTCCCGCGTACGACCTATCTGTGGAAAATAGGCCTCCCCCCCCCAAGGAACTCCACAAAGCACGTCCTGAGCCACCTGCATCCATCGACTTCCTACAAGTCTTACCAAGTCGTCACTCCATCTAGTGAGCGTTGACTTCATTAGACGTGGCCTCCCCAACTTAACGTTTAGGTTCAGTGAACTCTCACCATTCGGTAATCGCTACCAGTTTTCATCCTTGCGATCACTGAGACATCACCGAACAGTTGTCGTCTGGTCGTCATAATGAAGTCAATCTCATTTTTTGTCGAACCGTCGGGGCTCGACCTGGTCCACTGTCTGTCGGGCTGCTTTTGGAAGAAAGAGTTCACCATAGAGTCCCTCTTCATAAAGTCGGCCAGCTGCTGGCCCCTTGGGTTTCGTTGCCCTATTCCGAGGTTCCTTACTTTCAGCTCACTGTTCTCTATTGTGCCTAGTTTTGCATCGAAGTCTCCTATTAACTGCGTATAATGGATTTTTTAGGCCGTGTAGTGGCGGTTGAGAATATCCACTACCCCATATCTTCCCGTGGGTGTCGTAAGAGGCGACAGAGGGAGACAGGCAGGAGATGGGCAGCAGCATCTTCCTGATAACAACTGTGACGTAATAAAAAACTGCGGTTGCCAACACGCTCGCCAAGCGTTGCAACTATGGCAAATACCCCCCAATGAATAAATACACAAACAGACGGCCCCCAGTCCCCGGCAGCCCCGCTATTCCTGGCTACGGTGGCGACCATGGTAACGGCGGGGCAGGGGGTGCTAAGAATCTCCGGTGGAGGTTCGGTTGCCACCTACGACGACTCCACCTGGCAAAATATAACGCACGCACCCTGAGGACTGACGAGAAGATACTGGAGCTGGAAGAAGAGGTAGACAAGTTGCGCTGGCATATTATTGGATTATCCGAGGTCCGAAGAGAGGGGGAGGACACGGCAATCCTCGAGTCCGGCAACTTGTTCTATCACCGGGAGGGCGACCATCTGTCCCAAGGAGGTGTCGGATTTATCGTCCACAAGTCTCTCGTCAACAACGTTGTAAAGATTGGGAGTGTGTCGACGAGGGTCGCGTACCTGATACTCAGAATCACCAAACGGTATTCGCTGAAGGTCATTCATGTTTACGCACCAACCTCGGCACATCCCGATGAGGAGGTGGAGGAAATGTATGAGGATATTTCCAGAGCCATACATTCCTCCAAAACCCACTACACGGTGTTGATGGGAGACTTCAACGCAAAACTAGAGACACAAGAGAAAGCGGTGAGCTGAAGGTAGGGAAATTTGGAGTAGGGCAACGGAACTGAAGGGGCCAGCAGCTGGCCGACTTTATGGAGAAAGAGGGACTCTTTATGATGAACTCTTTCTTCCAGAAGCGGCCCCACAGGAAGTGGACCTGGTCGAGCCCCGACGGTTCGACAAAAAATGAGATTGACTTCATTATGACGACCAGACGCCAACTGTTCAGTGATGTCTCAGTGATCGCAAGGGTGAAAACTGGCAGCGATCACCGAATTGTTAGAGGCACACTGAACCTAAACGTTAAGTTGGAGAGGTCTCGTCTAATGAAGTCAACGCTCCGTCCCCCCTCGTGCTCTAATCCAGAATCCCGAAACCTTTCAGCTCGAGTTACGTAACCGCTTCCAGTGCCTAGAAGATTGCAATGCAGTGGACGATATGAACGACAAGCTCGTGGAAACTGTCCATGCGGTCGGAGCTAAGTTCTGCGAGACCCGCCGCAAAAGAGCACAAAAACTCTCCGATCACGCTCTTAATCTCATGGCTGTTAGACGGGAGATGAGGCTGCAATCGTCAACAGATTTGACAGCATACAGGCAACTGAACAGACAGATCTCCAAATGCATGCGGCGAGACTTACGCAACTTTAATACTTCTCGTATTAAAGAAGCGATCGAGCGGAACCAGGGCTCCAAAGTCTTTGCCAGAGATCTGTCTGACAGAAAGAGCCAACTGTCAAAGCTGAAGACTGAGTGTGGCAACATCGTTTCCGGGACACCTGAGATTCTGAGTGAAATTGAGAGGTTCTATGGGCAGCTGTACACATCATCGTTGGAGCCACAAGCAAGTGTGAGTAACGATCCAAGAGCAAGTCTTATCCGACACTATTCCAATGACATCCCGGACGTCAGTCTGAGCGAGATTAGAATGGCTCTCCAGCACCTTAAAAACGGCAAGGCCCCGGGCGAGGATGGAATTACAGCGGAGCTTCTGAAAGCGGGTGGAACACCGGTACTTGAAGTCCTTCAGAAGCTCTTCAATTCCGTCCTCCATGGTGGCACTACTCCGGAGGCGTGGAGCAGAAGCGCGGTGGTTTTGTTCTTTAAGAAAGGCGACAACGCTCTCTTGAAGAACTACAGACCTATTTCCCTTCTGAAGCCGCGTCTACGTGCTGTTTTCGAGAGTCATTACGAATCGTCTCGCACGCAGACTCGACGACTTCCAGCCTCCCGAACAAGCCGGTTTCCGAAAAGGCTTCAGTACCATAGACCACATACATACCCTGCGGCAGATTGTACAGAAGACCGAAGAGTACAATCTGCCACTTTGCCTGGCATATGTGGACTATGAGAAAGCCTTTGATTCCGTCGAAATATGGGCGGTGCTACAGTCCCTTCAGCGGTGCCAAGTTGACTGTCGGTACATCGAAGTGCTGAAGTGTTTGTACAGTAGGGCTACCATGGCTATCCGAGTACAGAACCAGAGTTCGAAACCTATCCAACTGCAGAGAGGTGTAAGACAGGCTGATGTTATATCCCCGAAACTCTTCACCGCTGCGTTGGAAGACGTTTTCAAGCTACTGGTCTGGAAAGGATACGGTATTAACATCAATGGCGAATACATCACTCACCTTCGATTTGCCGACGATATAGTCCTTATGGCAGAATCGCTGGAGGACTTAAGCATTATGCTCAATGACCTCAATAGTGCCTCCCAACGGATAGGTCTTAAGATGAACATGGACAAAACAAAGATCATGTTTAATGTCCATGTCACACCTGTGCCGGTAGTTGTTGGGAGCACTATGCTCGAAGTTGTTGACGAGTACGTTTACCTGGGACAAATAGTCCGACTAGGTAAGTCCAACTTCGACCGAGAGGTCAATCGACGGATTCAACTCGGCTGGGCAGCGTTCGGGAAATTACGACATATCTTTTCGTCAGGTATACCTCAATCTCTAAAAACTAGATTGTACAACCAGTGCGTGTTGCCAGTGATGACTTACAGATCAGAGACGTGGTCCTTCACTGCTGGCCGTATGAGGACGCTTAAGGTCGCTCAGCGAGCTATGGAGAGGGCTATGCTCGGAGTTTCTCTGCGTGATAGACTCAGAAATGAGGATATCCGCAGTAAAACCAGAGTGACCCACATAGCCCAAAGGATTAGTAAGCTGAAGTGGCAATGGGCCGGCCATATAGCTCGAAGAACCGATAACCGATGGGGAAGAAAGGTTCTCGAGTGGCAGCCTCGTACCGGTAGGCTTAGTGTAGGGCGACCCCCCACTAGATGGAGTGACGACCTGGTAAGACATGCAGGAAGTCGATGGATGCAGGTGGCTCAGGACCGCGCTTTGTGGCATTACTTGGGGGAGGCCTATGTTCAGCAGTGGACTTGTGAAGGGCTGTAATGATGATGATGATGAATGTATTTTTCGTGGCTCTGGAGATATCAACATACATTTTCTCCACCAGGATGTGCCTTGGTTGGTGCGTAAACCTGTATCCAGTGAATACAGTTTGGCCATTCTGAGTATAAGGTACGCAACTCTCTCATCGACACACTCCCAATATTTACAACGTTGTTAATGAAAGACTTGTGGACGATAAATCCGACACCTCCTTGGAACGAGAGGGCGACCACACTACCGGTGATAAAACAAGTTGCGGGATCTGAGGATTACCGTGCCACCCTCTCTTCGGGCCTCGGATAATCCTATAATATTCCAGCGGAAATTGTCTATCTCTTCTTCAAGCTCCAGAATCTTCTCGAAAGTCCTAAGGGTGAGTGCGTTATATGTTACCAGGTCGTGTCGTCTTTGGTGGCAGCCGAACCTCCGCCGGAGATTCTTTGCACCTCCTGCCCCGCCGTTACCATGGTCGCCACCGTAGCCAGGCATAACGAGGCCGCCCGGGACGGGGGCGGTTTATTTGTATCGTTGCTCATCGCAATATACCTCATATTGCCATTGTTGCCACGCTTGGCAAGCGAGTTGGCAACCTCAGTTTTTTTAATCGCATTTTGCTGTTATCAGAAAGATACTGCTGCTCATCTTCTGCCTCAGTTTCCCTCTGTCGCCTCTTACGAAACCCATGGGTAGATATGGAGTAGTGGGTACTTTTACCCGCCGCTACACGGGCTTTTGTCTTTCAATAATATCTTTTTACTGTACTTGTCGTTTTTGGTCAACATTAAAAAACGAGATTTACAATTTGACGCAATTTTTGAAGGTATGTATTTTGTATCTCCTTCAATTGTGAAGTGATTATCCTAAGCGTTGTCTCAAATAAATATTCTACCCTTAAGAACTGCAAAATGGGAGTGAAGTTTTAATGTAACAAGTTAGATGACAATGAGAGTGTGATATTCCTTAGCTCACTTAAAAAGGTAGAATTAGTGATTTCTTATATTTACGCGAACACTATACATGATTAAAACTACTTTTACGGATTTTATTGCGTTTATTTTTACTTTTTATTTACTTTTATTTTTAATTCCCGACGTTTCGGGCACTTTCCAGCACCCATGGTCACGGGAGACTGAGATGTCTGACGTCCCGATGTCATTGTTAAACCCGGAGTACCTTCAGCTTTTTTATTTATTGTTTATGGTCCGATCTATGCAAAATGAACTGACTTTGTCCTGAGGTCTTGCAGTGGTATGCTTGGGTTTAGTTTTAATTTTATTGATTATAGGATCCCAAGCAGGTGGTAGTACCCAGTCTCCTTCTCTATTGAAATTAGGATGTTTTTTAATTTCAGTAGCGTCACGTATCATCCTTGGTAGGAATCGGTGCTCTTTCGCGAGGATTTGTGGTCTATCAAATCTGATGTAATGGTTGGGTCCGTCTAGGATATGATCACAAACTGCAGACTTGTGTCAAGACAAGTCTGCCACAACGTCTTAGAGGAGGAGAGAAGGAGGCTGGGTACTACCACCTGCTTGGGATCCTATAATCAATAAAATTAAAACTAAACCCAAACATACCACTGCAAGACCTCAGGACATAGTCAGTTCATTTTGCATAGATCGGACCATAAACAATAAATAAAAAAGCTGAAGGTACTCCGGGTTTAACAATGACATCGGGACGTCAGACATCTCAGTCCCCCGTGACCATGGGTGCTGGAAAGTGCCCGAAACGTCGGGAATTAAAAATAAAAGTAAATAAAAAGTAAAAATAAACGCGATAAAATCCGTAAAAATAGTTTTAATCAGGTAGAATTAGAATAGAATAGAATTTATATTTATTTTCTCATCACAAACAGGTACAGAATTATTGACGACAAACATGTTAAACTATAAACAAATTGAACCGTAGTTTGTGACATAAAGGTATTAAACAATACCTGTTCTGTAGGTCACCGGGTCCCTCCTCACAGATTGTACGTCTTTGAATTTCACGTTTGTGTAGTATATTGAAAACATTACTTTCATTTAATTGGTTATGCGAAAATCGACATTTAGTAAAATGAAGGATTAATATTACAAATCCAATTAATTAAATGATACAGATATATTCATATTTTTGATTAAAGTACATAATCATATTATAATTATATGTGTGTATGATATAGTTGCAGATGTAAGAAACTTTCAGCGGATTCGTATGTTAAAGATTTGAACCAGTTTATTGTTTTTTCTGCATTTGTGTTTAGGAAGAGGATGTATAGATAACAGCCTATTTATTTTGTTGTAGATGTAATTACTGACATACGAGTAGGTGTAGTGTCTCTTGGCTAAGCTGGATTTAACCGTCGTAGGACAGACATTGTCCTTTCTCCTTTTAGTAATGCTGAGTATGGGATCTTAATTCAGTTGAGAATGCTTCCTATTTATTGTTTTTAGAATAATTATTTGCCTAACGATGATGACGTCCCATAATCTGTACAGTTCCGTCGTAGCATGTCTATAAGGGAGACTAGCTGCAGTTTTGAGAATTGCTCGTTGAGCTCTCTCAGCTTCAATAAGGTGAGTTTTAGCTGCACCACCCCACACTGTGATGCAATAGCTGATTATAGATTGACTTAGAGCGTAATAAATAGATTTGATAAAAGAACGATAAGCTATGTGTCGGAGGAATTTAAAAATATAAATTAGTTTTCTCAGTCTAGATACCAGGGAGACGATGTGCAACATGAAGACGAGAGTAGAATCAATAATGACTCCAAGGTATTTAATAGATTCAACTCTTTCCAGCGTAGGACACAAGCAAGACGCGTAATTTAGAGAGCTGCAGTAGTGGGCAAATATAGAGCCAGAAGTAGGTAGACTTGACTTCTTTTAGGCAAAGATCATGTATGTTGTTTTTGTAACATTGAGAGTAAGTATGTTATCAATCAACCATTTGTTAACAATGTTAAACTCTTTTTGCGCCAGTTCAAAGACTTCTTCCCTTGAGTCTCCATTAAAAACGAGAGCTGTATCATCAGCAAATGTAACTATTTTCCCTCGGGTATCTGGATCTCGCACAGGTCATTAATATATATGAGAAACAGCGTTGGACCTAAAATGCTACCCTGTGGCACACCATAGGTTACTGAAAGCTCATCATTGAGAAAATCACCAAGCTTGACACTGACTACGGTTGGTAAGATAACTCGCAAATAGATTTAATGCTACGCCCCGTACTCCTACTCCTTCGAGTTTGTTTAACAAACGAGGAACAGAAACTTCGTCAAAGGCCTTGGCTAAATCAAGAAAGACTGCTATATTCTTTTTACCATTATCAAGATCGGAGATTAATGTATTTGTTAACTCAAGAACAGCATCCTCAGTTGACCTTCTGGCTCGGAATCCAAATTGATTATGAGAGATTACGTTCATTGAGTTTAGAAAAGCAATAAGTCTCTTGTTTAGGATTTTCTCTAGGATCTTAGATAAAGTAAGTAGTATTGATATAGGTCTATAGTTGTTAACGCAGGTACTGTCACCTCCTTTGTGGGTTGGTTTGATAATCGAGATCTTTAAATGTCTAGGGAAGGTACCGGTTTCGAGGGCAGCATTACAAATGTGGGTTATTAGTTATTTGTGTATTGCCTAAATAGCCATTAACTCAATGCCTACAGCACAATCGCCCTTTAGTCCCATTATAGTTTTGCTAACTTCATATTTATCTGTAGGTAGCAGACAAAGTGAATTGCTCATATAAAAGTTGGTGGGAGTGGTATTTCGGTGAGCCAAACTTAAATTTAAGATCCTTAGCTAATTTATTCCCAACTCCAGCAAAAAACTCGTTAATCAAGTGGGCAGTAGCAGTTGAATGTTTTTGATATTTTTTTGGAATGGGTAACATGTCGTCCTTTTTCTTGGTGTATGTCACATTTCTTATTACATCCCAGAGTTTCTTTTTGTTTTTAGTGCTTGTTGTAAGGGACTTTTCATAACTTCGTTTTGCTTTTTTGAGACACATTAACTAAATAAAAAGTAAAAGCCGACTTCCAAACATTAATAAGAATAAAAATATTCACATTGTGAAGTCGGGACTTTGATTCTTCAATACACTACGACATAGCTTTTGAGAGTTATTTTTTAGCATATTAAGTGTATTTGGCGAGTGGTGTGAGTGGTGGAGTAATGGCATGTGTGTGTGCGTGCGCAGGGTGCGCGTGTGCGTGGGCGGGCGCGCGTGGCTGGGCGAGGGCAGCACGCCGCAGGCGGCGCGCCACGACGCGGCCGCGCGCGCGCTGCAGGACCTGCGCCCGCACCACCCCGACCCCGAGCCCGACACCGACACCGGTTAATGATTATAAGCAATTTCAAAATATTAATATTACCTTGCATTTACATATTATGAGAAATTTGTAAACAAAAAAATTACCAAATTAGTATCAAAAAGAAACTAGGAGTTATGCCCCGTCGCTACAAATCGTTTTTTTTTATTTTTTTTATTTTATTAATAAGGCACAAACAGACTGAAGACAATACCAAACACATTTACAGTAACAAAAATATTATAACTAGTCTATAATCCAATAAAGTGTGCACAGCAAAACAAAATATGACAGAAAAATAAACTAATAATACATAGTACTAGTGACAAGTAAAAAAACAACTTATTTATTGATATTCGTGAAATTTACATATTTAACGTAGCAATTACAGATCTTCTAAATTGTGAAATATTAGAATTAAAAATGTCTAGATCAGCGTTACGATGTCTCGTCGAAATGTCGACACCTTCTAATGACCGGATTAAAGAAAGACGTGTTGTTTCTGTAAACATCAAGGCGAAAGATACGCGAGTTACAGAGACGGGATCGACTGTTAAAATCCTGTTCGCCAAGCGAGCGCGCGACATGTTATACTCCCGTTCGCTCGGGACCGTAATGGCGGGAAAATTTGCAAATTAGCAAATTTTTTGCTATATTGCAAATTTTGCTATATTTTCACTTTGAGACAATATTTATGGATAAAACTTACAGGAATTCTTGTTGAATGTATAAACTATCGAATAAAATTATTTTTGGTTGCTAGAAATTGTAATAAAATACGTAAATTACCCTGTATAGCATAGTAGTGGTATATACTTCAATTTTAGTGACAAAATTACTACTAATTTGAATTCTACACTTTTGTTTTTAGAGAAATTTATATGAAAATGTTTGGAAATATGTATATTTTTATGTTTTATGTGTTTCCATTCGTTACTCATACCAAAATATTAAAATATTAAAAAAATTAAAAAAAATAATAATAATATTTTATCTGTGTGACATTTAGAACAATATTTCTAAAATAGTTTTGTGTGAATTTGAAATAAATACAACGTCAAGTTATTTGAAATATGTAAGAAAACTATTTTTACTTACATTTTACACTAAAAATAAATGAGAATTTGAAAAATAACACATTTATGACCCAGTCGCCATAATGGGCCTTCCAGATTTTGAAGCACTTTTGGCAATTTACTTTTCACTTTTTATACCACAAATTATATATATATATATATATATATATATATATATATATATATATATATATATGTGTGTGTGTGTGTTCACTATATTACAAGGAATATAAAAAAGTATAATACTTCGTTTTTAGTCCAGACACAAATATAAAATTCTATAAAAAAAGACGGAGCACCTTCATCAAAACGACACGTGGAACGCCGAAAGTTCAGAGTGATTTTTTTTTCTAAGAAACATTGCCAGGTTATGGTTTAAAATAAAAGAGCATATCTTTGTCTTTGATACTATTATCTATTGCATAGTGTCTTTGGTTTTGTTTAAAACGAAAAAATAGTTTTTTCATAGGTACACACGTTTACATAATTCTGATCAAATTAGCTCACTGCTTGGCGGACGTAAGGTAGGTATTGTACGATCAAAAGTGCGCATGGCTTGGTTTACAGGTTAAATTAAGCAATTCTGAGAAATCGATGGAGAAGTGAATGATTTTGTGAAAGTAAGGTGTTATAAAAACAACCTGCTTAACTCGACTTGAATTTAGTATTAGTTTAGCATTCACTATCGAGACCATATTTAATGTCTAAAAATGTGAAAATTGCCTATAAATATAAAAAAATATGTTTAATAACGCTGTCAATAAGTACTTATAAAAATAAAATGCTTTCGATGTCTTCTTGCCTCCTCTTCCGTACACGTTTATTAATATTAAAAAAATGCTATAAGTACCTAAAAATGAACATGATGTGTAGAAAGCAATTCAAATAAGAATAGAAACCTCAAACGGCTTGCAAAGAAATTTGCGTATTGATAAAGTTTTTCAAAATACAAGCCGGTGGAATATTTAAAAAACCTACATAAATACATGTTTTTTTTATGATGTCACAATATAGCTATAACATTTATATATTTACATCACACGTAATGCTGTAACTAACTAAATAAATTTAATTTAACTATCCCACAATCACATATTTGGCAAGTAGATTTACACTAGGAGGTAAGACTCCTTTTATTTATTTTACTATTGCAAGCCTTATTTGACTACTATTGTGATGGTAAATGTTGATGAGGCCGAAGATAATAAAGCGCACTGACTTAACTTAAAAAATCCAGTCCACTCTTACCTTGAAAGCATCTACATTATAATCGGATGGATAGATAGATGCTGGCAAGTTATTACACTCCTGTGCCTTAAACATTACGTTTCTTACCTACTTTTGCTGTCAACTAGTGTGTAAGTAGTGATTGCACTATCGAGTTCTGCTCTGATTGATAAACGGAGTCAGTACAGTATAATTACAGGCTCTGAAATATTTCACTTTGTCCTCCTTTGACAACACATCTGTAGCATTTTTTGCCTGAAGTTAGTGCTGGTGTCCAGGGACTACAGTAGTTATTGTATTTGCGATCTTTGCATTAAATGGTTGAATAAGATTTTAACTATTTAAAGTTTATGTACCAGGAGAAAATGTTACACTATTGTAAATTTATGATATTTAAATATATTCAGGTGGAGATACAAGTACAGATCTGTTAAATTCTGAAGTAAAGTCTCCAGTGTCATTGGTGCATGAACTGGCTCTAAAGCGAAACCTGTCTGTGCAGTTCACAGTAAAATCTGAACGTGGACCACCGCATATGCGGGTAAGTTTTATTGCCTCAACTTTAGATGAATAACATAAATGTGTGGTCAAATCTAACTCCGCTCACTCGATTAGTATACATTCGGTCACTTTTACAGGCCCTCAAGTTTCAATGTATTTAAAACGCTTAGATGTCAGTAAGGGACCAGGACCTGATGGCATTCCACCCTTGTTTTTACAAAGATGTTACCGTCAATTAGCTAAACCATTAGCAATTTTGTTTAGAACTTCCATGAAGTTGGGTGAAATGCCTTTAGAATGGAAAAAAATCGTTCATAACTCCCATATTTAAAAGTGGTAATAAGCACGATATTTCTAATTACCGTCCAATTTCAAAATTAAGCTCGATTCTAAAACTATTTGAGAAAATTATTTATGACAAACTCTCCCAAATAGCTCGACCAATTATAATTCCTGAACAACATGGTTTTATAGGTCGAAAGTCTACAGAAAGTAATCTTTGCGAGTTTCTTTATCACCTCTATATTGCAATGGATAGTGAACTGCAGGTAGATAACCGATTTTACAAAAGCATTTGACAAAATTTCACATAGTATTCGGATACACAAATTAGATCAAATTGGTGTACATGGTGATTTACTTCGATGGATATCTTCTTATCTTAGAAATCGTAATCAGGCAGTTGCAATAAAAGGACACTGTTCATCATTTCTCCCAGTTTGTTCAGGTGTTCCTCAGGGTTCGCATCTTGGTCCACTACTGTTTATAATATTTATAAATGATGTAATATTCTGCTTCCATAATTCTAAAATTCTCCTTTTTGCAGATGATATGAAAATTTTCAGATCTATTAAATCTATAGAAGATTGCAATCTACTTCAAGAGGATCTGTGTAGGCTTAGCTCATATTGCCAAGCAAATCATATTTACTTGAACATTAAGAAATGTAATATTATCTCATTTACTAGGAAAAAGAATCCAATCCTCTTTGACTATAAGCCCGACGATAATTTACTAAAGAGAGTAAATGAACTGCGTGATCTTGGTGTTCAGTTTGATAATAAGTTGTTAATGAGATCACATATTAGTATAATAACTCAAAGAGCTTATAAAATGCTAGGTTTTGTGATGTGTATCTCAAAAGATTTTAAAAACTCTACAACATTAATTATACTATATAATACTCTGGTGCGATCTATTCTTGAATATTGCTCTTCATGTTGGAATCCTCAATACAAAATTTATGTTAAAATGATTGAAACAATCAATAATAAGTTTCTGCGTCACTTAAAGCGATATGATTCTTCCGTAGACTCCTTTATTGAAAAGGAGAAAGAATCATATCATATGTAAGAGCTTACACAGTTCTACACTCGAAAAACGCCGTGATATAAGTGATCAAATGTTGTTGTACAAATTGCTACATAATATCATCGACTCTCCCCTACTTTTTAAGCAAAGTGAATCTTGCGTGTCACTGGTTAGGTGCACGAAAAAAGCCTCTTTTTGCATTACGTAAAGTAAAAACGAAGTATGCTTCAAATAATTTTGTATCTCGTACATGTAAAAATTTTAACTTAAAATATTGTGAAATATTTTTCCTTAAATATAATAGTTATAAAAAATATTGTAAAACTTAATTTATAATTGGTAGCTTCACTATAGGTTGTGTGTATTGTATTACTTTTATTTTACTCTTAGTACTTAATGTTTAATTATAAATACCATTTAGTTATTTTTTTTTCAATCTTTAAACATATTGTGGTTGCAAGCTTTTAATATGTTTTAGATATCTGTAGAAACTTCATTGGTTTTAGGTTTACTTTTATATGTTTTATAATGTATTTTTTATTGTACTGTATGTTTCCCTGATAAAGCAAATAAATAAAAATTAAAAATTTTGGACAACCGACTTTAATGTAAATAAAATGAGAACATCATCAATGTAGGAAGTCAATTAAATACACATACATTATAAAGGATAACTCAAAAGCTACTGGTCAGATCTAAATCCAATTTATATGAGACCGACCAGAGGAGAAGCAAGTAAGCAAAAAGTCATAAAAATCGATTCACTTAGACAAAAGTTCTGAGGAAAAAAAAAACATACAGTTGAATTAAGTACCTTCTCCTGCTTTTGGAGTCGGTTAAAAATAGTAGTATAACGCCGTTATGGGGCGCAAGAGAATCATTACCCTACTTCGTTTAATGGTGTAAGAGGCGACAAATTTTAGGCAAATTTTATGGTTTCCGAATCGATGGGTAGCGGTATACCATCACGCTTATATCAGACCAGCATATTGGCGACAGGCATCACCGTCAAAGATGCGAAATCTCTAGTACTTGGTGTCTGTTAGTGGTGGGTCGTTGTCGAATTTTTGACGGACGAAACGCAACCGTTTTCCCGACGACGAAAACGGTCGTTGTAGCAACTGGTTTGAAGACTGCTTAAAGGACGAAACTTATCAAATATGGAATAGAATTGCGTTTTCATCGAGTAAAATGTTTGCAGTTTCTAACAACTTTCAACGATTTGAAATGTATGAAATTCTTTACTAAATAATTCGTTTATTGATCGACTTTACTTTGTAGTGTATGTGTAGTGTATGCCCATGTAGGTATATACACGATAGCCTAAGAGAGATTCGACAGTATTAAATCTACATTCAAGACCACTAACGTATCATTTGGTCCCCGAACCTCCCAACATTACAACTTAACGATAAAATGAACTTCCCTTCATACTTTTCTAGTGTTAGGTCTGGCTGCGACAGACTTAGCATTACCAATAACATTAGCGATTAACACTAGAGACTGTATTTCATTGATAAAAAGTTTACTTATTATTGTAAAGACTGTTTAGTCTCTGTCTTCGTTTGTAAACGTACGCAGGACCAAAAACTACAATATAACGCGGAACGAACAGAAGAGGGTTGGTTGCTTTGTTTTGTGCTGAAGAAAATGTGCCTAACCGATTATTCATTTACTATAATATGTTTAAATAACCTACTAAGCATCGAAATAATTCTTTATTTTCAATTTATAAACTACTTTACTTACTATTAAGCTATTATGTTTCCTACCGTAAACAGTTCATTTAACTAGTGACAATTTCACACAAATTGTTGGTCCTTGAACCACGGGCTGTGAATGAATCAGAGTTCAAGGCCGGTATTCGGAGGTAATTTCGAGTTCAAATTCAAACTTCACAATTTGTGTTAATAGGACCAATTTTCTGTACATGATAATTAGTAAGTAATATTAATGGTTTTTAGAACCTATTTTGTCATTATGCAGTTTCAGCTTAAAGTCGTTCAGCGAGCTATAGAGATTGCTTTGCTCGAGTTTTCTCTGCGGGATAGACTTAAAAAATTTAAATATCCGCAGTAGAGCCAGAATAACCAACATAGCCTAACAAATTAGTAAGCTGAAGTGGCAATGGGCCGCCTTTAATGCTCGAAGAACTGACAGACGATGGGGAAGAAAGGTTCTCAAGTGACAGATTCGTACCGGTAGGCGAAGTGTATGACGGTCCCATACTAGATAGAGTGACGACCTGCTAAGATGTAGAAATGAAAGTCAACGGGTGTAAGGTGGCTCAGGACCGTGCTTTGTGGCATTCCTTGAAGAGGAGCCTGTGTTCAGCAATGGACTTGTGAAGGGCTGTAATGAATAAATGAATGGAGTTTATTTGAGATGGTTTCTAAATATGGTCGTAACGGTGCAAACACAACCCGGCAGGTGTTCGTGACGGCGTGCACCGTGGGCGAGATGGAGACGGAGGGCGAGGGGAACGGCAAGAAGGTGTCGAAGCGGCGGGCGGCCGAGCGCATGCTGGAGGAGATGCGGCGCCGCTGGCCGCCCGCGCTGCTGCGCGCGCGCCCGCCGCACGACCGCCGCCGCCACCAGCCCGCCAAGAAGAAGCCGCGCAACCTCATCAAGGTGAGCCCACCTGGCCGCGCCACTCACACGGACACGCACGCACGCTGGAGGAGATGCGGCGCCGCTGGCCGCCCGCGCTGAAGCGCGCGCGCCCCCGCCCCGCCGCCGCCACCAGCCCGCCAAGAAGAAGCCGCGCAACCTCATCAAGGTGTGCCCACCTGGCCGCGCCACTCACACGCACACGCACGCACGCACGCTGGAGGAGATGCGGCGCCGCTGGCCGCACGCGCTGTAGCGCGCGCGCCCGCCGCACGCCCGCCGCCGCCACCAGCCCGCCAAGAAGAAGCCGCGCAACCTCATCAAAGTGAGCCCACCTGGCCGCGCCACTACCACACGGACACGCACGCACGCTGGAGGAGATGCGGCGCCGCTGGCCGCCCGCGCTGTTGCGCGCGCGCCCGCCGCACGACCGCCGCCGCCACCAGCCCGCCAAGAAGAAGCCGCGCAACCTCATCAAGGTGAGCCCACCTGGCCGCGCCACTCACACGCACACGCCACGCACGCACGCTGGAGGAGATCCGGCGCCGCTGGCCGCCCGCGCTGCTGCGTGCGCGCCCGCCGCACGACCGCCGCCGCCACCAACCCGCCAAGAAGAAGCCGCGCAACCTCATCAAGGTTAGCCCACCTGGCCGCGCCACTCACACGGACACGCACGCATGCTGGAGGAGATGCGGCACCGCTGGCTGCCCGCGCTGCTGCGCGCGCGCCCGCCGCACGACCGCCGCCGCCACCAGCCGGCCAAGAAGAAGCCGCGCAACCTCAACAAGGTGAGCCCACCTGGCCGCGCCACTCACACGGACACGCACGCACGCACGCTGGAGGAGATCCGGCGCCGCGGGCCGCCCGCGCCGGCGCGCGCGCCCGCCGCACGACCGCCGCCGCCACCAGCCCGCCAAGAAGATGCCGCGCAACCTCATCAAGGTGAGCCCACCTGGCCGCGCCGCACGCACGCACGTGCGACATATTTAGCTGTAACGATCGTTAATACACTTGTCCAGCGTGCCAATAACGACAAAGCCTGCCAACAATAGAAGAGAGTTATTTCCAAATATGAACTATTAATCGTATATATTATAATCTTTGCTTACACCGTAATTTTTGTGTATACATATATAATAATACATAAACACACACACGCCTGTCACCTAGAGGGGTAGGCAGAGATATCATTTGGCACGATCCTGACATACCTCTCTCGCCCCCTCCACATCCATGTGCCTACGCATATATGCTCGTCGGTTAAAGGTACTCCTAATTTGGTCCATTTTCAATATGTCGCCAATTTGGTCGATAAACTTTCGCCTAGGACGTCCCTTTCCGACGTTCATTTCTGCAACGTAAATTTCCTTTGTCATTCTTTCCTCATTCATTATTTCCACATGACCAAACCACCGAAGCATTACTTTCTTAATCCTGATGGTCAAATTAATATTCGTGATATATAATTGTTAGCAACTACAGCCTGCTAACCATCGCTCACAGGCTGTAGTTGTTAACAATTGTTTATGGTTTTAATGGTTGGGTGTCAATACCGAGTGGCGTACCAGAGGGGTCCTTGCTGGGCCGTTGCTATTTCTCATATTTGTTAAAGATATTGAAACCTGTTTTAAATCATCACACCTACTGCGTTTTGCTGATGATATGAAAATATTTTCCACAATCTCATCTCAGGCTGATGCTGAATTACTGCAAGAAGATCTACTAAGATTGGAGGAATACTGTAATATCAATAAGCTCGAACTAAACCCATCAAAATGTACACTTATTACATATTCACGCAAGCGACACTTAATTCATTTCATCTATCACCGTAAAGGTCAGAAGTTACAAAAGCAATCTGTTGTACGTGATCTAGGGATTTTCCACGACTCTTAAGTTATTATTCACCACCCATGTTGACAATATCATAGTTAGGGCATCTAGGGTGTTAGGTTTTGTCATGCGTACTGCAAAGGAGATTAATAACATTAAAACAATCAAAATCTTGTACTGTACTTACGTCCGCAGTACGCTTGAATATGCTTCGCAGAGCTGGAATCCGATGTATGACACACACATTTCACGGATTGAAAGTATCCAACATAAATTCATACGGTACGTTTGCTATCGTAGCCATAGAAACTACCGATCAAAAGAATATCTATCCTTATGCAAACAGCGTCATCTGTTACCTCTGATAATGCGTCGGGAGATTGCTGACATTGTATTTTTATTGAAAATCTGTTGACGGCAATGTTGACTGTTCTGATTTGCTATCACGAATATCACTGAGAACGCCTACTGTGGACCTTAGAACGAATGCATTACTCTACTTACCAGCTTCATCAACTAATTATGGAAGAAATACTTTCATATATCGGTCTATAGTATGTGCCAAATCGATTGAAAAAAACGGATAATTAATATACGGGTGACTTTGTTGCGATTGCAGGAGGGTGGATTCGGGTGCCCGGGCGGTGGCGGTGCGGGAGGAGGCGCGACGGGCGGCGGCGGCGCGGACAACCCGATCTCGCGGCTGGCGGTGGCGCGGCACGCGGCGCGCGCGCGCTCGCCGCAGTACCGCGTGCTGGAAGAACGCGGCGCGGCGCGACGCCGCGAGTTCCTCGTGCAGTGCGACGCGCCGCCGCACTGCGCCACCGGGCTCGGCCCCAACAAGAAGACCGCCAAGCGCCGCGCCGCGCACAGTACGTACCCATCTGCCTACTGCCCTGCCCCGGACGCTCGCCGCAGTATCGCATGCTGGAGGAACGCGGCGCGGCGCGACGCCGCTAGTTCCTCGTGCAGTGTGACGCGCCACCGCACTGCGCCACCGGCCTCGGCCCCAACAAGAAGACCGCCAAGCGCCGCGCCGCGCACAGTACGTATCCACCTGCCTACTGCCCTGCCCCGCACGTTCGACGCAGTACCGCGTGCTGGAGGAACGCGGCGCGGCGCGACGCCGCGAGTTCCTCGTGCATCATCGACCACCATAAAATCAATTGATGATTTATTTGTCATGTTCAACAAAACATACAAAAAAATGTAAACAACAAACAAAGTAAACCAAAAAACCATATTCATAAATATACATCAAAACAAAGCATCAACTTAGCATTGTGACCCCTCATGATGGCTGAGCTATGTTACTGTTAATCTACTGCGAATAAATAATACAAAAAAAGATGTTATTTTAGCTATTTTAGTATGTAGATTTATTTAAAAATCTGATTAAAACATTAATATCAATTACATAATGTAATAGAATTATTAACTATGGAGTGTAATTCCCACTATTGTTGATGGATAATATAAAAAATATATAAAAGTTGCTACGATATGATAATTGATTTAGTATGATAAGAAAAACGACTATTTCATACGAATGCCTGTAATGCGCTGATGACTGATGCTCTGTACTAAATTAATAACATTAAATATTTATAATAAGGAGATTTATTTCTAGTAATTTAATGATAAAGTCTACTAAACAAATCAATTTTATAACTAAATAAAAGTATATCGGAACAGTTATCTTCTGTTACTTGAGATTAAAGTTAGAAACACAAAAACACTTATCGTACTAAGCTATTCAAATAAAAATAGGACTGACCTGGTGCCATATTGTGACGTCAATACCATCAATTCAAAGTTTAACCGGAATCTACAATTCGCTCATCTCTGTATCACTATTTGAGTAGTCATTACCAGTCATCATCATGAAAAATATAAGCATGTAGTCATTTCAACTAAAATTAAGAATTTCACAAGAGCGAAACTACTTTTAAATATTCTACTTAAAACTAACTATTTTATACTTCTTACGTCTTTGCTTTTTTTTATTAAAATATTTGTGAGTCAATAAAAATTAAGTAGACATAAAGTCGTAGCAACAAGGCGCACGTCATCCATGTTTAAAACATTACGTTGAATTACAGACGAATATGTAAACGCGTCGAAATCGTCTAGGAATAAAAAGCTGAGTTATTCGCGAGTTGTTCGTCAGATAATCTAACGTGCCATAAAAAAATCACAAAATAACAATTACATAACAAGGGCATTGTCTAGCTTGGAAGATATGGGGAATTTCAAGGAGAGCATTTAAACGTCAAAAATAAGTTCTCACTCTATTGTTAGTATTAAAATGTTTAAATGGCAATACTATACAGTAACATGTCTTTTGTACAAGTTTAAATAAAAATAAAACTTTACTCATCTCGTGTATATCTAAACAACTTTCTAAACCATTGTCTTTCAGATGTCCTGTTAGCAATGGAGATGAGCGCAAGTGGTACTGATCCTTCTGCAGCGACTGCTCCCAGTAGCGAAACCTCAAACACAAATGGGACAACCGAAGGCAATAAAACGAACAACAGTAATGATTCGAAACGAAAGGTATTCTTATGATGATTTTAAGTGATGCAATTTTAGTTTTTTTAATAATAAAATTTAACATTTTTAACGTAGCCGCCATTTACTAAAAATTTTAATCGTATAATGTCGTTATAACAATAATAATAAGTTAATTCACACGAAATATGGTACAAAGATATTCTTATAAAATAATAATGTATCACATATTTAACCAATTTTGGTATATGAAAACTTATGGTTAGAATATACAAAATTTAAGTAAAACTAAACGTGCATCAGTTTACAATTTTGATATTATAGTCAACCAAATCTAAGAAATACCTTTTGACGTTTCACATTAATCATTCCGCAATAACTTTGCACAAGTGTACTCACACGATTTAAAATAACCTTTTACGTAAATCCGAAGAATTATAAAGTTATCTATATTTCATTACAACGTGTATATTTTTTTATCACTAATTTAAATTTGAATCTTTCAAACAAAGCAAAATATCGACGCCCCCCGCGAATAATCCGGTAATTGTAAAAGTGTAAATGTTCAGGAAAAATAAAAAACCATTTTTCCTTAATAACTCCATTAAACAACAAGTATCAGATACTTTTTATATCGCATATGGAAGCTAATTTTTTTAGCTATCTGGTTATTTCAACAAAATTTAAGTAGTCCCAAGGGCTTCGTTATAATTTAGAAAAAATTTAAACTAAAATTTTTATAACTGTGCTTCTAGAATAAGCAGTAGTAAGAGATTTTTTTAAGAATTGAATATTGTACATTCTCATTTTTTGGTTGGCATGCTTGATACAATATGTCTGACAGCTGTCAAAATGTATTTCTTAGATTTGATTGACTATAATCCTTTAAAACACGATTAAATAAGAAACAGCGTTTAACAGTCGATAGAAACGTTCTTTTATTTTTAGCAGTTCATTTACCGAATACAATTGTTTTTCCAAAAGCCACTTTAGTAAATTACGTCTGAATCGATTATAATCTGTTTGCCTTATTTCATCTGGGATTTTATTAAACACTTGAATAGTTTTTGATGAAGGCAAGATAATTTTATCTGGGTATCTGGTACTATATGTTACTGTATCTTTTAATCTAGTAAAAAATGAGTTGAAATTAAGAATATGAGTTCGTAAATTGTTTTGACTATCTATAAATCTAAAAGAGTATTTCTTCGTTTAGATTTGTCAAGAAAAAACTACAAAATTAAAATATACAAACTATGCAGCCTGAATTGCAATAAAAGTATGTGCTTTTCACATGTATGTTAAAATTAATATGCAAGAAAACCTTTTCTGTTTCTTTAACACATATGGAAAAAGTGACTATAATTTTAATAAAAAAAATCCTTATAACTTACATATTTTAATATATGTATTTAGATACCTATTACCTTGTGCAATCTTTGTTTTCATAATTTTTTTCTTTAGTATGATGTCAAAGTAACCTTTGAATAATTATTCTAAACAGGATAATGAGGCAGTTACGGGCGGCGGTGCCAACATCGAGGTCCGGCAGCCCGTGCCCGGCGTGTTGATGATGGACTACCACCAGCGCTCTGGTCAACCGCAGCAGCACAGCACCAACGGTACTGCACTCGTGACCGCAGTTGCTTTCAAACACAGATAGCTCGCAGGGATTCCGATGGGCGCTATAAAGTTTGTCTCGTATCAGCAGATCGTGACCTCGCAGCCGCGCAATATACTCTTCAAGATGATATAACGCTTCTATATCAATGGTCTCATGATATGGGACTAGTTCTTAATGCAGAAAAAACCAAAGTCAAGCATATTAAGGTCGAGTCATAACTCATAACACTGTATATAGTCCAATATCAGCAATTATGCATACACACAAATGTATCATCATTCATCATCATTACAACCCTTCACAGGTCCACTGCTGAACATAGGCCTCCACCAAGGAATGCCACAAAGCACGGTACTGAGCCACCTGCATCCATCGGCTTCCTGCACGTCTTACCAGGTCGTCACTCCATCTAGGGGGGTGGGTCGCCCTACACTACGCTTACCAGTACGAGGCTGCCACTCGAGAACCTTTCTTCCCCATCGGTTATCAGTTCTTCGACCTATATGGCCGGCCCATTGCCACTACAGCTTACTAATCCGTTGGGCTATGTCGGTCACTCTGGTTCTACTGCGGATATGCTCATTTCTGAGTTTATCACGCAGAGAAACCCCGAGCATTGCCCTCTCCATAGCTCGCTGAGTGACTTAGAGCGTCCTCATACGGCCAGCAGTGACGGACCAAGTCTCGGTTTCGTAGGTCATCACTGGCAACATGCACTGGTTTGGTTGCCACCTACGACACAAATGTATATATGGACTTATTCAAAAATGCATATGTACACTAATAGAACAAGTTACAAATCAAAAATACCTAGGCCTTATCATAGACAAAAGATTTAAATGGGGTTGTCATGTAGATACGATTTGTATTAAGCTAAGGTCATTGCTTGCAACATTCTATATTATCAAGAATAAAGTGGCATTTACAGTACTACTATCAATGTACCATGCTCTAGAAGATTCGACAATATCATATGGAATAACAAGTTATGGTCGTACATTCGAACTTAGCAAGTATAAATATTGGAAGGATCTATAATCTACAACTATAATTCTTAAAGCTCACTTTAGATGGCAAAGTAAAACAATACTGTGAAGAAAATAACTATATTGTTATTTTTAAATACTGTAATGCCATACCTATAAATAAAAAAAATCCTTCATTAAAAATGATAAAATATTTTGATAGAACACGACAATGTTATGTAAAAACTGTAGCAAAAATAAAATAAAATAACTTATGGAGACAGGCGAATTCTAAATATATTTACTGCAATTCTCCTGGTTTGGTCTTATGGGCAGCGGAAGTCACTTACCATCAGGTGAGCCGCATGCTTGTTTGCCCCCTCCTCTATAAAAAAAATGTCTTCTATACTAAACGATCTTCTAGAAAAAATTAAGAACGAATTCTTCCAGCTGTTGCAAATATGCTCACATGTGCTTTAGTGGACCATGCGGATAAAGGAAGAAACGAAGGCGATATTGTGAAGATTGAAAATGTCGCAACTGCGCGAATATCCCGCCATTTTTGTTTTAATGTTACCTGCATTCAACCTAATGCAAAAGATCTCTTTTCAACCTACTTAAAAAAAAATCTCCATTCAACTGTATTTTTTATGAGTTACTTTCGAACTTTTTTTTTTAGGTGAACCGATTTTAGCGATTATTTTTTATTTGAAATGTAGTGCTTCTCATGTGGCCCCATATAAATTTGAACAAGATCTGACATGGTTTTTGAGTTATAAAATAATTCGTATTTAATTGACTTCGACTACAATGAAGACGTTTTCATTTTATTTATATTGAAGTTGGTTGTACAAAATTTTTAAATTGTTTACTTGTTGTTTCACATTAGTAATTTTTTCACCCTTGTGCGACGTTTTAGGAGTGAGCGAAACTAGTGCGACGGGCGGTTCGGGCGGCAACACTCCGGGTGCCAAGGATCAACTCATGTATCTGTCGCAACTTCTTGGCTTCACAGTACAGTTCTCCGATTTTCCGAAGGTGAGTCTCACTATATTATAAAATTATATTACGTTTAAAAGAAAAACGAGAGAGTAGATTTGATTTACTAATTTGACAATGGAAGAATACACAAGTGTCGTAAAAGGCGACAGATGGAAACAGGCAGGAGATGGGCAGCAGCATCTTCCTGATAACAACAATTGTACGACAAAAAAACTGTGGTTGCCAACTCGCTCGCCAAACGTGACAACACAAATAGACGGCCCCCCAGTCCCCGGCGGCCCCGCTATTCCTGGCTACGGTGGTGACCATGGTAACGGCGGGCCAGGGGGTGCTAAGAATCTCCGGTGGAGGTTCGGTTGCCCCCTACGACGACTCGACCTGGCAACATATAATGAACGCACTCTGAGGATTGACGAGTAGATCCTGGAGTAGGAAGAAGAGATAGACAAGTTGCACTGGAATATTATAGGATTATCCAAGGTCCAAAGAGGGGGAGAACGAAGTGATTCTCGAATCCGGCAACTTGTTCTATCACCGGGAAGGCGACCATCTGTCCTAAGGAGGTGTTAGATTTATCGTCCACAAGTCTCTCGTTAACAACGTTGTAAAGATTGGGAGTGTATCGACGAAAATTGCGTACCTGATATTCAGAATTACCAAACGGTATTCGCTGAAGGTCATACAGGTTTACGCACCAACGTCGGAAACATTCCGATGAGGAGAGCCATGCATTCCTCCAAAACTCACTATACGGTGTTAATGGGAGACTTCAAACGCAAAACTGGGCACAAGAAAGAATGGTGAGCTGAAGGTAGGGAAATTTGTGATAGGGCAACAGAACCAAAGGGGCCAGCAGCTGGCCGACTTCATGGAAAAAGAGGGACTCTTTATGATGAACTTTTTCTTCCAGAATCGGCCTCCCAGAAAGTGGAACTGGTCAAGCCCCTCGACAAAAAATGAGATTGACTTCATTATGACGACTAGATGGCAACTGTTCAATGATGTCACACTGGACCTAAACGTTAAGTTGGAGAGGTCTCATCTAATGTAGTCAATGTTCTGTCCCCCTCAAGCCTTAATCCAAAATCCTGAAACCTTTCAGCTCGAGTTACAAAACCGCTTTCAGTGCCTAGAAGATTGCAATGCAGTGGACGATATGAATGACAAGTTGGTGGAAACTGTCCACGCGCTTAGAGCTAAGTTCTGCAAGACCCGCTGCAAAAGAACACAAAAACTCTCCGATCACACTCTTAATCTTATGGCTGTTAGACGGGAGATGAAGCTGCAGCAGTTAGTAGATTTGACAGCATACAGGCAACTGAACAGACAGATCTCCAAATTCATGCGGCAGGACTTACGCAACATCAATACAGCTCGTATTGAAGAAGCAATTGAGCGGAACCAGGGCTCCAAAGTCTTTGCCAGAGATCTGTCTGCCAGAAAGAGCCAACTGTCAAACCTGAAGACTGAGTGTGGCAGCATCGTTTCCGGGACACCTGAGATTCTGAGTGAGATTGAGAGGCAAGGTGAGTAACGATCCAATAGCATGTCTTATCCGACACTATTCCGATGATGTCCCAGACGTCAGTCTGAGCGAGATTAGAATGGCTCTCTATAAAAACGTCAGGGCCCTAGGCGAGGATGGAATTACAGCGGAGCTTCTGAAACCGGGTGGAACACCAGTACTTAAAGTCCTTCAATTCCGTCCTCCATGGTGACACTACGCCGGAGGGGTGGAGCAGAAGTGCGGTGGTTTTGTTCTTCAAGAAAGGCAACAACACTCTCTTGAAGAACTACAGACATATTTCCCTTCTGAGCCGCGTCTACGTGTTGTTTTCGAGAGTCATTACTACTTATTACTACATTAATACTTATTATTAGAATAGACCACATACATACCCTATGGCAGATTGTACAGAAGACCAAGAGTATAATCTGCCACTTTGCCTGGCGTATGTGGACTATAAGAAAGCCTTTGATTCCGTAGAAATTTGGGCGGTGCTACAGTCCCTTCAGCGGTGCCAAGTTGACTGTCGGTATATCGAAGTGCTGAAGTGTTTGTACAGTGGGGCTACGATGGTTATCCGAGTACAGAACCCGAGTTCGAAACTTATCCAACTGCAAAGAGGTGTAAGACTTGGTGACGTTATATCCCCGAAACCTTTCACTGCTACATTGACAGACGTTTTCAAGCTCCTGGACTTGAAAGGATACGGTATTAACATCAATGGCGAGTACATCACTCTCCTTCGATTTGCCGACGATATAGTCCTTATGGCAGAATTGCTGAAGAACCTAAGCACTATGCTCAATGACCTTAATGGTGTCTCCCAACTGATAGGTCTTAAGATGAACATGGACAAAACAAAGATCATGTTTAATGTCCATGTCACACCTATGCCGGTAGTTGTTGGGAGCACTATGCTCGAAGTTGTTGATGAGTATGTTTACCTGGGACAAATAGTCCGACTAGGTAAGTCCAACTTCGACCTAGATGTCAATCGACGGATTCAATTCGGCTGGGCAGCATTCGGGAAATTACGACACATCTTCTCGTCAGGTATACCTCATAACCTGAAAACTAGATTGTACAACCAGTGCATGTCGCCAGTGATGACTTACGGATCTGAGACGCGGTCCTTCACTGCTGGCCGTATGAGGATGCTCAAGTTTGCTCAGCGAGCTATGGAGAGGGCTATGCTCGGGATTTCTGTGCTCAACTCAGAAATGAGGATATGTGCAGTCGAACCAGAGTAACCGACATAGCCCAACGGATTAGTAAGCTGAAGTGGCAATGGGCCGGCCATATAGCTCGAAGAACCGATAACCGATGGGGAAAAAAAGATTCTCGAGTGGCAGCCTCGTACCGGTAGGCGTAGTGTAGGGCGACCCCCCACTAGATGGAGTGACGACCTGGTAAGACATGCAGGAAGTCGATGGATGCAGGTGGCTCAGGACCGTGCTTTGTGGCATTACTTAGGGGAGGCCTATGTTCTGCAGTGGACTTGTGTAAGGCTGTAATGATGTGTCTGTGTATATATGTATATATAAAGTATAGGGTTATTACAGAAAAGGCTTATAGAATAGAATAATTTTTATTATAATATAGTATTATGACCACTAATTCGAAGAAAACCTCTGTCCTGGGAGGAACCAGCAAGACCCAGCGGGACATTTCTTTTAAATACAATTAAATTACAATTTATTTTATTTATTAATTTACCCACGACTATGAAATACACAGATCAGAGATAATCAACTATAAAATGTCCTATGACTAATTTAATAGGTGAGAATAATAATCACTTCGTTTCCACAAATTAATTTTCCGAAGAGTCGAGGATGACCTAGTAGCGGGATACAATAAGTACACCGTGCCACGCCAGAATCAAGACCACCCGCTCCGCTGCGCGGTCGCTTTATACCCGTTGCAAAACAAGCCGAGGCGAGTAGTGCGGCGTGCGGGCCGTGGAGGAAATCGAGTGACGCGCTGGGTGGCGTGATCGGTGCACGTGTTGTTTACAATAATTCTGACTAGCTACAGAGGCGCTGCGGCGCAACTGCAACAGCGCAGGCGCCGTTACATATATATTTCTAAAACCAAGTCACAGCCAGTAGTGAAGAACCATGTCTCAAATTGGCAACATACGGTGTCGTTTTCAAGTTTAGGAGTAAGCTGTCGAGCTGATTTAGCTTTGCGCATATCTTCTAACACTTGTTATGTTTATATCTGTCTGCCCACAGCGCAACCACGGCGAGTACCTTTCCCTGGTGTCCCTGTCGACGGAGCCACCGGTGATGTGCCACGGTGGCGGCGCCAGCACCGCGCACTCGCACGAGCAGTGTGCCCGAGCAGCGCTGCGGGCGCTCGCGCTCATGGGCCTGGAGCCGAGCGACAGTGCCGCCCCCGGGTACGTACAGCGCGCTGTGAGTGAGCCGTGTGCTGCGGGCGCTCGCGTTCACGCTCATGGGGCTGGAGCCGAGTGACAGTGCCGCTCCCGAGTACGTACAGCGCGCGAGTGAGCCGTGTGCTGCGGGCGCTCGCGCTCGTGCTCATGGGGCTGGAGCCGAGCGACAGTGCCGCCCCCGGGTACTCACCGCGCGCTGTGAGTGAGCCGTGTGCTGCGGGCGCTCGCGCTCGTACTCATGGGGCTGGAGCCGAGCGACAGTGCCGCCCCCGGGTACGTACCGCGCGCTGTGAGTGAGCCGTGTGCTGCGGGCGCTCGCGTTCACGCTCATGGGGCTGGAGCCGAGCGACAGTGCCGCTCCCGGGTACGTACAGCGCGCTGTGAGTGAGCCGTGTGCTGCGGGCGCTCGCGCTCGTGCTCATGGGGCTGGAGCCGAGCGACAGTGCCGCCCCCGGGTACGTACAGCGCGCTGTGAGTGAGCCGTGTGCTGCGGGCGCTCGCGTTCACGCTCATGGGGCTGGAGCCGAGTGGCCGTGCCGCTCCCGAGTACGTACAGCGCGCTGTGAGTGAGCCGTGTGCTGCGGGCGCTCGCGCTCGTGCTCATGGGGCTGGAGCCGAGCGACAGTGCCGCCCCCGGGTACGTACCGCGCGCTGTGAGTGAGCCGTGTGCTGCGGGCGCTCGCGTTCACTCTCATGGGGCTGGAGCCGAGTGACAGTGCCGCTCCCGGGGTACGTACAGCGCGCGAGTGAGCCGTGTGCTGCGGGCGCTCGCGCTCGTGCTCATGGGGCTGGAGCCGAGCGACAGTGCCGCCCCCGGGTACGTACAGCGGTGCGAGTGAGCCGTGTGCTGCGGGCGCTCGCGCTCGTGCTCATGGGGCTGGAGCCGAGCGACAGTGCCGCCCCCGGGTACGTACAGCGCGCTGTGAGTGAGCCGTGTGCTGCGGGCGCTCGCGTTCACGCTCATGGGGCTGGAGCTGAGTGACAGTGCCGCTCCCGGGTACGTACAGCGTGCGAGTGAGCCGTGTGCTGCGGGCGCTCGCGCTCGTGCTCATGGGGCTGGAGCCGAGCGACAGTGCCGCCCCCGGGTACGTACCGCGCGCTGTGAGTGAGCCGTGTGCTGCGGGCGCTCGCGCTCGTACTCATGGGGCTGGAGCCGAGCGACAGTGCCGCCCCCGGGTACGTACAGCGCGCTGTGAGTGAGCCGTGTGCTGCGGGCGCTCGCGTTCACGCTCATGGGGCTGGAGCCGAGCGACAGTGCCGCCCCCGGGTACGTACAGCGCGCTGTGAGTGAGCCGTGTGCTGCGGGCGCTCGCGTTTACGCTCATGGGGCTGGAGCCGAGCGACAGTGCCGCCCCCGGGTACGTACAGCGCGCTGTAGTGAGCCGTGCTGCGGGCGCTCGCGTTCACGCTCATGGGGCTGGAGCTGAGTGACAGTGCCGCTCCCGAGTACGTACAGCGCGCTGTGAGTGAGCCGTGTGCTGCGGGCGCTCGCGCTCGTGCTCATGGGGCTGGAGCCGAGCGACAGTGCCGCCCCCGGGTACGTACAACGCGCTGTGAGTGAGCCGTGTGCTGCGGGCGCTCGCGCTCGTACTCATGGGGCTGGAGCCGAGCAACAGTGCCGCCCCCGGGTACGTACAGCGCGCTGTGAGTGAGCCGTGTGCTGCGGGCGCTCGCGCTCGCGCTCATGGGGCTGGAGCCGAGCGACAGTGCCGCCCCCGGGTACGTACAGCGCGCTGTGAGTGAGCCGTGTGCTGCGGGCGCTCGCGCTCGTGCTCATGGGGCTGGAGCCGAGCGACAGTGCCGCCCCCGGGTACGTACAGCGCGCTGTGAGTGAGCCGTGTGCTGCGGGCGCTCGCGTTCACGCTCATGGGGCTGGAGCCGAGCGACAGTGCTGCCCCCGGGTACGTACAGCGCGCTGTGAGTGAGCCGTGTGCTGCGGGCGCTCGCGCTCGTACGCTCATGGGGCTGGAGCCGAGTGACAGTGCCGCCCCCGGGTACGTACAGCGCGCTGTGAGTGAGCCGTGTGCTGCGGGCGCTCGCGTTCACGCTCATGGGGCTGGAGCCGAGCGACAGTGCTGCCCCCGGGTACGTACAGCGCGCTGTGAGTGAGCCGTGTGCTGCGCTACCGCTCATCTAAATATTAACACCACTGCATACTGATGATCATTGGCATAATGTGCCGCTACCGATTTTGAACCAAACGAGGATTCGAGCCCAGGTCCTCATGACCAGCAATTGCGTTTACGACGACTAGACCAACGGGTAGTCAATAAATTCTCAGTACCTTACCGGCGTCGGCAAGTTAGCGGTGTTTTCCACTCGTGTCTCGAAAAGCCCGTAAGCCGTTGGCCTCCGCCTGATCTCTCTCCGCTTGTGTTGGATTACCGTTCCATCCAAGTATGAGAATGAGGTATTAGAGAGTGCACCCGTGCTTGCGCATATACACTCGAGCATTATAGTCCTATCCCGCCATTTAGGCTCCATTGAGACTGGCCACCGTGACCGAAATTTAATCTGTTGTTCTTATTGTTAAATTGCGTGCGTTTACGTGTAATTTGGGATTTATTTTATGTTAGGTTACATAGGAGGTTTTGGCCACGCTTATCAAGCGGGTTCGAAACCATTTTTGTTTTATTTTTAGTTTTTTCATTATTTTGTTGGTATCAGGAAAATACTACTAGGTAATGTCACGTACATTACCTAGTAGTATTTTCCTGATACCTCTGTCACCTTTATTTCCCTCTGTCACCTCTTATGACACCCACAAGATGATATGAGGTAGTGGATTCTCTAACGCAACCACTTTGCAGCCTTGCTACATTCTTTGCTATTATAAGCAATTGCAAAAATTACCTTAAAATTACATATATTTTTTTTTTATTTCAGAATGCAAAACATGCCAGGATCCGGTGCTAAGACGGGAGTCATTAGCAACGGGATCTCCGAGTGAGGAGATCAATCACACAAAATCATACAAACCATTCGATATGGTCATCATTTTTAGTTAGTTTTCTCATCATTGTATTGCAATATGTAAATAGGGTAGGTGAATATTTCACGGCTCGAAATAAACGGTTCGGGACTTCATTTATTGACCATTTTATTAACATTTCTAGCCATGACATATTCTCAATGACTACATTTTGGATCTCGGGTTTATAGCAACATTAAAATTTTTAGTTATAATCACTATATACTTTTATTTGTCATATTCTAAATTGACTGAAAGCAAGTTTTTTTTTGTTGATTCATGAAAAACTTCAATCCATTTGATTTCTGCACTAACTTGGTCAATATAGTTATATATTTTTTGGAAACATGATAAGTAATCATTCTAGCAGTAAATCATTTTGATCGTAGCTCATAGTGTTACCTGTAAGACAGCTGTTTTATGTTAGTTTATGAATTTTATATACAATTAAAGAAAAAAAATTACACGGTGCAAAGACTAATAACATAAAATCAGAGGCTGTGAAGCCAAACCAAAACGTTACTTTGAGATGAGTCAGCGTTATCGGCCACGGTTGCACGCATCCACATCTACACACAGTACTAACCTTAGCTTTCGTTGGTAGTAGGAAAAGTCTCCTAAGTATATTTGTGCGATGTGTGGCGAACGTGGCGGTCACAAGAACGTTAACGTTACATCATGCGGCCATGGTGTATCTTAGGTTAGCATAAAGTAGTAATCGCCGTAATCCTCGTTCGAAATTCGATTATTCTTAGGCATTTAACAAGTTTTGATCCTCACTTCACGCCGCCTAATATAGTTAGCGATATGTTCGGGGAGTACTGCGATTAGGACATGTGGCCTCGATTTTTAAGATCGCTCTAGTGAGCGAACGTTTGCACTTTTCCCCGACTCTAAGCTATGAAATGTGTAATTTTATAATTAAGTCATAAACTAACCCGATTGATAGGCTATTCTAATATAATGTCTCCACTGACACAAAATCATTTTAAACCGTATAATGAACTTGTACCATCTTCGGAGTAAACTTTTTGGACGTATTCAAAGTAAAGATAGACATGAACTGCAAATTGACGCAATCGACTCAATATTCTTCTAGGATAACTAGGCTAAGGATGCTTGTTAATTTTAGGATGTGTTACTTATGTATTTTATCCGTAATTAATATGTATCTGTAGAATTTTGACTAATTACATTTTATCATCATATATTTAAAATGTTGATACAATTGATCGGTAGAGTTATACACTAGTTTATAACATATAAATATCCCAGGGATGCCCATTTATCCGATCACTTGTACGATAAATATACCTTGACGATTGTACATTTCATTGTAATGGGTCTGATTATAAATGTCATGTTACTTAGTGGTAACGGTATCGCGGACTTTTGTAGGCTTTCAGTCATGTCGATAACTTTTACTCTTAAGTAAACACTATATACAACATTTGGTTTCTATAAGATCTGTAACGCTGACGAAATGTCTTATTTCTTATTTTTGTTGAAACGGTTATAAATCGAGGCCATTATTACAATTTCTTCATGTTGGATGTTGCACAAGTAACAACGCATAAAGAAATTATTGAGTTATTGGAATATCAAAAAAGCCACAAGGGCATTAAGAAGTGTTTATTTATTTTGTTCTAAGTAACTAATATTTTATATTACTATATTTATGGGTGAAGCAAGTCCCAATTAAACTTCGTGCTGTTAGCAACTCTGTAAGATATATTAATAAAGGTAAAAAAACCGAGGGTTACTTTTTTACACGTCCTTAAACTTCCTTTATCTGCTTTCCTACTACGGCCACACCATGAAGGTTAGAGAACAGGAGAACGATCACTACGTACTAAAGCATAGCCCGCCTGTCCTTGAAAATTGTAGAATGTATAGCGGCGCTGAGGTCGGTGAGTAGTGACTGCGAAGTTAGCTGTTTATGATTACAAGTAGATGAAGTTGAATAATGTACAAATTTTCTCCGCGGCGTTGGTGAGAAAAATTTCATGCTCCGTAATTTTGTAATTATTGACAAAAAGAAACATTAAAAAATGGAGAAATATTTTACTGTGCGTGGATGTGCAAGTGGTTGAGCATCTGATCGGAAAAATAGACTGAAAAAGACTTTTATTGACCGAACTTAGCGATCGCAGCACCTCACTTATGGTATCCATATTTCTGGGACACTATTTTCTACGGCGATTGTTCTCCTGTTCTCTAACCTTCATAGGCCACACCATCTTATGCTACGGTCACACTACCGTGATATGCCAATAATTATTGCCATAACTTCAACAACGCCTAGGTGTAACCACGGTTTATGGCCATAATTTTACAATGCCAATCAATATGGCAAATTGCGGTAGACAATAGCTTCGGGGAAATCTGCACATACATAACAGTATTGCTCAGTGACAGCGACAACTCAGATGAGTTGCTCGACCGACCTGCATTTTGTATGAGGGCGAGCGGCCTGTGTTGGTAAACAAATGAACGAAACAAGACGACCGTGATGTAAATTATAAAGGCGAACGGACGAATTCCCATACAAGCCTGGAATGGGAATATCTTACCCCTAATAAAATTTCGTGTTTTGGGATATTTTATTTTATTCATTTCTTTTAATTGGTACTTAGTAGGATAGACACACCCTTCTTAAATTCTTAGATTTTTAAAACTTGGGACGTAAAAGTTATAACCAGTTTTATTTTTTAAGGTTATATACTAGTTCAATGTAGATTGTTACATTAGGGCAAACAAATATTGTTTTGGTGATAAGTTTAATATTCTATATTACTTGTCGCTATCTTTGCAGTGTTTTTTTTTTACAATTAAGTCACTACGTAGATTAGGATGAGGATCGGTATCTACTCAGTAGGTTGCATTATGAGATACCTATATCCGGCAGCGGACTGCAACAGTTTGATAATGATGAAGTTATGATGGGGTTTTTTTCAATAAATAATTGCCATATGAACACAAAAAATGATGAAAATCATTCATATCATTAAGTCGTTAAACATTATGATTTTTTGCAACGATTATACATTCTTATATATATATATATATATATATATATATATATATATAAATATATATATAGTGTTATTTCTATTTTTATATAATTATCATTTCGATATTTGTGTTATTTTACATATGTCATCTAAAAACATAATTGCGTTTAGTTTACGATTATATTACGTTTTCAAATATTTTTATTGGTATTATTAATTAATCCGAAGTTCTAAAAATAGTACACTAACATGAAAATAAATGGCTTGTATAGTTGCCTTAATATCTGGTCATATTTGTTAGCAGAAGGTTGCGAAGTAATTAATATTTTTATTATAATGGATTTCCGCAAAGTAACGCCTGATTCTATCAAATATCTTAAAAAGGCTAGCACGGCCGACCAGACAAGACTCTATGTTAAATTAATAAAACTACATCGTATTGCTGCTCAAAATATTTGGTTTAATCAGCAGTGCAAACAATTTCACGTTATTCCCAATTATATGCAGATACGTTCTGGCACACATAGTCGAGCGGCCAGTGTTGCCATTTCCACAGCTCAGAATATTTGACTTAATGAGGAGTGTCGTCGTTGGTTTTCCAATAGAGATAACTTAGAAACCCACCTTAAAGTATTATATTCTGAACTATCGTATAAATTACATAATATTGAATTTGATATTTTGGATGGGAAAGCCACCGAACTTGCTTCAATGGCTGTTTACTAGAAATATCAAATTCAGTCCCATAAGTTAAAACGACTTGTATCTTCTTCATCCCGTAAACGTAATAACGACATGCATACTTAATATCACCAATTTTATCCCCACGTTAAAAATCTTTCCGATATCCAGTTTCCAACGGATGAGTTGTCCCTTTTACACAAAGGCTTAAAGTATAATTTAACACCTTCGGTCTCCCAAAGATTGTTTAGAGACTGTGGCCGTTGACGCGGAGGTGGCTGTTGTGATCGGGAGGAAAGACAACATCGTTAAAAGTTTGTTAGCTAAAGAAATTCAGGATCTACCCGCATCTTCCCATTGCAATCCTGAGTTCCCCATTTTTATGTCACTAAAGCAGAGAATAAAAGACAATAACCTTATTGTTACTAAAGCCTACAAGGGAAATACTGTTGTCATTATGGAGAGTAGCGGGTATAGCCAGAAGGTTAACGATGTTATCCAAGGTGACGACTTTGAACTGTTGGAGTCTGACCCAACCAAAAAGTTTATTTCGGATATTAAAGTATGTATACAAAAGTCGTCATATGTTTTTCCCGATCACAACTTGTCTCTGAACAATCTTGTTCCAATGAATCCTCAAGCACCCACTTTATATGGGTTACCTAAAATACATAAAGAACATGTTCCTATTCGTCCCGTTGTCTCACGTGCACCAGCTTATTTCCTTGCTAAAAAATTAAACTTCCTCCTTCGGGAGAAATCTGGTTTCAACCCAACTTACAGCCTTAAAAATAGTTTAGATCTCATTTCCAAAATTAACCTTTTGAGCGCCAAAGTCGCCTACACTTGACCAGCACCTGCGAGCTCTGAGCGCCACCGACGTCTATAGTTGACAAAAAACCCGGCTCACAAAAATATGAAATATAGATATTGGAAAATTATTACTGGTATTTTAATTCTACACTCCTCAAAAAAAGAATAACCCAGCAACATGTGAGTATAAAAAAGCAAGTCTCCTAGAGCCACAAGTACTAAGAAACATTGAACTAAAAAAAATGGATTTTTATCTAAGCAAATACTATGTCCAGCACGATAAAGTCGTCTATGTTTGACCGCTAGTGTTGTAATACCTTAGGCATAGATTTATTGAAAACTATTCAAAATTAAACGTAAACGTGTTATTTTTTAAATTATTATAGATATTTGAATAAAACAAAAGGTAAGAAACATAAAACTATCATCAGCAAATAAAAGAAAATTTCATCAAATCCACTTCGCATAATAAATCTAATATCTCAACTCTGGCGCATCCTTAGGTCTCTCAGTTCATTAGGCGCCGTGGTCAAGGATAGACGACACCCTGATGACGTCATAAACGAATAGCCGAAAAAGTAGTACAGGGCAACATGAACGATTCCTCAGAACTCATTCGCATTTTGGAAAGCGTAGATGATAATGATTTTTTTATTTTCATACTATAAAATTACAAATAATAAATGTTTATTTTTTTCTTAAGGTATGAAGAGCAATTTTACATTTTGTGTTGTGCGATTTTCTCAATCTAGTGTATTGACTGAAACCTCTATTATATTTGCTGATGACATTTCCATTCTTATTCCGCATTCAAAAGACTAGAATTTAAATAATAAATTGAATCAAGTTTTGAACCAGGTTACAAATTGGCTGACACATCACAACCTAGAGATTAATTTTAATAAAACCAAAATTATGCAATTTCGACCAGTTCAAAAATCACCACTAAATATCGCTTTTACTTAACCTATAGGATTTTAAATGATATACCTACCTATAGGAACTGTTGAAAATTTCAACTTGTTAGGCCTGGAAATCGTCTGCCATATAAACTGGAAAGTCCATATAAATAAAGTAAAAAATCAAAATTCACGTACGTATTACTAGAAATACAGAAAACCACAGATGTCCCCAGCGCTCTGTCAGCATATTACGCATACACATCTTCGTGGCGGTCATACGGTGTCATGTTGTGGGGAAATAGTAAAGATGCACAGCAATTATTTATATTGCAAAAAAAATTATGAGAATCTTGGCAAACATAAAAATTCCAGAAAGTTGTAAGCCCCACTTCAAAAAGTTTAAAATTTTGACTTTGACGTCTATTTATATTTGGGAAACATGCAAATTTGTAAAAACCACCAGAACTTTTTACCAAATTACAAATGCTCAATTAGACCAAATAAAAATAGGCTACTATCGCCGAAATCTACTCTTGCTTTGCATAGCTCTAGTCCCTACTGTAAGGCAGTTAAAATTTTTGATAACCTCAAGTACTACATTATTCTTATCCAAATTAAAGTTATATTTAATTGAAAAATGTTTCTATAATTTATATGAATATTTTGATACAAATATTATTTAATTTGTGTGGACAACTTCGGCCTGTGCCTATCTAGATTAATTTAATTTTTTTATTCAATTATTATTTTTACTTAATTTTATTTTTTTATAATAATAATTATTTTTTAACTTGATATTGTGATTATTAATTAAATTAAATTTACAGAATTTTAAAATAATATAATCTAATGATGTAATTTATTAATGAAATCTAATATTGTAGTTTAAAAATAATATTTAATATGTTTATAATTGCTACGCCCAAACTGGGTTCAAATGCGGATTTTTTTTAAACATCACATCTATTGTTACCATTTGATTGCAATAAAGATAATGATTGTCTCAAAATCATCTGGTAGCATCAGCATCATATCAAACCCCATTGTCATAAGAGCGTAAGACTTTTCTTCTGTGCTTCACTTGGCCTACGCCTCCCCCGATATATAAAATATTTTGAGTAGAGCTCTGTATATTTTGGTTAGATCGATTTTGAAATCGATACACAACGTGCGACACGGCTACATCTCTAAGAAAGTTTCAAAAAGGAAGGTTAGCTACGCCGTTGTCGTCCAGTCGTGACAGTGACGTCATCATGATGAAGAGTAGTGTGGTGTTTTACTATTATTTTATTGTTATTGTTTGGTTTTATTTATGTACAAAGCACATATTTAAAAACAGTGAAAGACAGCTCAAGAGTAAATAAAACATACCAGATTATAAAGAGTCATTTATTGCATAAAAAACCAACAAAATTAAGTTATTTCGTGTTATCGATATATCAACTCTTGGCAACACTATTTTTTTCGTAGGTATTTTTGTTTAATTTTCGCTTTGGCGTACAGGACACGGTAATGCGTTTTTGGCGTGGCGCTCAAAAGGTTAAAGATATTCGTATTCCACCTAAATCTATGTTGTTATCTTTAGACGTTGATAGTCTTTTCACAAATGTCCCATCCCCTGACTGTTTGCGTATACTCTCAGATCTCTTTGAAAAACGTCGTCTACATCCCGGGGAAACAAATGATCTTTTTAACTTAACCTCTCTGTATAAAACAAAATTATTTCCGGCTTTCGATAAATTCGATACCGACACGGTCATCCCCGCGTCATCGTGTCATCCATGGCAACATAAATTAGCCGCTTTTTATTGTTGGCACAAGGAGACAACTGGATGTTTTCCTTAATAAAATAAATAGAGTCCACGAAAAAATTAAATTTAAGCTTGAATTGGAACACGATTGCTCCCTTAATTTCCTTGACTATATAAGACCTTTTCCTTGACTGTGACAATAACAAGAAAAGAGTCGTTGCATGTTTTTCAAATTTTTCAAAAGGACAAAATCTATGAAAAAAATCCAAAATGACAATGAATTGAGAGCAAGGGTTAACATTGCAGCAAAAAAATATCGGAAATAAGCCTGAGAAGACTCAAAAGCTCATTTTTAAGAAGATTCCGAGCGTGTATTAAGACACAAGGGAAGCAGTTTGAGCATTTATTGTAATTTATTTAAATAAATGTTTATTAACGTTAACTCCTCTGTTTTTTTACTATCACCTTATCCTTCAAGATGTCATTTACAGACAGGCCGGCCGGTCGGCTGTAGATTAATTATTATGTAATTCGAACCGTAGTACGACCTTACAACGATTCGAATTCAAAGTTACATTACTTGCATTTAAAATAAAATGCTCTTATTAACTAAAATAGCTTATTTTTTCGTATTTTTTTAATGAAAATGCACTAGTATTGTATCTTTCCTAAATCACCATTAAACAAGTTATTTTTTAAGTTTGTTGTACAAAACTGCCACATACATTTTTTTTTCAGCACTGTAGTTTAAACTTAAGTGATAAGAAAATAGTTCTGTGCAAATTTAAACAAAAAATAGTATTTCTTGAAAACATTCTTGTCTTTGATAGAAAAAAGACTTATCAATGAGTAAAGTAACTATTCACGAATAATTTGATGTAAAAAAAAGTACTAGAAAAGGATTTTTTCATTACGAGATGCTTAAAAATCTGTTTCAAGATAGAGATTTTTCGGTATTTCGGAAAATTTTGTAAAACTGTAAATCCGTAAGATTTTGCTGAACATATATTGTGTTGTATTGATAGGTAGTGACCCTAGCTATCACCCCCTGCAGTATGTCGTGCTATTTACTGGACACCCTGTATAAATAACTCTTAATACAGTTAAGTTTATCATACACAATCTATAGTATTCATGTATATATTTTATTTACTACGCACTGCATACTTATTTATTATCACTTATATTAGTATTTTATATTATCAAGTCCCGTACGTGGAAGGCACTCGCGTAGAACCGGTTCCCCGGTCGACCAGCTGCGGTGCATAGTTTAGAAGACGCGCCAGTTAGCAACGATACCTTTATACAGCAGGACCTCTTTAATCCGAACCCCGTCTAATCCGAACGCCCCCGCCCGCGCTTTTGTCGAGTAGGTGTCACGCGCATTTGTTATTGTCCGCCATTTTGTGTTGATATTGCGTCGCTCGTGCATCTCGAAAGTTATTTGTGTTTTTACATCATGGCTTCGACGCCAAAGAAAAGGAAACACGTTACCCTGACTGTTTTTCAAAAATGCGAGATCTTGGATCATATCAAGGAAGGTATTTCTTTTAGTTTTCTTGCGCTGAAGTATGGTGTTGGCAAATCTACATTTTTGATATTAAGAAGAAGGAAGAACAGATACGATCTTACGTTGTGAGAACTGAAAAGGGGCCAGGTGCTCGAAAGACTTTAAAAACGCCCGAAAATCCACAACTTGAAGATGCATTGTTTACGTGGTTTATAGAAAAACGACGAAAAAACGTTCCCTTGTCAGGTGCTATTTTCATGGAGAAGGCGAAATACTTTCATGAAAGGCTTGGGCAAGGAGAGTTTTCTGCCAGTAAAGGTTGGTTGGAAAAATTCAAAAAAAGACACGGAATACGACAACTCAAAATAACCGACGAGAAGTTGTCTAAGAACGAAGACGCCGTAAAACCATTCCAGGATAAATTCATGGACATAATCAAGGAGAAAGATTTGTCCGCAGAGCAAATCTATAATGCAGATGAGCCTGGTTTGTAGTGGAGAACAATACCAGACAAAACGCTGGCATCTGACTTAGAAGTTAGAGCCACAGGTTCTAAAGTTTCCAAAGAAAGAATAACATTCATCCCTGCGAATGTGCTGGACGCACAAACTGCTTTATTGGTCATTGGCAAAGCACAAAAGCCACGTGCTTTTGCATCTGTACGAAAACTACCAGTACACTACATGGGACAAAAGAATGCATGGGTGACGAGACCTACATTTCTAGAGTGGTTTAAGGATACTTTATCTCTGAAGTAAAAAAAATCTTATCTAAGAAAAATCTACCACTGGAAGCGATATTACTTCTTGATAATGCGCTGGCACATCCGCTTGATGAAGACCTGCAAACCATTGATGAAAATTTCACAATTTTATACATGCCTCCCAATTGCACAGCTCTCATCCAGCCAATGGACCAAAACGTTATTTAAAACATAAAGGTGAATTACAAGAAAAAACTTTTGCTTCAAGTTTTTGCACAACAGGAATTGGAATCTGAACGTACTAAAGCTACGTCGTCGCGTTTGGTTAGTGGTTACACTTTTTTCGACGCGCGGTAATGTGGTTTGCTCCTCTAGTGTTGTATAACTCAATGGGAATAACTAATAAGAGTGGCAACGTCGCACCATACAATGGAATTGCGTTAAGCAGGAGAATGAATTAAAAACTATGTATATTTCGGGGATTCTGGATAATTTGTAACATGGAAGGGAGTCCTGATTGGTTTCCCTCCGTCTGGCAATATACGAATATTTGTATATCGACATTTATGGTAAATTTTCAAAGAAATGAGTTAAACACTATCTTTGAAATTGTTTAATGGACCAATATTCGCTATCATAATGTATAAAAATTGTCTACAAGTGGTGGACGCTACAATAATGCGAAATGAAAGGACGCAGAATCAATATTGTGATTATATATATATATATATATATATATATATATATATATATATATATATATATATATATATATGTTCCGTACTGGAACAGATTATTTATATACTATGTTTTTTGTTTCCCTTTTTTTTTCGTATATAATAATAAGTACAAGGCAACACAATTTCGAAGATAGTATTTTTTCTATACTTCTATTAAATTCACTGGGTTGGCGATCAACTGTTCATCCTGAATGCAGCCATAAGCTTGCGGGTTACGGCTCTCTGTGCGACACAAGCGCCATATCGATTGACGGCAATTGTGGACAGTCGAATTGAAACTACCGACGCGCACGCATACAAATATACTGCGTGTCTCTCAAGCTCATCTCTCAAGATCTCTTTCACCCTGAAAGTGTTGTGCTTGTGCCCTATGGACTCGTGTGCGATACACTCTGCTGAACCTTGATACTACGATCATTGCAACGACTGCCCCGAGTTCCTATAGCCAGCCCCTGGATTCGTGGTTGCAGGGAGATTGTAGCGGTAAGTCACCAAACCCAGTAGAATATCGTACAATATATATTACCCCAACTTCCGAATGGAATGGTTGCTTCAATGATTGGTCCCATCGTATGGAAAAATGTGTCAAATTTCGCGGAGAATACTTCGAAAAGCAATAAATACATTTTTAAATAGTAATGTTGTGTCACTTTCTTGATTCCCGAAATTTTCGGTGCCGCCCTCGTATGTATTAATTATTTTATTCATTTAGTAAATTGAAGTCGGTTTTTCTTTTTTACTAAGGAATGCCACAACGCCAACTTAACAACTAGAAAGTGGTAAGTAATATATGTTCGAATTGAAAAATATGTATTATATAAAAAAGATTTCGTTTGATATACTACTCTCTTTCATAATGTACAGATAATCCATCAAAACAACAATTGCATCGGCAGGGTTCGAACCCGGGTTGCTCGCTGTCACGGTGAGCACTTCGTCCTCGGGCTACCATGGCTCATATCTTTTTTGTTTCTATTTTATAATAACGTTACCTCCACACTAATAATGTCCTAGTTATATCGTGGGGGCAGTTAACATAAGAACATAAATTTCACAAGGACTAACATCCAGACCCTACAGATATTTGTAGGAATACAATTTTTAGTTCCGTACGGGAATCAAACCCACGGTGCTTAGAGTTAAACTCATTGCTAAGCCACTCCGCCACAAAGCCATACACATACATATTTTATAGTGATAAATATTTTAGTTTAGTTTAAACATTACCCGTATTTTATAAATAATTACCCCCCAGATGATTAAATAAACTAAAGTGATTAAGTGTGTTGAGGTATAATGATAAGTTGATTGTACAAGAAAATAAATGTATTGAAGCATAAGAAACTTTCATTTTACAATAATTAAAATAGATAAATTTATATCCCAATATACGGAAAAAATGTCATTGAAATGGACAGTTTTGGTGATTTTATAGTTATGTTTTTTAACATTACATGGAAATTTTTTGGAGTTATGGCTTTGCTATGTACTTATAAGACTATATATTCCATTATAATAACTAATTCGACCTGAAAAATAACTCTGCCGCATATTTCCGTAAAACGCTATGGAGGGATTGTCTTCGCTCTAAAAAACCGTCATTAAAATTTTTCCGTTGCAGTGCACAAAATAAAGATTTCATATTTCTAAAGCCATAATTTTCTGCAAATAATCTGCTAACATCGTTACGATATCGCCCTTGAAAAAAAACCCTAAAACATGAAGTTTTCAAAGCAAATCGCATATGCCCTCTTAAAACACTAATAATAAATACAATTGTACTACTGATCACTTTAGTACGCAGTTATATCGCTTCGAAGTATTAGCTTGAATCGCCAATTCAATACTGACTCGCGTCGCGGTCGATACCGGCCTTATATAGGGCCTCTTCTACTGAAACATCTAGGTGTTCGAATACATACTAGTTCTGACTGACTAGGTGTAGAAAGTTCTGGCATGGAAATCTCTAGAAGAATCTTGACTTTCCTAGTTCTGCTATTTGATACTAGAGAGCACTAGTGGTAACTAATGTCTCCATGTATCAGACATTAATTATGGCGGATAACAATAGTATATTATTTTGTACTAAGGTTTAAATAATAACAAACATATTTAAAAAATAAAAAACAAGATTTAATCATTAAAAAATAGTAGCAATGCGTAACAATATCACCAGTCTCATCGAGTAAGACCCGAGGTAATCAACATACTGTGGTTTCGTGGTATATTTACATGTAATGTTATTTTTATTTGTAATACTATTTTAGAGTGTGGTGTATGGCAGCAGGATAGTATCACTTCACGAATTTGAGCCCAAGGCTTTGCGTCATGAAGCAAAGGATGTCCGTGTGTTCTTCGATCTGAAAATAAGAAAAAAAAAACAATGTTTAGAAAAGTTAAAAGCGATAAAAATGTTTTCTGAGGTAAATATGTAACATAACTTGAAGTAGATGTCATAACTAAGTTGCTAAGGCATGAAAATCAAATTTTTATATTAAACAAACTGTTTAACCTTTTGAGGGCCAAAGTCGCCTATACTTGAACAGCACCTGCGAGCTCTGAGCGCCAACGACGTCTATAGTTGACAAAAAACCCGGCCCACAAAAATATGAAATATAGATATTGGAAAATTATTACTGGTATTTTAATTCTACACTCCTCAAAAAAAGAATAACCCAGCAACATGTGAGTATAAAAAACAAGTCTCCTAGAGCCACAAGTACTAAGAAACATTGAACTAAAAAAAAATGGATTTTTATCTAAGCAAATACTATGTCCAGCACGCCAAAGTCGTCTATGTTTGACCGCTAGTGTTGTAATACGTTAGGCATAGATTTATTGAAAACTATTCAGAATTAAACGTAAACGTGTTATTTTTTAAATTATTATTGATATTTGAATAAAACAAAAGGTAAGAAACATAAAACTATCATCAGCTACATAAATAAAAGAAAATTTCATCAAATCTACTTCGCATAATAAATCTAATATCTCAACTCTGGCGCATCCTTAGCAGTTCATTAGGCGCCGTGGTCAAGGATAGAAGACACCTTGATGACGTCATAAACGAATAGCGGAAAAAGTAGTGCAGTGCAACATGAACGATTCCTCAGAACTCATTCGCATTTTGGAAATCGTCGATGATGATGATTTTTTTATTTTAATAATATAAAATTACAAATAAATGTTTATTTTTTTCTTAAGATATGAAGAGCAATTTTACATTTTGTGTTGTGCGATTTTCTTTCTCAATCTAGGGTATTGACTGAAACCTCTATTATATTTGCTGATGACATTTCCATTCTTATTCCGCATACAAAAGACCAGAATTTAAATAATAAATTGAAATCAAGTATTGAACCAAGTTACAAATTGGCTGACACATTACAACCTAGAGATTAATTTTAATAAAACCGAGTACTACATTATTTTTACCTAAATTAAAGTTATATTTAATTGAAAAATGTTTCTATAATTTAGAATATTTTGATACAAATATTATTTAATTTGTGTGGACAACTTCGGCCTGTGCCTATATAATTTAATTTTTTTTATTCCATTATTATTTTTTACTTAATTTTATTTTTATTTATAATAATTATTATTTTTACTTGACATTGTGATTAAATTTAATTTAATTTACAGAATTTTAAAATAATATAATCTAATACTGTAATATTAATGAAATCTAATATTGTAGTTTAAAAATAATATTTAATATATTTTATTTTGCTACGTCCAAACTGGGTTCAAATGCGGACAATTTCTTTTTAGAAACATCACATCTATTGTTTACCATTTGATTGCAATAAAGATTATGGTTATGATTATCTCAAAATCATCTGGTAGCATCAGCATCATATCAAACCCCCATTGTCATAAGAGCGTAAGACTTTTCTTCTGTGCTTCACTTGGCCTACGCCTCCCCCGACATATAAAATATTTTGAGTAGAGCTCTGTATATTTTGGTTAGATCGATTTCGAAATCGATACACAACGTGCGACACGGCTACATCTCTAAGAAAGTTTCAAAAAGCAAGGTCAGCTACGCCGTTGTCGTCCAGACGTGACAGTGACGTCATCACGATGAAGAGAAGTGTTGTGGTTTACTACTATTTTATTGTTATTGTTTGTTTTTATTTAGTAAGTTTTTTTGTACAAAGTACATATATAAAAACAGTGGAAGACAGCACAAGATTAAATAAAACATACCAGATTATAAAGAGTCATTTATTGCGTAAAAAACCAGCAAAATCAAGTTATTTTGGTTATCGATAAATCAACTCTTGGCAACACTAGTTTTTTCGTAGGTATTTTTGTTTAATTTTCGCTTTGGCGTACAGGACACGGTAGAGCGTTTTTGGCGTGGCGCTCAAAAGGTTAACTTTAATACATTAAAGGTACAACAAAAATAACGAATTCTGTATAATATGCACAATTTAGAACACTCCGTTTAAGACGGGCCTGTTTGTTTTAGAAACTGATATCATCCACCATTACACCACTATTTGTGGTTATAAAACAATACAAGAAAAAAAAATCAACTATTGTAATTATTACATCAGTTATAAAATTGCAAAAGCTCTACCCTTTTTGAGTTTACCGTCGTCGCTTTAATTTCGGAAGTTAGTACGGGTAACATGGTTTTTTTTATGTATTTTTACCTGACATATCATCATCTGTCATTTTCCAAAATACATTTATGATCGTTGAAGAGATGAAATTCTCGTTATCATTATTCATATGCCAAACCTAAATACTATATTTCAACTGAACTAAACTACGGATAAACCAAATTATGGATATCCCTAAAATTAGAAAATTAATTAAAAAATTTAAAAAATGTGCGAAAATTAAAGAACACAACCGTTGGGGCATGTTTTTTGTATTTACATACTTAAGGGAGTCGATTGACTTTTATTTAAAACAACTTTTCAAATACGAATGACATTGTGATATAAATAAGTTCATCTCGGTTCCATGGTACAATCAATACTTGTGTTCATTGGACACCGAATGCATGTATAATATGCGTGTATGTGTGCGTACGCACCAGCTTGGCGGTGGGCTTGCCACCGCAATGTACTTGATGTGTATGCGTGCGTGTACGTGTGCGCTACGCACCAGCTTGGCGGTGGGCTTGCCCCCACCGTCATGTACTTGATGTGTATGCGTGCGTGTACGTGTGCGATACGCACCAGCTTGGCGGTGGGCTTGCCCCCGCCATGTACTTGATGTGTATGCGTGCGTGTACGTGTACATACGCACCAGCTTGGCGGTGGGCTTGCCACCGCCATGTACTTGATGTGTATGCGTGCGTGTACGTGTACATACGCAGCAGCTTGGCGGTGGGCTTGCCACTGCCGTGTACTTGATGTGTATGCGTGCGTGTACGTGTGCGCCACGCACCAGCTTGGCGGTGGTCTTGCCACCGCATGTACTTGATGTGTATGCGTACGCAGCAGCTTGGCAGTGGGCTTGCCACCACCATGTACTTGATGTGTATGCGTGCGTGTACGTTTACATACGCACCAGCTTGGCGGTGGGCTTGCCCCCGCCATGTACTTGATGTGTATGCGTGCGTGTACGTTTGGACATACGCACCAGCTTGGCGGTGGTCTTGCCACCGCCATGTACTTGATGTGTATGCGTGCGTGTACGTGTACATACGCAGCAGCTTGGCGGTGGGCTTGCCCCCACCGTGTACTTGATGTGTATGCGTGCGTGTACGTGTGCGCTACGTACCAGCTTGGCGGTGGGGTGGCCCCCACCGTGTTCTTTATGTGTATGCGTGCATGTACGTGTGTGGTTACGCAATAGCTTGGCGATGGGCTTGCCGCCGCCGTGTACTTGATGTGTGTGCGTGCGTGTACGTGTGCGTACGCACCAGCTTGGCAGTGGGCTTGCCGCCGCCGTGGCCCGCCTTGGTGTCGAAGCGCGCGAGCAGTGGGCGCTCCTGCGGCGCACGCGTGACGGCGTGCTGCAGCGCCGCGATGTACTTGAGCGAGTGCAGCGGCACCACGCGGTCGTCGTGGTCCGCCGACAGCACCAGCGTCGCAGGGTACTGCGCGCGCCCCGCTGCAACATACAAACCGACATTCATACTCGTACAACACACAAACCTTTTGTATTCAATGTCTATATTTTTACATATATTATTCTTCTGTCCTTGTGATACGTGAATGAACACCCCTAAAGTGCTAAACCGATATTAATGAAATTTTATGTATGATTGATTACGTTGATTCAAAAATGGTTTAGATTCATAATTGGACCCCGTAGGTGATGCTATTGTCGAGATCCAGAAATCACGCATGCGAAGCCACGGCTGATCGCCAGTAGATTATAAATAATACTTATTGAAATAAAAATTACTCTTTTGTTTAATTTATTAATGGTTCGGAAAATACTTAAAAATAACTAGCAAGAAAACCAGAGCTTTTTTTTTTGAAAAAAAAAGAACAGTCTTTACAATCATACATATATTACAAAATTTACTAATAATTAGAAATAACTTAGTAACGATCACCTCATTCCCAGGCGTTATTATCATTCACAAATGCCTTAAGCTCTCAAACCCCAAGCGGTCGCGTCTCATGAGACCGCACTCACCCGCAGCAATTTAACCCATAAAAACTTATATTTACAAACTACTTTTCTTTATAGAAGTTTGGCATTATAGGCTCAATGTGAAATTTCCTATCCTCTAATGCAATAAAAAGTAATTAGTTTATGGTTTTTTATTTATAATGTACGTTCATTTCGTACGCCTATTTCGTGTGGCGTGTTATTGTATTGATTTTTGGATTTTCATAATGTTTTATTAGTGTTTTATTATAAAATTGTTATAAAAGGTTTTGTGTGAATAGAAATAATTGTGATACTCAAGCTGCCGTTCTGTGCTCGGTACGTACATTTTTAACTATGAAAATATAATTAAAATCTGTTTGTAATAAAGTAAAAGCACTAAAACAAGTAATATAACATAATAAATAAACAGAAACAAGTATTATATAGAAATTTATAATGAAGATAATTGAAAATAAATGTACGACAAATTCAAGGTTAGGTTATTTTTAGTAACGCGCGTGACGCGGCGTTAGCGAGCGAGCGATGTTAATCATTTTAGCTGGCAGCTGAGAGGTTAACATTATTGTAATTCTTTTTATACAAACTTCAATTCAATTAATAAAGTTATTGAACTGTGAAGAGATCAAATTTTGCGCTACAATCACCCGTTACCGTTGTCATTGCAGCCTATTGAAGTCCACCGCTGAACATAGGACTCCTCCATAGATTGTCTCATAGGAAGTGTTTTGCCATAGTTACCACGCTTGGTAAGCGAGTTAGTAACCGCAGTTTATTTTTATTTTTAGGCGATGAATATGGAGAAGATACTGTTACACCACCACTACACGACAACAATCACCCGTTCCTTTGAGGAAATACGTTATATACCAATAATTAAATTCTATACATGGTAGAGCTATGCTGCAGCTATATTATTGGTTGTAACATGAATGAGTCGGCCCGATTGAGGTAGGACCACGCTCTCATAGAATACCAACGTAAAATAGAAGCTTAATGCTGCTGTTTTGTATGGTAAATGAAGACAACCCGAGATCCTATTAACTGGAAACGAGCCATTCTATCTTAGTCCTCAGGGGTGACAACGCATCTGCATTTTGATTCTTAATCGACGATAAATGTAGATGTCTATGGCTTACAGCAGCCAATAACCGTCAAATGGCCGTTTGTCATCCTAATTCTATTTAAAAAAATTACTAAGATCCGTATAATAAAATAAAATTCTGTGTCTTACTTAGTTAATACAACCGATGTATTATCAACGGGGGTCTTTCCTAGAGTAGTGGTGTTGGGATCGGTGGTAAACTAATCGTGCACGCAATTAATAGAGGAAGGGAGGTGCCTTTCAAACTAGGTAAGACATGTCATTTTCATTTGATTAAGCAAATCTTATCTAAGTTATTATTTACATATCGTTCACTACTACAGCTCATCGTAAGTCGTACAACACAAGCCTCCTTAAATATCATCATCATCCTCTTATCTATTTCTCCCGCCAAAAAGCAGTACTCTGGTCTAAAGAGTATAGAGAACCATTATAATGACAGGCTGGCTGTCTCATTTGTTTAGTGGTCGTACTACTGCTGATCATGTGATCCCGGGTTCAAATTACGGTTCGAGCCAAAATCGTATCATAACAAATTAATTTTATTTCATAGAGAAATAAATACTTTTAGCATTCGAATCAAATTTGATTAAATTAAAGACAATGAATTATTGTAGCTTTAAATAAAACCTTATAATCATACTTGCACTTACCGTTATCAGGTGGTTGTATGTTATGCAAGGGAGAGTACTTGAGCAAGTACTCGAATTGCGTCTTATTATCCGAGCTGCCGTAATCTGACACCCATGCGTGTCCGATCGTAAACTTCTGGAACCGCAGCATATCTAATACGCTGTGAACAAATTATAATAAATAATTTCGCTGTACAAACACACGAAGAGACTAGAAATAATAACGATTTTATTTAAGAGTCCGGCGGAGCTAAGGCCAACTGCGAATAAAAGCGAGTTTAAATTCTGTCGAAATATTGCTGTCTCGCTTGACAGTGTCAGGCGGGTGTGGGGCGCGGTGCACAGCTATACCTATATACACTGGTTTACATTTACTACGACCCACATTTCGCGGACACAAACATTGCAATAAATAGCGGAATTCTTAAGAGGTTCATTGTTTGCGTTTTTTATGTTTTTATTTATTTATTTTATGTACACACATAAAGATACAGAAGCAGTCTTATAGTAATTACGTACAAAGGCTCTACTTATTCCATAGGTACTACTTCTTACTACATATGTTCTTGGTCTATAATTTTTTTTAACTTTCCGCTTTTAAAATTAATAATTTTCAAAAGTAGGAAGTCATAGATTTCGGCCCGATTTAAAGAAGGCGAGTTTTACCAGATCTCCATGTTTTGAGGTCTTAGGAAGCTGTTCCGACTATTTCTGGCTGGACGTCCGGCAGGGTGCGTGCGTGCGTGTGTGTGTGTGTGTGTGTGTGTGTGTGTGTGTGTGTGTGTGTGTGCGCGCGCGCGTGCGTGTGTGTGTGTGTGCGTGTGTGTGTGTGTGTGCGTGCTGCGCGCGCGCGCGCGTGTGTGTGTGTGCATGCGTGCGTGTGTGCGTGCGTGCGTGCGTGCGTGTGCGTGTGTGTGTGTGTGTGTGTAACTAACTAACTAACTAACTGCAAAACCAAACATAATATCATAATTTAACAAAAATAGCCTTTCACGAAAATGAATCTAGTTGAGTAGAGAGTTAGAGAGTAATTTCGTACAGATTAGGTACGATAATCGCACTCATCATCAGTGAGAGCACCAAAACTCAACACGATCAAGTAAATGAATTATTAGGAGTTATGTCAGCAACAATATGCCACGGTCTATTGTAGAAATTAACAACCTATTGGCAGTTAATGCAGTAAAACCTTATATTAAAATGAGTTTCTTCGCCAGACCACATTAGGTTATTAGTCAGAGGTTATTAGTCCCAATATAATAAAACAAACTTCTATGAAACCAGTCAATATCTACAATTGAGTCCATCTTCCTGTACTCAATCAGAAGGTAACTTATACTCAAACAGAATTTTGGGTTGCTTACGAAATAACTAACAAGAGTTCTTTTAGGCAGATTAGTACCAAATGTAAAATGTTAAAATATAGTGCAACATGAAATAAACCGATAAGCCGACGTCCGCATCTACATTTATAACTAAATTCAAAAATACGGGTGTTAAATATCATTCAGTATGAAAGTTTTAGGACGTCCATATTATGTGTAGTTAAATGTAAGGTTAAGAAAACAAGTTTATAAGTAAAAATACTAGTACCAAGCGCAGTATAAACCATATAATAATGCCCTGCAGACCGAATTACTGTCACGGCGGCCTGCCTCAACGGAGACTAGCCATCGGCGCAGGACAGGATTATAGTGCTCAAGTGTATGCGCAACCACAGGTGCAGTCTATTCCCTCATTCTCATAATCCGACGGGACGGTAAACCGACACGACCTGAGAGAGATCAGGCGTAGGACCAACGGCTTTACGTGCTTTCCGAGTCACGGGGGTGATACACCGTCAACTTCCTGACTCCGGGCAGCTATTGAGAATTTCTTGACAGAAAAATTCAATAATTGATTTTTTGGCCCGACCCGGGATTCAAACCCAGGACCTCACGATCAGCAGTCGCACTACTACAACCACTAGACCAACGAGGCAGTCATAACCATATATCACCAAATACAAGTAACACGTTGGCAACGGTGACGGAACGGCAACGTCGCATCTCCTAATTTTGTGCGGAAGTCAAATACGGCTATAAATGAAAGTATTCACAAATCGACAGCAGCGCTATTATTTTTGCAACGAAAATTAGCGGAACTACGTAAATATTCAGTACAGCAAGATTGGAAGAAAAATGACGTCCAATTTTTTTTTTAGATTTTGACATTTCTGTGATCAGCATGACAATTTGCGAACATTGCGCTAAATCTCCTATTTGACGTCCGTATATTGGACGTCGTAAGCAGGTTGACGCCACATTATATGCAAAATTGGCCATAGTGGACGTACAATAAATTACGGGATGTATATATATATATATATATATATATATATATATATATATATATATATATATATATATAAATCAGCACTTAAAATTGCAATTAAGAATTTCATTGGTTAGCACCAATTGGCGGGGTTCGAACCCGGCGAGCGCTAACCATCTGAGCTATCACATCTTATTTCAAAGACTATTCAAATTTAATATTTAAGTTCTACTCTGTCAGTATCAGTTTTTGAAGTTAATTTAATAATAATTAAGTAAATAAGGCTTCTACTTTCATTTTAAATTATCCCAAATAGAATATGGGATTATTATTATGGGCAACAAATACAGAGTACGCTCTCCCCTGTGTGTGCGATTAAATTCACAAAGTTTTTGTCTACTTTGACATGCTTACTAGGTACTGATGCTTGATAAGTGATAACTACACGACGCGAATATTGAATGAAATTTTTCCTTCATACTTTTAACGGGCTTAGAATCGTCGTTAGTTACGTCGTTGACTTGCAAAAAAATATTTTTGCAAGTCAACGACGTAACTAATGACTGTCATTATTAAGGCGTATTTAAAAAATTGGAACAAACTATTTATAAGTAAGTTACGTAAGTAGCCCCGATAGCTAATTTATTGGTACCTCAAAATGGAATCCGTTTCTGTCTATGCATAGACGAGCATGTTTTCTTAACTTATTTTTTACACTTATTAACAATGTTTGAGCACATTGAACTTCACTAGATTCCTTTCCAATGTGAGTTATATATGCTTACCGAGACCTTGCTAGCAATAAGGAAGTCATCTACCATACAGCACCGCCTGCTAAGCAAATAACAGCACGTGACTTAAGAATATTCAACACAGCGCCATCAGGAAGTCACCTACCGCCTGCTAAGCAAAAAACCTGCACGTTTTAAAAGATATGACTCAATTTACTAATGCGGCGTAGGAATATTCAATAGTATAAAAACCAAGGTATAATTGTTAAGACAATCCAGTAGTAATTAAGTTAGTTCGTAAGTTAAGTAGTCTAGTATTCCTGTAGTTAAGTTAACTGGTAAGTTAGAAAATAAAAGTAATATAAGTAAAAGTCTTCATCTCCGTCCCCTTAAACCCTCTCTAAGCTGCCGCAAACGTAGGTAGTGCGACAAACATTGTTTACGAAGGGAACGTATGTGCTTGAGTATATATTTCAAGATGTAGCAGAATGCCATTCTAGTGGTCTTAAACGAGCAAAACGCTGCTGACAATGAGGTCCCGGGTTCGAATCCTGGATCGGGCCAAAATGAACTGTTAGGCTTTTATGTAAGAAATTTTCAGTAGTACCTCGGAGTCAGGAAGTTGGCGGTGGTTCACACCAGTTTCTCGGAAAGCACGTAAAGCCTTTAGTTCTGCGCCTGAGCTCTCTTCGGTTGTGTCGGATTATTGTCCCATCGGACTATGAGAGTGAGGGAATGAACAGTGAACCTGTGTTTGCGCATACAATTGGGCACTACCGTCCAAGGTGGTATAGCATCAGTATGTTTTTTTTAATTCTTTTTTTTAATTTAGGGACTTACGTTATTTTTAACATGTTAGTGTCCCATTGTACCTTATAACCAAATAACACACTACAATTTCTTAAATTATTTACACAAAATATTAATTAAATTATATACAATTTGAGCAGCATTAGACAATGGTTCAGACAGAATGCTTTGACATTCCCCTAGATTACATATTTTAATGTCAGTTTTGGCAACTAATAGTTTCCTTTCATGATGATTTTTGGAACGTTCCGCGAGCAAGTGTTGTTCTTCATTCTTCATGTAATTTGGAGATTGTTTCTTTGATGAAAGCAAACTTGTTACACGGAAAGTGTCCGGAACGAAGTCGCATTGCTAATACAACATATTTTCTATTCAACAGACATTGATTAAACCAAGGTACTTTCGGAGGCAGTAAGCATCAATACGTGCAGTGTGTGCGGCTCACCCGACTTGTATGATGGCGGCACCGAAGAGGTCGGGGCGCTGGTTGGCGCAGGCGGCGACTAGCAGGCCGCCGTTGGAGCCGCCCTGCGCCGTGAGCAGCGCGGGCCGCGTGTAGCGCTCCGCCACCAGGTGCTGCGCCGCCGCCTGGAAGTCGTCGAACACGTTCTGCTTGTTGAGCAGCCGGCCCGCGTTGTGCCAGCGTTCGCCGTACTCGCTGCGCACACGTCACCAACTTATGTATATCGCAACTCATTTTTATCTACATATTTATAAATACCCGCACGTGTAAAAGAAAACTATATACCCTTTTCTCGCAATATATTTCGTATTTTGCACACGGAAGAGTGTGAGATTCAGCATGGTTTATATTTTTATGGAGGAGTGCAAAAAACTTTTTATTAAATTTTTAATTTTTTATATAAAATAAGCTGCATTTCACTTTCAATTGCATATTAAAACACAGATGAGATATTGTAGATGAGAAAATTGAAGATACACAGATATATAAAATATAATAAAATAAATCGGCGTACATGTATAAAAATATAAAATAAACAATTTTCTACCTGGACATACACTTCACGGACTATTAAAAAAGAAAGATACACAAACATACAAAAGCAAGTAGTAATTATTTGTTGGCAATCATTTAAAAAATTCTTTGGCCCCAATCTCTACTCTGTGCGACTGTTTGACCACAGACTATTAAGTGTTTAGCATTGGCAGTATGAACGTAAACAATGAAAGTTTTATTTAATTCAATGTATTTGCGTAATATACATCTTTCTGCACTTCCTCTCCATATAAACTTTAACTGCGCCAAATCACACTCCTCCGTACACTTAGTATGCTTAAAAAGGGGTAAAATGTTTTTCTTTCACGCATTAATATAAATTGTAATAAAAAACTTATAGACACGAAATATAAAAAACAAGAAGAAGCCCAAAGTGGGCGGTGATATATATAATATAACAATAAAATATCCCTATTTAATTTTTGCCTATAATAGCGTGAATTTATTATTGCGACATCTAGCGTCACAGAGTAATTTTTTGTCAATCCTGGAAGATTTTTGGGATTAAGACATAATGATATCTATAAATAAGAATTTATGGTATGTTTTCAAATAATCTATAACTGCGATATATATCGTTAAGGAGCTATATTTGCTAATTAATTCTAGTAACTTCCTTAATGGACTCTTTTATTTTTTAATAGCCAATAACGCTAAAATTATTCAAATGATGCACAGTTGTCAGTACACGTTTCTTTCTTGCGAATATGTAAGTTTGGCGACAGTGGTTCTGGTACAAATTATGCATTTTGCTACTTCCATTTGTTTTTATATTCCGTTGACGACAGTAATCCTCACCCGCCGCCTCGTATATTGGGTATCGCCACGACACCATTGAAGTGCTGCATGAACACGAGCCTGGTGACGCTGAAGCTGGGCTGCACGTTGATGTTGAACCCGCCGTAGCCGTACAGCAGCGCCGGGTTCGAACCGTCGCGGGGCAGATCCTACGACCAAGCATTAAAAATTAATTCTACCGTTTTAAGCTAATGTGTAGAATATTAAGTTTGTATTTATTTAGCATAATAGTATATTATCCAAGTTTGTATGTGTTGAGTAACTATGTTTTAAAAGTGCAGAGATAAGAAGGTAAAGAAATTTTCGCTAATCCAATTTTGTTCATCATCTAAATTATCCTTACAAATGTCTAGGAAAGGACCTCTCATAGAATACCAGCCGCAATAGGATAATATTACATAAAATTTCTTCGTTTATTAACAAATAGTATAGTGTAAGTGTATAGTAACACGTATATAAGATTCCCAACCTTAGAGGTTTATCTTGAATCTTAATCGATAACGAATATTATTATGTTAATGATTATTAAGTGGATTGGGTGCTTGGTTATCATTTTTACCCAGAAATGAGATTTATTTTATGGGTGTTTACATAAAAAATTGTGTGGCTTGCCAAACTAAAATAAATGCCCTCTAATACTTCAATTATATAAGAAATCAATATTTTTCATCCCGTAATCCTAGTTACAATTATCTATATGTATATTACAATATGTCAGGACATACCTTTTTAGAAACAATAAACATTGGGATCTTGGTGCCATCCTTACTGGAGTAGAATACTTGCTTAGCTTCATATTGCGATGCATCGAAATCTTTCACTTTCACTTCTCTGAACACCTGTTAAATTTTAAAACTATCTTTTAGTTTTTAAGCGGCTCAGCTCAAATTCTAATTTCGCCCCCACTTCCCCGCGCGTCGATAGCTATGTACCGACATGTTTGTAATCACTAATACTCTAAGTAGATAGGTCGTTAGATACTTATTTCATTAGGTTGATCATATTTATGCCTGTTTCTTAACGCCAACCCAGTCGCTTCTTATTTTTATTACGGTTACTTCCCATTTTAATTTTATGTCGTCCTGTTGCGTAAAGTGTATTCTGATCGTAAGTGACACAGCTACCCCCTTCAAAAGCCAAAGCGATAATAAACTGGCGGCAGGAAAAAAGCTTCAAGACGCGGATAGTTTAGGTAATTTCTTTTTATAGTGAATATAATGGTAATTAAAAAAAACAAAAGCCCTGCTTTATAGTTAGTTCAGTTAATATGCAAAGATTCATGATCTCATTTAAAGTATTTTATGAATAACAGCGGTTTATCGTTCAGTTTGGAGGTAACTTTGGATTTTTTTCTATCGAGAAAATTTTACGGAATCGTGTTTTCGTCTAACATAGTACTTAACATTAATCCTCAACTTTACCATATATTTATTTGAACATTAATGCTGCCATATTTACGGCATATCGGAGGATCGTGCTAAGCCATTTGAGGCAGTATTTTTAATATTTTCCCCCTAATATTTTATTTACTTTAAAAATATCTATTTCTAGATTTTAACCGATAAAAAAGTTATTCATTCGACTGTATTTTCTTATGTATTAAATATGGGTAATATGTCCAAAGTTATTTAGATTTAGTTGATTTTTCCTTTCTTCTTAATTTTCTCTAACAGTAACAGTTGAACACACGCTCATACCGCCATGTATCTGAGGCCATGACATCTTTTCGTTCTTTCTCTTTCCTTACATTAGTCGCCCCTTACGACAGAAAGTAATTTACTAAGCCAAGTCCAACAAAAATTCACATACATACACACAATCATATCATACATATACATTGTATAAGTGAAATTAACATGAGAATAATGCATTCTTTCACGCATAGATTTTACATTCCTTGGCCCTTTTCTGTATAATCATGTCAAAGCAATGTTATATATGTAAACATTAAAAATGGCATATTGTAAAAATGTAATTTAAACGTGGTTACAAAATTTGTCATATAAGTTTTTAAAGAATATCGAAATTTTTAAAGTCGAATAATATACATTTCACCCATATTTGACGTTTTGTCTGATTATACAGGGTTATTTAGCAATAACCGGCCGAATTTGCAGAGAAGGTTCAGAATAAGAAGAGTATAGACAGTTGGTGAAAAGAAAAATTAATTGAAAGAAATTTCAAATATTCTGTCTTTTTTATCTTTTAAATTCAAAATGCGTGGTAATGCATTATTTTAACTGATTTTACTGCGCACGCACACATTCGTAAGGGTTGATCGATAGGCAAAAACGTTGTTGCCCATAAATCACATTCAATTTGGGATAATTTCAAATAAAAGTAGAAGCCTTATTTACTCGTATTTTCAAAAACTGCAATAACGGTATCGGTATCGATATTTACATATTTGAACTTAAGTTTAAATTTAGTTTACTCTTTGGAAAATAACCCTGTATTTTCTAATTACTGTAATTATTTTCAATTTTATCTTTTAAATACTTAAAACTAAATTTAAATAACAAAAGAGAAATAAAAATATGATGTAAGTTTACAAGATTTCAAAAACTTTTATATTTGATTTTTTCTGTATTTAACATACTGATGGATGGATAATAAAATGTAGGAATTACTTACCGTGGGCTTGTAGGGCTGCTTTTTAAAATCAACGTGGTAAATGATGCCAGGAGTGAGGAAAGACATGAAGTGGTAGAATATCTCCGTTTGCTCCTTCTTACCGGAGAATCCCACAATGGAACCAACATCCAAGTCAAATGTCTGTATCATTTCACCAGTCTTCATGCTGTGCAGTTGTAAAACGCTCTGGAAAAGAAAACATATTATATTAAAAAAACAACTTAGCAGCAAGCAATTCACATATTAAATTAACGAAAATGTTTCTCCAGATCGAATTATTTAAAAAAATACTGGTAGTTTTGTTACCACTTTTATTAATTCCATTTGTATTTAAGCTTGAAAGGCTTGTGGTAGAAGTAGTTGACGACAGTAGTCGAATAGCATATTCAAATCCTTATTTTCTTTTCGTACATCTAAAGATTAGACACTGTCGCTTTAAATCTTGATCACGACGACCATTTTCAATGGAGATTAGCCAACTACGTAGTGCACGATTTTGCGCAAGAACAGGTACCTCACTCATATAGTCCAATGGGAGCATCAAAGCGATACGACAGGAGAGATATCAGAGTGGGACCAACGGTTTGACGTGCTATCTAAGGCATGGCATCATAGGATAGGGTGACAAACGAGCACACAGTCCACCTGATGGTAAGTGGTTGCTGCGGCCCATAGACATCTACATCTATTCTCGATTACGAATCAAAATGCAGATGCGTTGTCACCCGTGAGGACTAAGATATAAGATATAACGACTCGTTTTCAGTAATAAAGGTCTCCGGTTTTCTACACTCATCACACGAAACACAGCAGCATTAAGCTACTATTTTACGCTAATCGAGATGTGAGTACGTGGTCATTCCCCGGTCGAGCCGACCCATTCGTGGTACAACTACTAATATAACTGCGGCATGGCTTTACCATGTAATAATAATAAAATATGTATATTTATCATGAACGTACGTTTAGACATATCTGTAACACTAATAGATTGAGATTTAGGACGTATGCTTAGAGCTAACTCACCTTTACATCTCTGACATAGTGAATGACAAGTTTATCATTGTCCACTGCTGAAGCCCAGTCCAAAACATCTTTTGGATGTTCCTGTAAAAAAAAAAACAATTAGGTAGTTTAGTACAAAAAGTTAAAAATATATTCTGGATTCTTATAGAACTATATACAAGTCAAACCAAACAAACACATATTTTGTTTGCCATTGCAGTCTATGAAAAATCTAGTGCTGTGAACATAGGACTCCCAATGGATTGTCTCATGATGAGAGATTCGTCACAGTTGCCACACTTAGGAAGTGCGTTGGCTAGCGCAGTTTTTTAATCTTTACCAGGAAGACACTGCCGCCCGTAGCCTGGTTTCTTTCCCGCTGTGGCCTCGTAGGGCACTCGCGGGACGATATGTTGTGGTAGCGAATGTTCTTACATCGCATCTCCACTATATTTTGTGTTTAAATACTAATTAATACACATCATACATTTTTAAAATAAGTATCTTTTTACTGGCAGACAATTCTGTTATTATATAAAATATAATTTGTTTTTGTATTCCGAATTTAAATAACGGTAGATGTAATTTCTGAGAGCCGTGGTAGCTCAGATGGTTAACGCTTGCTGTAAATATAACAGAACGCAAGTAACCCGGATTCGATTCCCGCCGGCACCAATGAAATTGTTGATTGCAATTTTAAGTGCTGACTTACCACGCGATCGGCGGTGAAGGAAAACATCGTGAGAAATTTTTGGGGCTCGTCGGACACTTCCTTGCCCCAAAAACTCTCTTAGAAATGAAGGGAGGCCTGTGCCTAGCAGTGGGACGTATAGTATAGGCTGTAACTTTACTTACTTTTAGATGTAATTTCTGTACTTTGAGTAATTAGTATAATTTACGTCTATACCCATATTTCAAAATTGTATGAGTTATGTCTTTACATATAAATTTAACTATTACTTGCCGTATATTCATTACCTGTCGCTTTCAATTGTTATTCAGCGAAGAGAGGGAGCAACTTTGAGCATTTTAAGTGAAAATCAAATTTATGAGTAAGGCCGTTACGTTATGACGTAAACTTCTCAATTTGAATATTAAGTTGTAGGCTCTCCATGACTTACAGGTATAAGGGTTTTCCAGTTCTCCTCGGCAGGGTTGTGCAGGTCGATCTGGATGAGCTGGTAGTTGGGAGCGTTTTTGTTTGTGCGGAATATGCACACGGAGCCCTCGTTTGTGATGTACTGTGAATATAAATATCATTCTGTGGATTTTTTTGTGTTGTAAATTTATACAATAATAATAATATATATAACAAAAGAGAAATAAAAATATGTTGTGAGTTTACAACATTATTTGTTCCACAGTAGTTCTCTTGAACCATATGACTTTATCAATTATTTTATTTTAAGGATAGGGTGCGAACGAGCACATACTCCACCTGATGGTAAGTAGTTTGCTGTCGCCCGATAGATATCTAAATCTATCCTCGATTACGAATCAAAATGCAGATGCGTTATCATCCATGAGAATTAAGATGGAATTCTTCATTTTCAGTAACAGTAATAACGGGTCTCCGATTCTTTACACTCACCATACGAAAACAGCAGCATTTAGCTACTATTTTATGCTGGTATTCTGTGAGAGCGTGGTCTTTCCCCGTCGCCTTCCCCTTTCCGGTCGAGCCGAACCATTTGTGCTAGAACTATACTGTTAATGTAACTGCAGCATGGCTCTACCCCGTATAAAACAAATGACGGCAACTTTGGTTATCCATAGCTCGGAACGCAACGAGCACACGATTGATGAAAACAAGCGTCCCAACTGGCGCGCTTTCTAAGTCGGTATCCGCTGATGTCTTCCGCAGGGACTATAGTGTCCTGCAGGTCTCGGGCCTCGGGATAAGCCCCCATTACCCGTGTTTTTACCCCACGACCCGCACCGACGATGGTTCTTAACGTCAGATTTTGCTGGGCCTGCAGTCGCCGCCTCAGAGGCTCGCTCAGAAGCGCGTACCAGGCCGGAGCAGCGTACGTGATGATAGGTCTGATGTACATTTTATAGATTCTCACTTTGGTCTTAAGTGGTAGCTTGGATGCCAGAACCAGACGGAGCATCGCCCGCGCACATCGTGCTCTGCGGACGACGAAGTCGACGTGCGCAGTCATGCGCAGCGCCCGGTCGATCCGGCACCCAAGATAGGTCACGGCCTTCTCGTACGCGATCTTCTGGCCATTGAGGGTTAGATGAGGTGGTAGGTTCCTGAGGCGGCGAGTGAGCAGAGCGGTCGTCTTACCAACGTTGACGACCATCCTCCACTCATCTAGCCACGGTGGCAGCAAGTCTAGCAGACGTTGCATCCTGGCAGTGGCAATGTGGGCTCTTCTGGACGAGGTGAAATAAGCGCTATCGTCCGCGTATAACGCCAATTCCACGTCGTCCTCCCACTCTTGCAGCCTTCCTGCCAGGGTTGGGATATCATTGGTATAAGCCGCGTACAGGACTGCAGACAAACAGCTGCCCTGAGGAACGCCGGCTCTGATGGTTCTGGTTGCGGACACGGCGTCCTCTACGCAGACGTAGAACTTCCTGTCTGACAGGAAAGACGCCACTAGCCGCAACATAGCAGGAGGGACACTGGTCTGTTCTTCTAGTTTGTAAAGTAATCTAGAATGCCACACCCTGTCGAACGCCTTCTCGATATCGAGAAAGACGCCCAACGTAGTGCGGCCACGGTTGTACTCGGCCGCAAGCAGGTGCAGCACTCTGGTCAGCTGTGTTGCTGTAGAGTGATCCCTCCTGAATCCGTGCTGCTCCGCCCGAAGTTGGATGCACGGACGGAGGCGTCTTAGCAACAGTCTTTCAAGCAGTTTAGCTATGTGCGGTAGCAGCGTGATCGGCCTGTAGCTGGCAGTACTACGCCTGTCCTTCTCGGGTTTCGGCAAGACGATGACTTTGCCTTTCTTCCAGTCCTCCGGGAAGTGGGATGTCCGCAATATCCCATTGTAGAGTCGACCAAGCTCTACTAGGACTCTATGGGGCAGCTGTCAGAGTGCAGCGTTGGTAATCCCATCGTGCCCCGGCGCCTTCCTCGGTTGCAGGCGGGTTACTGTCCTCCGCAGTTCAGCGGGAGAGATGAACCACTCTCCTGCAAGAGGCGGCGCGGGCGACGACAGGAACTCCTGTACGCGACTCTCCTTTTGGGCATGAAGCTCCATAAACTCTGCACTTGCTGGGTTCGGCATAAATTGCTCCTCGAAGTGCTCTCCTAGGATATCCGCTCTACCCTTGGCATCGTAACGACATTCGCCCGCGTTGTTGGTCAGCGGGCAAACGTGAGGTTTGGCTTTAGTTAACTGTCGGTTCAGTTTGTAGAGCGACGCATCATGCTCTTCCGCCTTCTATATGCGTCGCTCCCAGGCATCTCCTCTGTGTGCCTGGACTGCAACCGACAGTTCCTCCGATAAGGTGTTCAGTAGCGTCTTGATTCTCGGGCAGCGAGTACGTGCCCAGAGCCTCCTTAGCGCCCTTTTCCTCCTGATCTGCACGCTTATCTGTAGCGGCAGATCGTCTTTTCTTGTTGACATCGGGACGATCGTAGAGGCAGCGTTGAGGGCCTCCTGAATCGCCTTTGTCATATTGGTAGCAGCGGCCTCTACATCGTCCGCTGTGTTTAAGGGGTAGTGTGCTGGAGGTCTCTCCTGCAGGTGTTTATGGTAGAGCAGCAGTCGACACGTGTCTTAACTGTTCTGGGCGGCGTAGTCACCGCCTTTAGGCCAAGGGTAATCAAGATCGGGAGGTGCTGTGAATCCAGGTCGTACAGCACCTCTACCACTATCGGGTAGGTGATGTTCCTAGAGCACGATGTCCAATACATCTGGACGACTCCGTGGATCTGTTGGAACGTGTGTGGGTTCGTCGGGACCTAAGACGTCATAGCCGTATCTTTCGGCGTCTTCAAACAGTGCATGACCCGGCGGGTTGATCAGTCTAGATCCCCACACCGGGTGTTTGGCGTTTAGGTCCGCGGCGTTGATGGTCGTTATTTCGCCTTCCATCACCGTCCGGACGTCTGAGGAGCAGAATGGAGTCCCTGGCGGGCGGTATGCTGCGTAGATCCTAAGTTCCTCGCCCGCCGCCTCCATTTTTATACCGATAGAGCGCATCGTTTGGTACTCCGGTAGTTCGAGCTTTTGATGGACGATGTCCCTTCTCACTAGAACCGCCGTCCCTCTGTAGGCGGCCCTTCATCACCGCGGTAATGGGATCTGTCCCGGCTCTGATGTCTGCCGGGACCTGACTGCCGACCTCGATTGCTATGCCAACCAATCTCTGGATGGCGTCAGCAGTCTCGAAGCCGGCTGATGGTGTTCTCGTAGCCTGTGAAGGCGTTGGCACTGATCTCGGGTGTTGTTGTACTGGTCTTTGTGTATGGGTAGAGCGCGCTCTATATGTAGAGCGGCTATATCAAACCCTTTCTCACCTACCCACTTACTTTTCTTTTAACGCCCCCCCGGGATTCTTCCTCCTCAATGCCCACCGGAACCCTCTTCGAGTATTCCCGGTAGAGCTATCCCCTGCTTCCTTGCAATCCTACTCAGGACTGGGCAGCGGCGATCATTGGCGGTATGGTTTTTAGCGCAATTTGCGTATCGCGGTTTTTCGTCCCTACCCCTTGGGCAGTTACTAGCGATGTAGTCTCCGGGTCAGCGAACACACTTCACTGGCCTGAAGCATTTTTTATATATATGCATGGCCAAAGGCCTGGCAGCGGTGGCACTGTGATGGGCCCGCTCTTCCTTGCCAGGCCTCTATGACGACTCCTTTCATGAATAGGTTCGTCGATTTGGCATAAATCATTGAGGCGCTCCAGGCTCAGGTGGTCCAGCTGCGCGAAGTAGAGGCACCCAGGTCTGCCTCTACGGGGGGGGGATCCCTTTCACGTACTTGATCGGGAACCCCTTTGCCCTGATAGCCCCCTCTATCGCGGATGGATCCGTGCCCACTGGTAGTCCCCGTATGCCTACTTTCGTGGGCTTGTCCTCCTCGGGAGTGTAACAGTACCAGGACATGGCTGGTACTTTGTCGGTCATCTCTATCAGATACTTCTGGTCTCTGGGGGGTAAATCTGACCCCCTTACCGAACGGACGAGTATTCGGTGGGTGGCCCAACTTCTTGTTGAGCACCTCGAAGTGGTTCGTCCAGTCTGGTAAGCACTCAGCCACTATGGGCAGGTATCTTTTGGCTGTTTATTCCGTTGGTTTTGGTGTCTCAGCTGTCCTTGTCCTTGGTACTGCTGGGGCAGCTACCAGTTAAGCGTAACTTGTCGAACGCCTTTGGCCATCGTCCGATGGCCGGCCTGACGGGTTGGTGGTTGGCGCGGATGGTGAATGTCCGGCAGATGTACTCGGTACAAGGGTCGCGTATGTGGTTGCACTCCACCCGTATGACCCTTCTCCTCCCTGCTCCAGATCAACAGCTGGAATGGTGATCCGGTGATCTGGGAGGGGTTGGTTTGATCGGCGATGGCGATTTAGGTGGTGATCTTCTTATAGGTTGCTGATGGTCATATTCTTCCTCGGATGTCGAGTAATCCGAGGAGTGGGAGGATCCAATGCATTGCCTCTTCTCCTGAAGGGATGCAGCTGTCTCAGGTGGAGTGTGCTTTCTCAGCTTCTTCTTAGCCCGCTGTTGTTGGGGGAACGGTTCACGCCCAGTCGTACCTTCAGGTACGATGGGCGAGAGCGCGGTCCTCGTTGCGGGTTCCTTGCCTGGTGATGAAGGTTTCCGGGTTGGGATCTGCGAGTAGGAGGACACTACTCAAGTCCGTTCCGGATGAAAAATGTCGCGGTACGCAATTGGTCTGTCCAATACGCCAGGACGGTACGGTGGTCTTCTTGGTTTAGGTGGGGGCTCCCCCCTTGTCCTTATCGGACATGATGGTAACCTACCTAACGTGAGTCAGTGATCTAATACGGCCCTGTCTATTACCAGCCGATCGGCAGTAATGCGCGACGCGGATGGTTAGGATGATTAAAGTTGGCGTAATCACTATTGGGCACTGCCTACCCCTTTTGCAAACAAAAGGGTTGGGGGAAGTGCGGTGGTGGCACTTTAATACGCGACTGGGCACAAAATGCACGGAATGCATAAAGTGCCAAGAATCTGCCTAGGGGCCGGGGACCTCGACGCCTCACGGAATCACGGGACTCAACGATCGGCGGAGTATGTCGTACCGGCGGTTGTATGTGTTCACTGCTAAACACAAACAACGGAGATCTCCTAAGAGATAGAAGAAACTCCTAGGAGATCCTTGTCGGAATCCATTTGACGCGGCTGGAACGCGCGTCAATGTTCGACCGCTTGGAGCACACAATCGATACGCGGCTTTACAGTTGTAATGCATTTTTTAAATGGTAATTTGCAATAGACATGAAAATGTTGAACGCTTACAAGAGGCACCATTAATTTTGATTATAAGATCCTTTTGACTTTCAATAGTAAAGATGTTGCTAGTAAATATCACTTAGTTTTATATATTTTAAGGCCGATTTGTCAATCGTTAGATAACTTAACTGAATATAAAAGTGAAATAAATGAACTATATTATTATTATATCGGTACTTTTAAATTTGTTCCGATCAATTAATTTTAACTGGATTGTGAATTCGGTCTTTATTAATTTAAAAATATTTTTCTACAAGTATTATAACTCTTAACTACACATGCCTAAGACTAACGACTATTTAGGGTTAATGTTTTTAAGCTCACCAGATGTCGCTAGTTGCAACTTAAGTGAACTTCAGTCACGCAGATGGTCACACAGTGACGTCATCATTTAAAAAAAATTGTTTCTAGGATTATTCGTAGATACGTTCATCCATTTCTAATCTAGTGAATATACAAAATAATAATAATGTCCTCCAGACCGAATTCCGGCCACGGCGGCCTGCCTCAACGGAGGCTAGCCATCGGCGCAGGACCAACGGCTTTACGTGCTTTCCGATGCACGGGGGTGAGACACTGACAAATTCCTGACTCCGGGCAACTACTAAGAATTTCTTGACGGAAAAACTAAATAATTAATTTTTCTGACCCGACCCGGGATTCGAACGCAGGACCTCATGATCAGCAGTCGCAATACTACAACCACTAGACCAATGAGGCAGTCAATACAAAATATTACTAATATATCAAAAAGATACATTAGTTTTTACTGTCTTTTCATATAATTGTAACTTCGCCGCTATAAGACTTCTCATTCCAAAGTGGTACCATCCTGATGGCAGAAAAGTCGTGGGTGCCCTGATTTTTATAAAATTACCTAGTAGCAATAAAATATTTTTGTCGAAAGTTTAACCGTGATCACTCGTGAGGTGTTAGGGTACCTCGTAGTCGGCCTCGAACTTGTGCACGATCTGCGTGAGCGGCAGCAGGCCGGTGATGTCGGGCTGCTTGGCCAGCTCCGCGAAGAACAGCAGGTTGTCGCGGCAGTCGCGCACCGGCGACACCACCAGGTAGCGCCCGCAGTCCGACACCTCGGCGCCGCTGCACACACCACACATTTTTTTCATAACCACATAGCATAACACCATCCTTAATGGCTGTTTATTTACTTTTTTTCATTTTACATAATTTGATACAAATATATTATAAATGTCACATGAAACCAATGTGGTTTGTCCACAGTGCCGAACCCACATTAAACAGTCATATTTTATATCAGGTAACATAAAAAATATTATGGTGTTAACGACTGTTACGCAGGTTTGCGTTTAAAATATTTCTTATCATTTAACAGACGTAATGTTCGTAAGTTATGACCTCTTATAACTACGTAATGCGCACAGAAGGTTTGCTGATAGCGTCGTGACATCACAAGCCGACCGAAACATTGCTTTAGGACAGAGTTAATTTTTACAATCGTATTCCCATAATGATTTCTTAAATTTACGCGAACACTACACATTGAATAAAACTATTATTTAAGGATTTTATCGCGTTTAATTCATTTTTAATTTATTTTTATTATCCCGACGTTTCAATTTTTATTATCCCGTTGTGGTCACGGGGAGGACTGAGATGTTTGACGTCCCAATGTCATAGTTAGTCCGGCTACCTTTAGTTTTTGAATATTAATTTTTGGTCCGATTTACGCAAAATGAGTTTACAGTGGTATGCTAGGGTTTGGGTTTAATTTTGTAAGTTATAGGATCCCAAGCAGCTGGCAGCACCCATCCATCTTCTCTATTGAAATTTGGATGTTTTTTAATTTCAATAGCCTCGCGTATCATCCTTGGCAGGAATCGGTGTTCTTTGCGAGGGTTTGTGGTTTATCAGTTTATGGGGACGATCTTGAACATGTTCGCAGACTGCAGACTTCCTGGAGCGTAATAACGGGTCAATGAATGAATGAAGCACCGACGCGAGGCTATTGAAATTAAAAAACATCCAAATTTCACTCCACACCATAGCCTCAAACTATGCCATGTGGTTAAAAATTAAAAATTGGCCCGGGGCTGGTAGACCACCTTATTTCGGGGCTAATTGACCACCTAATCAACCTACCCCGTAGTAGTCTGAGTATACTTAATATGGAATAAAGTCACGTTTTTTTTTCAGTTTATTAAATGCTAGTTGTTACAGAACCATGCGAACGTACAAAAGAAAGACTTATCGAGGAATCACACCCAAAGATGCCTCCGATAGAGCATGAATTCTACAGCAAAATAATTTTATATACCATATTACACTACAACGCAACGTGGTAAAAATGATAGAAAGTAATCCGGAAATGACGAGATCTAAATCTTACTTTAAATTTGATTTTGACTTGAAAGAGCGCTGTACACTAAAAATAGAAAAATATTTATTGAAGAGAAATAATTTGCATCAGAAAAACACCATAAGAATGGAACTGATATTTATTACGGATTCACACTCCCTACGAACCACGAAAGTTTACACTATGTTAAGGAACTCAAAATAAACAACAATCCTGTAAGACGCTAAATAACAAAACAAACAAATCAAAGATAATAGAAGGAAAATTTAAAGGGGTTATGGAAAACGAAAAGGAAAAAAGCTGTTCATGAGAGAAATAATAGAAGTAAAAAGAAAAATAGAAGAAGTAATAATAGAAATAATGAAGAAGACAAAGATGATGAGGATGATACATTTTGTTTAAAGTGCACTACATTTTATAGTTTGAAATGGATTCTGTGTACTACGCGCAAGTTGAGTTTTAAGTATTTAGTTGACAAATGTTAGAATGTGCAATTGTTACGTATATATATATATATATATATATATATATATATATATATATATATATATATATATATATATATACAATTTTATGTTAATTATCAGGATTGAAAATTTCGATTCAATAAAAAAAATTATAATAACACATACTTTTTATATTTTTTATCATATTTATTCCTATAATGTGTACTAATTATCTCATAGGTGAACTTACCCCTAGTGAAAAGTCAACCAATCCCGGGCATGGGATAGGTTGATTAGTATTTCGTGTTCTACAAAATGAAGCTTGTGCACTACATCATTATTGACGGCAAGCGTTTCTTTATTTTTTTCAAAAGCTGAATAGTTTACCTATCATATGTAATGGTTTTTACGATAATATACACTAAAACAATGAAAATACAAGCTTCTTTACTGAAAATTGGTCAACCATCCCCGGTCTCCCTCATCGTTAACGTGTATGTCAGTTTTGCTAGCCCCAGTAAGCGAAAAATTCCGGACGTGGTCAGCGAAAGTGGCAGAGCTGATCATCGGCAAACCATTCAAAAAAGTATAGATTCCATGCACGCGCTGTAACAACACAACTGTCTATGTGGCGTTTCAATTAGCATTGCGCGCTAACTTCACGTGTATTCTGTGACAAATGCAAAATAAACAAAAAAAAAACCAATTAATTTAAAAGTGGTTTTTATTTAAATTATAAATAATTAGTTTTATGTTGTGAACGTATTTTTTTTCCTCTAAATAAAATAATATGAGTGACAGGGTGAGAAATTGTTTGATAAAAGAAGAGTGTGGTTTGCAAGATGATGCTGTGACCAGGATTAAAAAAGGAATGCTTCGATGGTTTGGTCATGTAGAAAGAATGAATGGGGCAAGAGTGACAAAGCAAATTTATGTTGCTGAATTAACAGAAGAGTCGCAAAGGGACGTCCTAGGCGAAAGTTTATCGACCAAATTGGCGATATATCGAAAATGGGCCAAATTAAGAGTGACCTTAACCGACGAGCATGTATGCGGAGGTATATGTATGAGAGGTATGTCAAGATCGTGCTAAATGAAAGTCTGTGGTCTCTGCCTACCCTTCTGGGGGACAGACGGGAGTGTTTATGAATTATGTAAAAATAATGATATTAAAACGACGGCGAATAACGGTATCATGACACGCGGCCGTTTCAAACGAAGACGTTCAGTGTATTTGTCGGTAAGCCAAATTATATTCTTAACGTGTGCGCATACAACAATACGAGACGTGCTCACTGTCAGTAAACTTACTACACGCGCTAGGTACAGCAAAGCGCGCAAAACACGTACATTTGTACGTGTATTGCGCGCTTGCTTACAGTTCGTACTCTCAATACATGTTAAGTACATACGCAACACGCAGTCAGTACAGTATGTAATGAGACATTATACACGTACTAAAAATCAAAACTGTTACCAACTTTGTTGAAGTCAAATAAAAATATATAAGTGTGATTAAGTTTTATTTTTTATTACCACGTACTCGGAGATGAAAGAAAACATCGTTAGGAAACTTAGATGTAGGAGAAATAAGAAAAAAAAAAAGTATTTCAAAGATATGAAGCCCGCCAATAGGCATTTTAGCGCGACGGTTTCCTTGCTCTAAAACCTGTCAGCAATGAAAGGAGGCCTGTGCCCAGGAGTCGGACGTATATAGGCTGTATTTTTTAAAAGTTTATCAAGGAATTCGTAAAATAATAGTGGAACTTCGTACTTGCATTAAAAGTATTGTTTCAAACATAATACGCAAATAGCTCGGGCCGATCATGAAAGGAGGATGCTCTCATAAAATATCAACGTATGAGCTATGCGTCACAGCATGCACTTAAAATCAGGTCGACTGTGTGTTTATTTGTCACCCTTACTTGCATAAAAAATAACGATGATAGGCACCATACGACATAGATCGGCATTATAATATTGCCTACACAGATGAGAGCTTCCTGGAGAGAGGATACGAGTTGGCATTGTCATCGAAATTAGGCGAGGACATTATCATATTTTTAAATACTTTACAAAACTTTACTAACATAGAAACTACGAAGTTTGGTTAATAAGTACAAAGCACTAATCAGAAAAAAACTAAGCAATAACTATATAGTATATACTAGTCTACAAAAATAGTATTCTTTAATACAGTACGCAATAGTTTTACTTATTAAGCTTATTATCAATTATTTAGTCATATATTTAAAATATGTACTAAATGAGTTAGTTACGTGTCTAATGTACTTCTTACACGTACATGGTAGTATTTCCTCTATTTATACTCTGTGTGAGAATACTAGTAAATTAAATAATAAAACCTACGAGCGGCAGTCTTCGCTCCGAATTCGCGTATTTACGGCTCTGTTGACAATGAGTTATGTAAATAATATAAATTTTGTGGCAGATAAACCAAAATATAATATTTTTCTAAAAGTAAAGGGCTGCTAAGCGGCTAATAAGACGAACCCAGGCAATATCTATATTAATACGAGTACATAGCTATGAGTTGGACATTTAAAAGTAGAAATTTAAACTATTTCAGTCAATTAGTCACTACACATTTTATTCTAAGTCTGTTAAAAAGACATAAAATTCGAATTTAAGAAGAACTTAATTTAAAGATGTTAAGAGTTATTTCGCAACTCAGTTTCGACTTGAGGGAGGGCGGGAGGTGCTCTTCAAACTAGGTAAGGCACATTATTTTATTTTATTGAGCGGATGGTTGCGAAATAATTCTTAACATATTATATCTGAGCTCATATCTTTCAATACAGCTCTCTATAGAATTCAATGAATTAACACATACACAGCGCACAAAACTCATATTTTATCCTCAATTACCTCTCTAAGCACCGACCTATATCGAAAGATATTGACAATATTATCTGCTCATACAAATATATCGGCAGATACAATTATGGCATGGGATTTTACATACTGATAAATACAAAATATGCGATTAAATTCGCCTCTGTCCTTTTAAAGCTTTATATGACGTTTTATCCAAATTCTTCGCCTAAATGCTAACACAACACTTGCATCAAAATCAAAATCTGTACTGTATCTAAATCTGTATTCTGACGAGCTTTCTAGCAAATCTATAACCAATATACGCCAAATTATTATAGGTAACACTCTGTATACACAATCCGCCTCCAAAAATACGTCAAGTAAGTTTAAAGGATTACGCGTGAATGTATCATTTCTTATACTATCGTATTTGCGTAGTGTGTGATACTTTCAAATAATTAAGTGTCTATACACAGATAAAATATCGTATCTGCGTAGTCTGTGACTCCCTTAAGTCTAAGTCAGTTTATCCGTTTTGAAGCTACGATACAGATACACACGTTAAACATAACCCCTCGTTTTCGTCGGGGGTTAAAGAGTATATGAAATGCCTAAAAAAGAGTAGCCTGTAATTACAGACTGATATCATCATACAATTTGTAATGTTAATTCTATGTGGCAGTAAGTTTTGTTAAACAATACGTGAGGTACTCACATCCTCCATAGCGGCTCGTCGGGGAACTCCACCACGACGACGTCCTCGGACTGCGGCGTGTTGAGACGATGGAAGCACAGCTTCTGGTCGCGATTCACTTCCGTCTCCGAGCCGTCCGCCTTGCCCGTCGCATCCGGGTACCGCTGTACACGACGCACCAAATTTAGCCATTAATCAATAAAAAAAATATTCGCTCCTCAAACATCATTTTTACAACCTGCAACTGTTTCACAGTGAGATTACTCCGACTGTTTTTACAGACTTTCGAGGAAAACGTTACCGCCTGGTAAAGTCCATTACTAAATATAGGTCTCCCCCTTAAATAGCCTCATAGAGGGGACATTTGCCATAGCTGCCACGCTTGGCAAGCGGGATGGCAACCGCAGTACTTTATTTTTAGTTGTTATTAGGAAAACTTTACTACCCATTTCCTGATTTAATTCTGTTTGTCTACTAGTGTGAAACCCGAGGGAATGGGGTAGTGGATATTCTCACAACGCCGCTATACGGTATGGTACGAGGAAACGACAAATATAGAATTTTGTTTGTAATTGGGTAACTTGAACCGTCCATTAATAAATTATTACATCTCATAATTTGAATCTGCTACTATTAATATTTTCTCAAAACTTGGTTGGTTGTCTGTTTTTAAAAGTTAAAGAATTTTTTTATATTTTAAAATAACCAAAAAAGAACTTTATTTGACTACAAGAAACTATGATGCTATGTTTAACTATTCGTTGGTATTTCCAAATAAGACTGCTGATAGGGGCGGGCCATCAGCAGTCCAATTTTACAAACCGATGAAGAAGCTTCTTTACGTGGTAGAGCCACGCTGCAGCTATACTATAGTTGTAGCACGAATGGGTCGGCTCGACCGAGGAAGGGCCACGCTCTCACAGAATACCGGCGTGAAATAACAGCTGAGTGCTGCCGTGTTTCATATGGCAAGTGTAGAGAACCGGAGACCCATTTTACTATAATCGAGACAATCCATTTTAGTCCTAACGGGTGATATCGCATTTGCATTTTGATTCTTAATTGAGGATAAATGTACATGTCTATAGGCCACAGCATTCACTTTCTATTAGGTGGACTGTGTGCTCCTTTGTCATCCAATGCTATAAAAAATACCGCCATGTGACGAAAACCATTAAATGTTTCTGGTCGCTCCCAATCCTGGCTCTTACGACATCCATGGGACGATATAGCATGATGATTTTTATGCTGCCTTGGACAATATTATAACTAGCAAAATATAATCTGCTTGAATTTGTTCAATCTTACAGAATAAAACAATCCTTTGTTGTCCTTTGTCCACGACATAGATGCGAATTTGACCTTCTCCAACACTTCTGGGTAGTCTTCACCTGCAAGTCCACAAATATTTATATTTATATCATTTCAAGTACCACTTTATAAATGTGACCTTAATGTTTTATTTGTACATTCTTTACAGCACTTTCAAATTGCTTCGACGTTAAGGATATCTTATCGATTAATAAAACTAATATTATTCAATGATAATCATTTGGTAACACGAAGATACTTGGTTCTTCTCTTGGTTGGAAGTTCAGTGGCTTTTAGCGCTCGCCTTAAAGAGAGAGTAGCCCAAATCTGAACTGTGCTCGTATCACTAAATTTTTTATTGCAATTATATGTTCCAGACTAGTGGGGATATGCTCATGTTCCATAGCCATCTCAGAAATTAATGGAGGCTCAGCAGGCTATTAGCGTAGAGTGTAACTAAACTTAATCGTAAACTTTTTAACATATTACTACTGCCTATAAAACAGCTTACATACGAGGGTGGATTGAAAAGTACTCGGCCTAACACAGATCCATTCAATTCTAAAAATCAAATCTACCAACATTATTTAGTTCAGTTCAGACTAGTTCATTGTGTGAAGTTCGAAACGTGTGCGATAATTAGTTGTGATTTTATAAATTTATTAACAAAGTAATCTGACATAATTTCCGCAAATGGAGCAAATCGAGCAGCGTGCCGTCATTAAGTACCTCCATAAGAAGGGGCTATCATCAAAAGCCATCCATGATGACATGGTCAGTACATTAAGCGATTGTGCTCTGTCATATTCATCCGTCAAAAAATGGATAGCAGAATTTAAGCGTGGTAGAGAGAGTGTGAAAGATGAACCCCGCTCTGGAAGGCCTTCGACGTCAACTACTGACGGAAATATTAAAAAAAGTACTTGATTTAATAATGGCAGACCGCAGATTAAAAATTAGAGAGATAGCCGAGATTATAGGCATCTCTTATGAACGAACTCAAAACATCATTGTCAACGAGTTGGGTTTTCACAAGGTGTCTGCGAGGTGGGTTCCGCGACTGCTTTCAGTTGAACAAAAAAGGACGCGATTGACTATTTCACGCGACTGTTTGGAGTTATTTGAAGCCGATGCAGATGATTTTTTGAATCGTTTTGTTACTATGGACGAAATATGGGTTCATTACTGTACACCGGAAACAAAACAACGATCAAAACAGTGGAGAGGACCTGGTTCACCACCCCTAAAAAGGCTAAGTCGATTTTGTCGGCAAATAAGGTGATGGCTTCAGTATTCTGGGACTCGAAAGGTGTGATTATGATTGATTATCTTGAAAGGGGTCAGACTATAAACTCTGATTACTACTGCACCTTACTACGTCGTTTACGAGAGGAAATAAAAGAAAAACGTCGAGGAATGCTCAGAAGAAAAGTCCTGTTTCATCAAGATAACGCCCGTGTTCACACGTCAGTACAGTCAATGGCTGAAATTCACAACTGTGGCTTTGAACTGTTACCGTATCCGCTGATTCACCTGATATGGCACCAGCAGACTTCTTTCTGTTCTCTAACCTAAAAAAGCACTTGGGAGGTCAAAGATTTTCGACAAACGACGAGGTCAAAGCAGCTGTAGACGCATATTTTGACTCTAAGGAAGAATCATTTTTTTTCAACGGTCTAAATACTTGGAAGGGGATGTGGCAAAAGTGTATTGAACTTGATGGTGATTATGTAGAAAAATAAAAATATAACTGATTTAGTATGTGTTTATTTTCTTGGTTAGGCCGAGTACTTTTCAATCCACCCTCGTATGTAGGTCTGATCTCATTTCTAAATGGTTTGAGGAACAACTATCTTAACAACATAAATATAAAGTTGATCATGCTTTGTCATATACAGAATGGGTCCCACATATATGCAATAAATGAAACCACAAGTAATACTAGTCCGTAGAAGTGTAGAAAAATTAAATATTAAATTAAAACCCGTAAAATAAAAAAAGTGAAATTTTCAAACAAAATAAATATTAAAATAAATTCAGTAAAAGTGAACACTCTGTTTAGACAACGTACCTTGACCCCTTGGAAGAGTGACAATGTTGCACGCGGGTGGCACGCCGACAAAAGACACCGCTGTCGATATGTCGCAATACCAATAGTTTGCACTGCGTGGCAACGTCGCTTTTTAATGTTCAAGGATTCAAGTTCATTGAATCATTGACTTAGTGACCCAATTCTATAGAGTGTTCAAATTTGCTTAAAATTAAAACTCTACTTTTTGACCTAATTACTGGACCGATTACGTTCATTTTTTGTATATCGTCAGCAAAGGCGATAACAAGTATATGGTTTCATTTATTGCATATATGTGGGACCCATTCTGTATAAAGGCTTAAGCAAATCTACTTAGTCAATTTAATTTTTTTTAAACTTATTAAAAAATAGGTTTAAAAAGTTTATTTCAAACGCCTAGAGTTGGAAATTTAATACATAGTTTTAAACTTTAAAAAAATAATAGAGGTTACGTGAAGTAAATACTCCGGACCAAGAGTATTCAAGTCAAGTATTTTCTATTCTCGGTGGTGGTGGATGGTTGTGGGTAGTCACCACGGTGCTTGCTGCACTGCTGTGGTCAAGTTTGAAGGGGATAGAGAGCCAGTAAAATTATTGTCTGCAAGGCATTCATCTTAGACATTACAGTTAACTACGCATCTGTACGCTTCTTTGTTTAAAGTTGGCTCCAGGTGTCCATGTACTGCATTAGCTAGATGGTAAGTGACCATCAGGCGGACTGAAAGTTCGTTTGTCACGTCAGATTAAAAGAGAAGTGATATGCTTATGTAAAATGTAAAATATATTTATCAAAGAAAAATATGGCATTGATACTAGATAACACAGTTGTATAAAATCTCGACTTACTTGGGACTAACAATCAACAAACAATTATTTTATCTTATAAAAGACATAATTGAATTATTTACTTATTTACAAGCAAATTGTTCTTTTTTTTTCGTTTGTTACTCCATCCTACAAAAAAAATATTACCTCACAGGGGAGCGTTTTATCATAGTTGTCACACTTAGCATACGAATTGGCAATCGCAGATTTTTTTATTTTTGAGTTTCAATTGGATAGATACTACCGCCTGTCTACTGTTTGAACTTCCACTGTCACGTCTTACGGTAATGATACCATGGTAGTAGATTCTATTATGCCGCCACTACACAGTTTACTTATTTATATGTACTTATTATTACTGTTACCGAATATTAAAGTAAACCTATGAAATTATGCTTCTGTTTGCATTAAACTAATTAGTATTCTTATATATTAAAGGAAGGAGAGATTGAAATGGTATAGTGAAATTAAAAAGTATGCTAAAATAGTAGTAAATGGTAGAATACTCTTAACATGGGAGAAATAGCTTACTGAGCCGGGTCGAAAACCTATATACTAGGGGTATTACGGAAGTGGTTAAATCGGAATCAAACTCGAAAGCAGAGTTTTTAAAATTGGTTTGTCGGAACCGGATTCGGAGGTGTAGGCAGAAGAGATAGGTATATGTTAAGAGTACATTTATTAAAATAAAATTACACACATAATTTATCACAAATTAATATACTCGGTAAAAAACTGTCTTCACCTTAACTGATAATTCGGCACTATGAACTGAATCCAATACCTTCCACGAAATTGCAGGGAAGATCTTGCAAAGCAATAATTTCAGGGAGGTTCCCGCACGATAATTTTAAATTTGTTCGTATGGGCTGATAGCGGCTACCACCGCCGCTATGAATCAACCGCCGCTATGAATCAACCTCCGATATAACTTTCGATTAAAATCGAAGGTGCTAAACCAATCAGAAGTTCAGAACTTTCGGAATCGGAATCGAACCTCCGTAACATCTCTTCTATATACCATCAAATAATGGTCAAAGTGCCAAAGATGAGTGTCATAAAATGTGGACTAAAATCGCCAAGCCGCCTGCCGATCATAGCGATTATAGATAATCAAATCAAATTAAGCAAATCCTTCGTTTAATGGGAAAGGCTGTATGAGCCTCTACACAGACTGTTACGGGTTTAAAAATAAATGTTTGCGTCCGCAACTCTATCCTCTATAAACAAGAATCGTATACTAAATTGTCCTGCTAAAATTGTTCTAACCAGCTTATATGAATAGTCACCTGTGGCGACGTCCTTCAAGTGTATGGTGATCCAGTCGGATCCGCTCGCCGACAGACCGTAGGCGAGCGTGGCGCCGTCTTCCGTAAAGCGGGTGCCGGACAGCGCCACCGTGCCGTCTTCCGACAGCGTGTTGGGGTCCAAGAACACGCGCGGCTCGCCCTCCAGGTTGTCTTGCACGTACAGCACACTGCCGCCACATTTATTCAGTTGTTATAGAAATATAACTCGACAGAAACCCTAGCTTCGAGCCTCAAAGCATCCATTATTCGAAATCTGAGTCCTTGTAAAGTTGAAATAATCAGTTTTTCCGTACAAGATATTTTAGTACACATTTTCCTTCTAATCCCCCCAAAAAATCTCTGTATCTTAAACATATCAATGTTTTATTATACGTACTATCTCTACAAATCGATGATATTAAATTAAACTCTACAACTCAAACAAAAAATAAGTAAGAAATCGATTTTAAAAATATTGCCGACAATATCCTTTTTGTTAATATTTTGTATATGAATGTATGTTATTATACCTGCGTTTTTTATTCTATAGAATGCGCTTTGGACAGACGCCAAGCAATATAATATGTACCTATAATATTTGAAAAACTTACTTCTGGTTTTGCAGGCCTGTGTTCTTGAAGAAGAAATATCGATCGCCTCTCCGGAAGGGGCAAGAGTACTTGGGGTAGTTCCACAGCTCCGTGAGCCGCTCATTTATATCCGCCTTTACAGGACACGCGTCCAAGTACGGCCTCGTGATTTTGTTTTGTGCTTCTATGAATTCTTTGGTTTCGTTTGAGTCGGGGTCTTCCAACCAACGGTACGGATCATGAATCTATCGAACATTTTAATATTATAACACTTAAAAATGATACATTGTGGTAGCGCTTTCAGGGAATCGATACCGTGTAGTGGTGGTGCGGTGTATCGATACCGTGTAGTGGTGGTGCGGTGTATCGATATCCACTACAATATAAGGTCCCGTAAATGTCGTAAGGGGCGACAGAGAGACAATGAAACGAGATGGGCAACAGCATCTTCCTGATAAAAACTCAAAATGATAAAAACCTGCGGTTGCCAACCTACTTGCCAAGCGTGGCAACTAGGGTAAAATCCCCTCTATGAGGCAATCAATGGGGCCTATGTTCTACAGTGGACTTAAATAGGCGGTAATAATGGATGAGGGTAAAATAGGTAAGGTAAGGGTACATACAGAATTCTCTACTCTTACAGAATTCTGGCATAAAAACATCATAATGCTGCTGTGTTTTGTATGGTGTGTGTGAGGAGCGAGCACACAGCACACGTGATGGTAAGTGGATGCTGTGGCCCATATACATAATATACATCTATCCTCGGTTAAGAATTAAAATGCAGATGCGTTGTCACCCGATGGAATGCCTCGTATCCAGTTAAAAAGGGTCTCCGGTTCACTTTTGTGCTACAACCATAAGGTAGCTGCAACATGGCTCTACCACGTGTTGTTGTTGATCTCTCCGTTGCCTCTGACGACGCCCACGGGATGCTATATGACAGTGAATATTCTTACATCACCACCACAAGGTTATGTCCGTCATATGTACATTTAACACTTTTCGCAATAAAGTTAAAATAAAAAATATAATTAATAACACAATCCATCAATGAAACGTTTTAATTTCAAATCATTCAAGCAAAAAAAAAACATGTTCGGTTATAAATACGCCCGAGTGCGCAGACTCCGAATTCATGGCTTATTTAGAAGTATTTTTTTAATACTTTAACTCCGATAAATCATCGCTCTTTAAGTTTTATACTTATGCAAAAACAGTTTCAAAAAACAGTTTGGTCTAAGTCCAACTTCGATACAGAACAGGTGTCTATGTACCTACACCGTGACGCGAATATAAAACGATTAATGAAGGTGATTGGTATACAACGAGTATCTATATACCCTTCGCAACCTGATAAGGTAAACCTCGGATTTTATAACTAAGCTATTTAAACTTTATAGAGTAGATGTAGGAATAAAGTCAACGAGGATCGTGTATCGTCTCAAGGTTCTTTTTATCCCACACTTCATGCTACAACTTAATCCTTACCTTCCTTTTAAACGAAATACGAAATCTATTACTGATATACACTTAAAATAACTCTTGAAATGGGAGGTACGCCGGTAAAAAGACAAAGATAAAACTCGCCTTTACAAAAAATAATTAAGCATTGGCAATAATAAACTTGTTTGACGGTCCGGTTTTGATGCGAAAATATCTACAGATACAAACCCATGGTTAAAAATATTCGCAAATTAAAACGTGTGATACGAATTAATAAATCTCTAAAGCGGATCAGTAAGCTGGCAATGGGCTGGCCACATAGCTCGAAGAGCCAACAATCGATGTGGCAAAAAGGTTACCCGTACATAACTGAAGCGTTGGACTTCTCTTATAGTAGGGTACTTGATGGAGTGACGACCTAGTAAAAGATGTGAGAAGTCGATGGATGCAGGTGGCTCATAAACGTACGTTGTGGCATTCCTTATTATGTATTATGATCGCAAAGAAAGCTAAACCTGCATTCTTATGAAAATTTATCATTAATTGATGTAATATTATCTGATATAAGACTTATGATAACACTGCAAACGCTAAATAATCACGATGTTGTTATCTCATAATCATCAATCAAAGGCGTAGTTCATCTTGTAAGAAAATTTAAACCATCGCTATGAGTGAAAACCAATTTTTTTCACATATTTTGTGACTATAATTATAACGAGTTCGTGGACTTGATTTTTTTTTTCATAACTTTCAAATTATCTATTTATTTATATATTGCTACGTACATGTTTAGTTTTTTAACGAACAGTTTGTATGAGTGACGAGATCCAGAGGGAGACCCTTACTAAGCACTTTTTGTTGGGAAAAAGGCAATTAATCTTACACACAATCTTCTCTCACAGACTACATAGGTACTATCTGCATTTCGAAGATATACGAGTCACAGTATTCACTTTGCTTGTGCCTGTGTCATCGAACTGTACCGGACTGTGAGCTCGTTCGTTTGTCATCCTTACTTGTATAAAAAAGATTTATTATCTAATACATTTGATGTTCGTTCTGTGTTGTAAAGATATTTTGATTAATATCAAGCCTCTTTAATAGCAGTCCTGTGTTAGACGAAGAAGTCTGACGGCTTTGTATCACAGTGCGAATACGAATCGAATTCCTTACGACACTCGATTACTTCTAGGAAAAATATTCCCTTATTATGCTGCGCTACAGCTAGGTTTTAATTTTTATTCTTAGCAGGCGCATAAGCGAGCCCAGTACCAGATGTCCGATCCAGATATTTTGCGACTGATTATTTTTTAAGTTTTATTTATTGAACAGCCAATGCGTTTGCCAAGCGTGACGATTTAACAATCAATGAAATGCCTATATCCAATAGTGAACTTTAACTGATTACGACGATTCAAATGTCATCAATATAACAAACAATCTTTAATACTTATAATAGTTGGTGCGTCTGTTAGTGATCGCGTAGGTTCTTAACGACTTGACCGATTGAGTATTTGTTTGGTCCGATAAGGGGCGCTATAGTCAAATTATTAATAAATTCTATATTTATGGATCAAAATAACTCCTATTTGTTATAATATATTATGTTGTATTATTTGTAAATATACAAAATACACAAAATTTGACATACGTAAAGTTCAAAAATTTTATTTAACTAAATTTGTATAAAAAGGGTTTTTATAATATTAAGGAATTTATGGATGATAATAACCCCTGGGAAGGGTGATCGCTACCAAGCTATCTCTAATTTCTCTTGTGTTGTTAATTTTAAACATGATTGTAAGCTATTATTTGGAAAAAAATAGTCCCGCTGGGTTTCTTGCTGGTTCTTCCCAGGACAGAGGTTTTCTTCGTGAATCAGTGGTAAATGAAAAAAGTGACTTTCAATAAGTATTGTTTATAATCTACATTGAATAAAAAAGTTTCTGTTCTGTTGGTTTAGTGTCAAAAAAGAAAATCACAAAATCTGGACCTGATAAGTGGTACTCGGTGTTGTCGCATTTTAAATAAATTCTATATTTACACTGCAAAAAGTTTATAGTGAATTTAAAATAAAACCCACCGCTTCATTTAAAGTGCAGAATGTTGTCTGCCGGATCATGTATTACAAATATAAATTTGTTTTTAGAAAAAGCATCTGCACAGTCCGGCAAAAATATTTTTTTCAATTTTGCAGTGTCGCCTCTTACTACACACAAAAGATAGTGATGGGTTCTCTTACGTTACCGTAACAAACACATAAGTTTAAATTAATATATCCCATACGAGTTGGTCCTACACCATCCCGCACTTAATATTTGTATCATTTGCATTGATCGACCTGAGCATTATCTATTTCTTCTTTTCAAAATTTTATTAAGCTCAAGTGTATTGTAATAGTTTGCAAATATGAATGCAAATGTTCATCTTTTGATTTGATTTTAGAATTAGTGTTACCATAATTTAAACACACGAGACAAAATACTAACCGATTTTTTCCCGTTTATCCCAAATTTTGTTATGTAAAATGTTTCCACTACAAATAAAATCACTATTTCGCACGTACAGTTAACATTAATCAGCGTTGACGAGATCTTATTTCTGCAACCACTTCATAACATTGCCATTCATTATCACTTCAATGTGTGACATTTGCCTTACAAGTTGCATGTTATATCAAGAAAAATATAAAGTGAACAGCTTTCGGTATTGTCTACCGACATATAGTCTATTTTTAAGGAAGTCCAAGGAGGCTGTTCATATTTCCACTATGTATATAGTATTAACAGAATATTTCAATTGAAGGATATCAATATTATTAAAAAAGAATATAATTTAATGGGAGAGAATATACTTCGTATATTTAATTCTCCCTAAATTCATTAAGGGGACATGCATACTTTTCCTTCAGTTTCATATATATATATATATATATATTCGGTATAGTATCTTGCTGACTGACGGATAAAGCTTATCAGCTTTAACAAAATTAAATTCATGTCATCAGGACTGACACAACCAAAAGTCAGGCACATTACCAATGCATGTCTATGCTCACAATCCGCGTTCTCATGGTTAAATATCAGCACAACATAGGAAAAGTCCACGTTCTTCCACAAGCTAGTAACGATGATAATTATAATGGACTATAACATCAATATTTCATTATCTGTTAAGTATTCTAGTATTGAACTCAATTTTTATACAAGGGACAAACAAGCATGCGGTGTGTGTGTGATGCCTACTTGTGCTGATGAATAACTGCAACATCTGAAAAATTGCAGGTGCGTTGTCAGCCGTTTAAAACTGAGTAGGCTATTTTCTCGAAAGTACCTAAAATCGCTGGTGATAGCTAAATAGTCTTACGAGAAGGATACCTTTGAATAATCACATAATAGACTGCCGAGCTTTCCTGATGGTGCGGATAGTACAAAAAATTTTGATTAGAAAAATTCTTAAGAGCACTCCTTACTCTCGGGGGTGATAAATACAATAAAAAAGGATGCGGTCAAGTATAGAACTGGCGCTGAGGTGCTCGAGCATAGAGATGAGAATTAAGAACAATGTGAGGTCGATCTTGCGTCTTGCAAAGTCGCAAGCTATGTTGCCGGTAAGAAATACTGTCCCGATCTACTAAGCACGCCAAGCTTTTGAGAGGCCATTTGGCCTTCCATTCCGAATGGTGGCTTCTCTTCCTGGTGTAATTTATAGCCCTTCACACTCAGATAAACGTCCAATTTTCTAAGTTACATTGATCATTTGATACTGTATCCTCTGTCTATGAAGATAATGGCGAGGTCGACAATACTGTGGTTTCGAATGTATAATGTATGATAATAATGTATTTATGAATTTTACACCAAGTCACTGTTAAACTCTTTAATTGTGACTTATTGATTACTTGAAGTTAAGATTGAATATTATGCGGCACGAGACTTAGGGGAGCAATAGATTGGTCCACAAGTTGGTGTACACACTTGGCCTACGTATGCAACTTACGTTTGGCGTCAGATACTTGTCGCTTTTTAGCGGACACACGTGTGCAAATTTATACCATGTTTTCTGATTATGAAAGTGAGGTAGTGATTTACATGGTCTGGTGTTCATAAAGTAATATATCCCCGCCACAAAAAAATGTTTAGGTAGTAATTCTCTTAATTTTTTTTTATTTATAATGCAAACAATTACATGAATGTGTAGAATACAATGTGTTATTTCCACAATATTTATAAAATCGTGGTTCATATCTTAACACGACAAAGGTAAAGATACAAAAACTACTTTTTTAATTTCGCGCCTCGACCTCTCGCTTTCACGTTAATAACAAAAATTATAGCAGTAAGTCGATAGGTACTCATTAGGCTTACCATGCAGTTTGGCTATCTTTTCCCATACTGTATAACGTAATTTGGCATCGCGATATTCTACACCACATTTAATATTATAAATACATTCGTATCGCCTTAATAAATCGATGAGCTGTTCATCTTAAATTTTGACGACAAAACGCGTGCACAGTGCAGTCTATTTATTTACGACAAGCGTACACGTAAGTTTTAGGAACTAACTTACGTTACATACGATAAGTGTATTTCTAATGCATAGTTTTTCATAGAAAATCAAGTGTTCAGACGTCATAATGCGTTGCATACGGTGGGATCAATATGTATCTGCCTTTATATTCTAATCCAACTAAACAGGAGAAGTGTACCAGAATAAGTACAATTATCTATTATAGAATTTTGACACTACTTGCCGCCGTTTAAGGTTTGGTATTTTTCACCGTTTGGTCAATAGCTAATTCATTGTTGGCTAAAATGTGACGTGTCAATCGTAATGGGAAACCGTTTAACTAACCAATGAAATAAAATGATAAATTTATGTTTATGGTTTATAACCATTTCAAGTCGTTGACCGTGCAAAAACTGGCTTAACGAATTTTATAATGCCATTATGCATAGTTAAAAAGTTCAAAAATAAAATTTAAGTTTTTATTCACCTGCCAATTCATCGACCCCGGATTCATGTGACGTTGATGCACAATAAGTTTCGATAAACATCACATGACCATCTCTTTTTTTGTTTTGTTATAATTAATTTATAAGTCGAATAATAATTATGATTCAATTTAAACATCCGAGAGCCATAGTAGGCGACAGAGCAAAACTTAAGAAGGAATGGGCAGTAACATCTTCCTGATAACAACAGAAAATAATAAAGATAATGCGGTTGCCAACCCGTATGCCAAGTGAGTGGCAAAATCCTTCTAATAATATAATTCTTAAAATATAAATAACAATACTTACTACAGTTACTACTGTAAAATTAAAAAAAAAACATTTTACCGTTTCATGATAAATTTAAATATCGTGTGATTCGGCTCTTATAGATAAAAAATATATCTGTATTTACATTGAATAAAAAAAATTATACGCATTTTGTCACTTTTATAATTTTTTTTCATTCAATGTCAAGTATTCGTGTCTCTCCGACGCTCATCATCATCATCATTAACAGTCCTTTACAAGTTCACTGCTGAACATACAACATATTTGTGTAAATAAAAGAAATTATTAAACATCAGCGCACATTTTAATATGAATATTATTAAAAGCTTGCCATCCATCAGGTGATAAGTGGCCGCTAAGTTTTTTCCCTGAAGACTAATCAATTAATCAATGTATCTTTTATTGTGCACCAACATAATATGTTGCCCGATAATATACTAGAAAAACCAAAAAAAGTCATAAGGTGCAATGATGGGCGGTCTTATTGCTCTGAAAGCGATTTCTTCCCGTGCAAATTCTTTTCTCAAAGAACTTGTTGTTCACAGAGAGTGAAACTACTTACCGCAGTACTATTATTCACTCTGTGCTACTACGATATACCTCATGAAGAACCTTGTACCTGCGCTTTCAGCTTTACAATAGTGTGTGTTATTACTTAGTCTGGTAAGATAAGGAATTTTAGTAGATAAGTTTACAATATAATGCAATACAAATTACACTTTACTATACACCATGGAAACACTAATATAACAAAATAAAAAAAAAATTGAGAAAAAACGAAAGGCGATATTATCGCTACACAGAAATTTCTTCCAGACAACCCAAAAAATAATTAACGTTAATTAGTGGAGAAAGGAAACCGGTAAATTGCAGAATAATAATGAACGATAACAACTTATGTAAAAATACAAGACTTTAGGCTTAGATCAGTAGAAAAGGATTGAAATACAAGGTATAGACACAAATATTCTAAAACCTGTTTCATGAACAAATGTAAATGAACATCTGTTTAATCGACAGTAGTAAGGAGTTTCAAAGTCTTACTCAAAGAAATAAACAAGATTTACCATAAAATGCAGAGGAAGGCACATGACGTTGGAGGGAAAGGTTTTCCTTGAACCATATGGAAAAATCACGACAAGATCTGAGGAATATAAAACGTTATTTTAGTTAGGGTTGACCTGATATATTAAAATTGAATATAACACAGTAGAGGGTAGAAAAAATATAGGTATTCCGACGAAGAGGGTTTGGGAGCTTAGTGCGGTACTCTGAGACATGGTCATTAGTCCAAATATGAACAGTACACAGAGATTTTGGAGTCACTCAATGTTAAGTTGCTTCTCGGTGATGTCAAAGTAACAAATGTAAGCATAGATGTGGGAGTAGTAAAGATTGGGACAACCACAATTTTAGTGGAAATGGATAAAAATGATGAACCATATATTGCAAACATTTTACGGCTCACTGTGTTAGTTTGAGGAATACGAGGTATGGAATAGGAGTATAAAGGTTGGAATCCAAAATGATACTTTAATTTTCATTATGAGAGATTTTGTTTTTAACTTTTTTAACTCTCAATAATTATGGCTTGGCATTTTAAAGGGTACGCAGATAACCCATATGATCGACTCTTATTGCCAGAAATTAAAAAATATACGCCAGATCCTTATTGATACATTCAACAGCTTTAGAATGATCTTAATGATGATTTGTAAATATATATTTTAGTTTAGGAACGGATTAGACAGCTTATAAATAATTTGATCGATTTGATTAGCAGACAATAATGCATAGAGATTACAAACTAAACTCTTTCGATTTTCAACGGAACCAATAAGTTATCCCGGAAAGTATTCTTAGAACGTTGTTCTTCTTTGCTGATATAAATGGTTTAGGACTTAAATGTTAAAAAATAAAAATGTATATTTTACTGATGATGCAACATTCAGTCTTGAAATTGTGTAAAACACAGTTTTACAGTTGCCCCGTCTGCTATATATAAAAAATTATTAAACAATCGAAATATTCATATATGCTTCACTGGGCTGAGAAAGAGTTATATTAAGTTAAGATTTGAAAATCAAAGCTTTGTTTTTTAAGAAATTTCTTTCTACGAAATTTCACACAGAACAGAAATATAACCAGCGTAAAGTAGTAGCTTAATGCTGCTGTTTCGTATGGTGAGTGTAGAGAACTGTAGACCCTTTTTACTGGAAATGAGCCATTCCATCTTAGTCCTCACGGGTTGACAACACATCTGCATTTTGATTTGTAGCCGAGGACACATGTAGGTGCCTATGGGCCACAGCAACCACTTACCATTAGGTAAGTGGTTTTCAGAACATTTTCCCCAACTGAGTAAATAAGGTTCTTGTTCAAATATAAACAGTTTTGTTGCGTTGAAGCGAGTAATTATTACCTCGTCCAAAAAAGCTGTACGTAGCATATACCAGATATCATATATCAGATACGTGTCTTGGCGTTACTGCGACATGGTATTATTTTATTGGGAGTTAATTGAAGCTTTAAAATCACAAAGAAAATATAATAGAACAATTAATGGAGTGGATCTTCAAACAAGCTATAAATCTATAATCGTCTTTGTTCATAAAACCTTAATAGATTTAAGAAATAAAGCTAGTGGAAATAGACATAGACCTTGGAAATTACACGTGACTGATCTTATTTATTTATCCAGGATGGTTGCAGATGTATACATGAAAAGTCGTTTATTATCAGATGTTGAAAACATAACATTTTGCATTATATTAATATTATAAATTTAACCTATTTGTTCGTATCGTGTATGAGAAAATTTTATTATATTCTCGTGAAAGTTAAAATGCCAATGAATTTTAGATCTATCGAACACATACCTTCGTGCCATGGTAATCATCAACCACCGTCTCATCCCTCCGTGCCTCCGGGTACACGAATCTCATGTTCCTTTGCAGAGACGACTGCGATGCGTAGGCACACTGTAACAACACGCAAGCTGATACAAACCACAACACATAATTAAAATTATATGGACTCATAATTAACCCTACTCCCACGAGAACTAGTCACGGACTGACTGCCTTCACGGTCGTCAACGTCTTATATTCAAAGAACAACCAGGCGTGCAGGAGGACAACTCTCAAGCTCTCAACAAACGAAGTTTTAGACTTTTTTTATACCAGTGGCGAGCATTTTTCTTCATGCCAGTACTAATTGACAGTTCGATTAAATAGAGCGTGGAATAATAAGTTTGTATATTGTACCAAACAAACGTTGTAATTTTATAGTAACTCCTGCAAAACATTTTAAAGATTGCGTAGTTTTGTGTTTATAATATAGGAAAAATATATAGTAGGCAAAGCCTATTTTGTTTAATGTCAGGGTACATTGCAAACACGTTTTATGAGTTCGGAAACTGATTATTACGAAAAAATAATCGTTGAATATAATGTCTAATCATAATTTATAATATAATCACCCATATACTCGTATAATGTATAAGGTAACATATTATATTTTACAGTTGTACCCTAAATAAATTAAATTCGTATTAGAAATATATAAAAAATTGTTGATAAATCAAAATAAAAACAATACATCAGTGCTTCAAATGATCTCCAATGATAATAATTAACTAATAGTCCCGGTATGACCGGGACGAATGTTTAATACGATACTATATCTACTACATACCACAATATTATATATTTCAATGTTGTAGGTGCGTCTTTCTCAGATTTTTCTTCTCAGTAGTGTCTTCAAAATAGAGTTCTACCAAATTGGAGGATTGAATATAAAGTTAGTCATGGAGGTGACATCTGATAACAGAGACAAAACTTTATCGGAATTGGCTAGCTTATTAAAAACTTAAACGAATGGTACGTTCAGGTTCAGAATAAATAGAAAGAACAAGATTTTACATTTATATAAAGACTTTATAGCACACTAGCTGCACATTGCCAACATTGCTGCCGCTGAAGAAACAAAACCAAAAATCCCATGATTTCTACAGCAACGGGAATATGTACAAGATACCTTAAGATGGCAACAAGTTCTCGAACAAAATGACACATATATGTATATTATTATAATTAAACTTATTAAGAAAAATGTCAAAATTTGTACCTATATAAAATATGAAGAAACTTTTTCCCGATTTTGTATTTATTTATTTTACTTTTACCGAAATACGTAAATATTGTTGTTTTTTTTTTAATTTTACTTTCTAGGGTTACTCTTATTTAGAGAGGTGTCATCTCATATAATATATAAAAAATGTTTATCTAACATTGTAATATCGTGGATGATTATCTCTATCCATTTTTCTTATCGCAAAGAAATCTAGTCACTCATTGCATGTTTCTAAGCGTACGTTACTTTTATATTATAAAGATAAATTTAATTGTCACGTACTTTATTAAAATAACTAGCTGTGCCCGCGACTTCGTTTGCACACAATTTCTATTTTTTTTGTAGTTTTTTCTTTAAATATAGGATAGAGTGACAAACAAGCACACAGTCCACCTGATGGTAAGTGATTGCTGTGGCCCATAGACATCTACATCTATCCTCGATTTTGAATCAAAATGCAGATGCATTGTCAACCGTGAGAACTATGATGGAATGCCTCGTTACCAGTAAAAAGGGTCTCCGGTTCTTTACACTCACCATACGAAACACAGCAGCATTTACTCTGGTACAGCTACTATTTTACGCTGGTGTTCTGTGAGAGCGTGGTCCTTCTCCGGTAGAGCCGACCTATTCGTGCTACAACTATACTACTAATATAGCTGCAGCATGGCTTTACCACGTATGACTATTGATTATATTTTATAAACTACGTCACTGTTACAACTCAAACAATAATAGTACCTATTAATAATTTTAGTACACGGAGTAATTTCATTACTAAACCGATTAAGTGCATTGAATATTTCAACACGGAGTATGTCGTGTCCGTTCAATATTATATTTAAATGAAACTAAGCAACGTAGATATGCACTAATATAATATAAAAAAGAAACTAAAAATGGGTTAACAATTACTCTAATTTATAAAAAATAAGGAGGGAACGAATGTTCGCTTGCTGTACAGTAACGGCGTAAATAAATCCATCGCACCTTTGTGTGCACCATCACATCTCCTGGAGGTGTAGTAGGAGGCGACTATGGGAAACGCCAGAAAAATGTAACGGCTTTCGATATATGGCGCTATAAACAAATCGGTTACGTCAGAGCCAGACATAAAATACCCAGACTGGTTATATAGTTATATCCACACTGGCCAGGTACGTCAAAGATGCGAGATGTATTGTTTTGCGATCTTCATTGTTTGCAAACCGTGGAAATAATAATAAATCACTTCTGAAGAGGAAGAAGTCCATGTCCTGCAGTAGACATTTACGGACTAATGATGAAGGATAGAAGAAGAATTGATAATTTTTGCGTTATAAAGTAATACAGTAAAACTCTGAACCCCTCCAAACTTTAGAGTAACTCGACCGTCTGACACACTCTACACTTCGGATCTACTCTTGCAAGTCCCTTTGTTAATTTTCATTGCAAAGTTGTGGGTGTTGCGTATTAAGGGAATTTGAAGGATATAACACCTTATCTACATCATAATCGATGTTAATATCTGTGTCCAGCACATTCTTTTAATGAAAAATTAGTTTGAGCAGTTTACCATTGTAAAAATTTGGAGCCAAGCGAAGAAGCAGCGAAATAAACTAAATTTCAATTACCGCCTATAAAAGTCTACTGCTGAACATAGGCCTCCTCCATATACATATGTCCTCACAGGGGGAAGTCTCTTATAAAATGAACTGGACGATTTATTCAAAAATTCTGTAATCGCAGTAAAAACTTGATTATCAGTACTGCGATGAATTTTGCCCCTTCAAAAAGAACAAACCCTCTCAGAAATATGAATATGAACACAGGTCTCTCCTATAGATAGCGTCATGGGGGGGGATATTTGCCATTGTTGGCACGCTTGGCAAGCGAGTTGGCAGCCGCAGTTTTTAATTTATCGTTATTAGGAAGACGCTGCAGCCCATCTCCTGGTTTGTTTCCGGGTTACTGAGGTTAGCCCGAAGAGGCGACAGAGGGAAACAAAGGCTCACTGAAGTAAGCCCCACGAAAATTTCTATTTTTTTAATTTCGTTATCACATATCGTTAGTTCGTGGTTTGTTCTTGATTGTTCTCTATCAATAATTGTTTGTTCGTCAATAATTTATTTCTAAAAAATAATTAAAACAGTTTAGTGTTAGTTAGCCCTCCCCCCCACTCCAATTTACAATTTCTTTCGTTATTATTGGTCTTTTTTATATTCATTGATGTTTGTTCTTTGATAAAATACGTTTGTTCTATCAAAAATATATTTATTTTTGGTTTAATTAACAATTTTTATTTAGCTACATTATTAAACAGAAGTACTCGTACCTGTACTGCGCATGCGTCAATGCTACGTTTGAAGTGGTTCCTTTAAAAATCAAAAAAGTTTTAAAGACATTTAAAAAAAACCTATACCGATAAAAAAGAAAGTGTAATTTATGTTTATAATTTTTTTATCATTATTAAGAGATATTTTTTTTTGTTTTTTAGTTACTTAGTAATAAATTACGTGTACAGTAATATTTTTCATTAACATTGAAGGTGTGTTACAGTTTAAAATATTTAATAACTTAACAAATCAACGTAAGATAATATTACATTATCACTAATAATCCCAATAACTAATGAATCGATCAAATATTATTGCTGGTGTATTATTTATACCAAGTGAATTGGCATTTATGTAATGAGTCATGGTTATATATCAGTACTGTATAAATAAAAAATTTCGGGAGGCTCTTCAGTGAGCCTTTGTTTCCCTCTGCCGCCTCCTATGACACCCATGGGATGCTTATAGTGGATATTTTTACATCGCCACTACACGGGTAAAAGATTGTACAACTTATATCTTTAATTTATATTCTAGCGATATATCATAATGTCTTTGTCTTTACAATTAATAAATTTCTTCGATTAATAAGAAAAAAAAAAAAACAATAAAATTTACATTGCTGCGAGAGTTCAACTAACTGATTCAGGGTGACAGCCCAACAGAAACGTATCCAGGTCAGAAAAGTATGATCCAGGATCAATGCTTTACAATCCTAGATCGCGACTATTGTCTCAAATGCAATGAATCTAAGCACCGCAATTCAGAAAAGGATTCATTTGTGCAACGCCATCTACTACGTTTGTCAGAAAATACAATTTTTTAGTTTAAGGAAAACATATTCTTTTTTGTTTAGTCTGTTTTAAGCACAGGTTTTAAGTATAAATAAATTTTATTCCTATTTCTGAGACTTCATGGCGCCGTTGAATTAATTCGAACCTATTTTTTGAAAATATCATATATTTTGATACAATTAACCGGCTTTAATAAAACAAAGATTAAATGTAAAGTGAAGATATGCTATATGATTTTCTTAGCGATTTCATAGAAAAAAACAAATGTTTACTTGATACCTACCTAATGAGTTCATAAAGAAACAGAGACAATTCTAAAAATTATAAAAATGTTCTTATTTACTAAATTTCAGTCCCCTTAATGATTTTTATCACAATTATAGTAGAGAATGTAGACACAGGTAATCACCACCTTTATTATATATTATATAATTGATACATTATATAAAACATACCAGAACTTTTAAATCAGTGCCTGCCATTGATTTCAAAAGGAAGGATAGGCCCTATTTTACTCATAGCGCATCTGTCATAATACAAACGTCATATCAAAACACGACGTAACCAGGGTCGGATTTTGTAGTATAATTATCCTGATTGTACCATGTTTGCCTGCCATGAGTGCCGCGTTTTAAAAAAAATAATATTATAATTAGCTCCCTTTCTGGTCAATCGATGTTCGATCGATGCATTTATGTTGCATCCTTGACACAACTATGAGGTGCTACCACGATAAAA